TTGTTAAGTTTCCATGAGTTTGCAGGTTTTCTGCTATTTGTATTGTTGTTGAATTCCAATTTTAAAGCATGGTGGTCCGATAAGATACAGGGGACTATTTCTATTCTCTTGTATCTGTTGAGGTTTGTTATGTCTCCTAGTATGTGGTCGATTTTAGAGAAGGTTCCATGTGGAGCAGAGAAGAAGGTATATTCTTTTGTCTTTGGATGGAATGTTCTATAGATGTCTGTTAGCCCCAGTTGAGACATAACTTCTGTTAATTCTTTTGTTTCTTTGTTGAGTTTCTGATTTGTGGTCCTGTCTAGTGTTGAGAGTGGTGTATTGAAGTCTCCCACTATAAGTGTGTGAGGTTTTATATGAGCTTTGAGTTTTAGTAGTGTTTCTTTTACGAATGTGGGTGGCTTTGTATTAGGGGCATAGATGTTCAGAATTGAGACTTTGTGTTGATGGATTTCTCCTGAGATGAATATGAAATGACCGTCTTCATCTCTTTTGACTAGTTTTGGTTTGAAGTCTAGCTTGTTAGATATTAGGATAGCTACGCCTGCTTGCTTCTTATTTCCATTTGATTGGAAAATCTTTTCCCAACCCTTTACCCTGAGGTAATGTCTATCTTTGGAGCTAAGATGTGTTTCTTGTATGCAGCAGAAGGATGGATTCTGTCTTCGTATCCATTCTGTTAATCTGTGTCTTTTTATAGGTGAGTTAAGACCATTAATGTTGAGGGTGAGTAAGGACCATTGATTGTTGATGGTTGTTTGATTTAGGTTTGTTGTTGGCAGTGGTATTGTGAATATATTTGTTCTGCTTCACCCTAAGTTTCTGGTGTAGTTGGATTATCTGTTGCCTACATTTTTGTGGGCGTAGTTACCTTCCTTGGGTTGGAATTTTCCTTCCAATACTTTCTGTAGGGCTGGATTTGTAGATACATATTGGGAAAATCTGGTTTTGTCATTGAATATCTTGTTCTCTCCATCTATATTGACTGAGAGTTTTGCTGGATATAGTAGCCTAGGCTGGCATCCGTGTTCTCTTAATACTTTTAGAACATCTATCCAGGACCTTCTGGCCTTGAGGGTTTCCATGGAGAAGTCAGGTGTAATTTTGATAGGTCTGCCTTTATATGTTACCTGTCCTTTTTCCTTCGCTGCTCTTAATATTCTTTCTTTATTCTGTATGCTAGGTGTTTTGATTATTATATGTCGAGGGGTCTTTTTTCTTTGGTCCAGCCTATTTGGGGTTCGGTATGCTTCTTGTACTTTCATGGGCATGTCCTTCTTCAGATTTGGAAAGTTTTCCTCGATGATTTTGTTGAATATGTTTTCAGCCCCTTTGAGCTGGGCTTCCTCACCTTCCTCTATGCCTATTATTCTTAGGTTTGGCCTTTTCATGGTGTCCCACGTTTCCTGGATATTGTGTGTTAAGGATTTGTTGGATTTATGGTTTTCTTTGGTCGATGAATCTATTTCTTCTAGTTTATCTTCTGCGCCTGAGATTCTCTCTTCCATCTCTTGAATTCTATTGGTTATGCTTGTGTCCGTGGTTTCCGATTTTTTGCCCAGCTTTTCAATTTCCAGCTTTCCTTCCATTTGTGTTGCCTTTATTTTCTCAATTTCGGTTTTCAAATCTTGAACCGTTTCCTTCACCTGGTTAATTGTTTTTTCTTGGCTTTCTGTACTTTCCTTAAGGAATTTGTTCATTTCTTCCACTTTTTTGTTTGTTTTTTCCTCTATTTCTTTAAGGGATTTTCTCATATCTTCTTTGAGGGCCTCTATCATTTTTATGATGGTGATTTTTAAGTCGTACCCTTCTGCTTCCTCTGCTTTGTTGTTGTGTTCCATTCTAGTTGGTGTAGATTCCCTAGATTCTGGTGGTGTCATGTTTGTCTTTCTGTTGTTAGGTGTTCTCTTGTATTGCCTTCTTCCCATAGTTTCTTCCTGTAGGTGTTGGTGGTGTCTCTTCCCTCTCTCTATGGTCCTTCCTAGATGGGCTTATGTGGATCAAAGATTCAATGTCTGTATCTCTGTGTGGTCCAAGCTCTCTAGGAGGCTTCTCTCTGGCCAATAGCCGGCAGAAGAGGACGAGGGCTGGACTGGAACTTGAGAAGGTTTTGCAGGGTAGTGGGATCTCACTGGAAACTGGCGCTCTCCAGCTGAGACCTCGTTCTTTGGCAGGGGCCCGGATTTGTGGGTCAAGGATCTTGCCTGCAGGAACTCCAAGTGGACCCGCAGAGATAGGCGGATCTCTGGGAGGGGCCTGGGACTCCAGCAGAGGACTGGAGGCGGGGTCAGGGACCAAGCCGGTGGAAATTACAGGTGGTCCCACGTGGATAGTCAGGTCTCCTTTGTTCGGAGTTGCTCCGAGAGGTCTCTGAAGTAGGGTGGACTGTTGGCTCCACCCTCTGTCCCAGTGCTCAACCAGAGCGGCAGGACCGTAGGTGGGGTAGGGCACAGGGTGGGGGGGGGGGGTAGGCTGGAGGTTGGGATGGGTGGGGGTGTATCAGAGCTCCAAGGGTGCTCTCAAAGGGGACCGGAGACAGGAGCAGCAGGATCAGGGGCCAATCCAGGGAGTTCAGGCGGGGGGGGGGGAAAAGAGGTTGAAGGGGACAGGCAGCCCCAATTGGGCCCAGACTCACCTCTGGCCAATAGCCGGCAGAAGAGGACGAGGGCTGGGCTGGAACTTGAGAAGGTTTTGCAGGGTAGTGGGATCTCACTGGAAACTGGCGCTCTCCAAGCTGAGACCTCGTTCTTTGGCAGGGGCCCGGATTTGGGGGTCAAGGATCTTGCCTCTCTATATTGCTTTTTTAGGGTATGGTCAAAATAACTTGTTCATGTCTTGGCTGCAAATGCTATCATCTGTGTCACTTCTGGGTTTCTTTCCTTCATTTCTCTTCTCATCATGAGCCAAGATTTCTGCTTGTATGCCTTGTAATTTTTTAATTGAGTGGCACACACTGCAAACTCTGTTGTGTGGTAGAGTTTGTTTTCCGCTAAGCATGCCCAGGCTTTGTTCAGAGATGCAGTTAAGTGGCTGTAAAATGTTTGATCCTTTTGGGTCTTACTTCTAGCTTTGTTAGATGGAACCATATAGCTTTTACTCTGACAAGTGATTTCCCTGTCAAAGCAGTAAGTACCCTCCTAGTGCTGCACTTAATGCCCCACACAGTCGGGAGCATCCACTATGAAGGGTAACAACAGAAATGTATGTGCCTGGCCCTGTCTGTGACTAGCTGCTGCCAGGGTGTCTTTTTATAGTTGTTTTGTTGTGGGTTTTTTGTTTTGTTTTAATTTGATTTATTTGTGTATGCATGTGTATGTGTAGGAGCATATATGTATGTGTGTGATATGTGTGGAAGGACAGAGGACAACCTTCATGTGTTAGTTCTCACCTTCCACTGTAGGCTCCTGAGATGGAATGCAGGATGTCAGGCTTTCATGGCACTGAGCCACATCACCAACCCTGTTTTCAGTTTGTTTCGTGATCTCAGGTCTTAGCTGTAGCTCAGGCTGGCCTGGAACTCACTGTATAGTTCAGGCTAACCTCAACCTCTCACACATTAATCTTAGCTACTTCCAGTTCTTAGCAATTAAATCTGAAGCTACTGGAGCTGGGAGATGGTTCTATAGGTAAAAGTGTTTGCTAGATAAGCATGAGGACCTGAGTTCAAAACCTAAAAACATATGTTTGAAACAAAAGAAGCCCAATGCAGTAGTTTGGGTCCACAATTTTAGTACTGCATGGAGAAAAGCTGGACAGAAACTAGAACCTCCCCCAGAGGCTACACTGGTGTACAAAGAGGCGAACAACAGAAAAGAGGCCCTGTCTCAAACAAGGTAGAAGGTGATGGCTGACACTCAAGTTGTCCTGTGACCTCCACATGCATGCTATAGCGTGCACATGACAGCACTTACACATATAACAATACACACATGAATACACATCATACATACATGGTTTTTGTGTGGACCTGTTCCCAAGTTGGTTGGCTAAGGAACCAGAGATGCGATTTTTCTCACCTACAACTGTTTTGCTTTAAAAAGTGACTGTCCTTTCTACATGTGCACTGGCCATGGGTGACAGTGGCCACTCCACAACCCTCCCAGCACTTCTGTTGCTGGTTTTGAAGAAGTTAGTTTAATAGGTGTTCAGTGATAGTCGCTGTGGTTTTAACTCACAGTCTACTAATGACAGTGACACTGAGCGTGTTTCCATAAGCTCAGACCCCCTTCTGTCTGTCTTTTTGGGTGAAGTGTTCATTCGGGTGTATTAATGCTTTTTATATGTGTTGTTTTCTGTTGTTTAGTTTTAAGACTTCTTTGAATCTTTTGGATGCAAGACGTTTACTGAGTGGGTCTTTAGGAGTATTTTTCCCGGGTTCTGATTTGCCTTTTCATTCCTGTTCTTTCTCTCTGTTGTCCCCTCTCTTCTCTCTCAGTTCTCTGTCTCTGCCTTATTCTCAACACACTCTTTTCTCTTCTCCCACTCAGGTCTCTTTCACTTCCCCTCCTCTGCCTTTCTACATTTTCTCTCCCCTCTTTTGTCTCCATTTCACTATGTGGCCCAAGCAGGTGTTGAACTCAAAATCCTCTTGCCTTTGCTTCTGAATTTTAGGGTTAGAACTGTGTTTCACTACCTGACCTTTATGAATAATCAGGCCATATTCTGATGCCACCAAATAACAGTGACAACAAAACTGGAAGGCAGCTGGCTCTATGTTGGGCATGAGAGAAGGGAGGCTAGAGCCCACATGGAGGTGGGTTGTGAAGAGCAGCTAGAGGTAGGCTGCAAGTCAGGAGGCAGGCTAGTGCACATGAGCTTCAAGAGTGGGGGCACCATGGTAACTGACTATGGGCAGAGTATGACCAGGGACAGGGCTGACTCAAGAGGAGCACCTGCTCACAGCCCAGATCCCCCTACTATGCCAAGTCATCTTTGCACGGCTCTGGTTTTGATACAGGCGGTAGCACCTCAAGTTTCACACACTTTGCTCTTCTTTGTAGACACCCTCTCTCCAGCGTCCAGCCCCTCTTCAGTCAGCTGCCCTGTGATCCCTGCCAGTGCAGATGAGCCCCCTGGCAGTGCACTGAACATTGAGTGTCGAATATGTGGGGACAAGGCCTCAGGCTACCACTACGGAGTCCATGCATGTGAAGGCTGCAAGGTACAGGGGTACTGGGTGGAGGGTGAGGTGGTCACATGGCTTGATTACTTTTCTCCTGTACAAGATGTCCACCACTCTGAGACCTCTTTTGAGAATCGAGGGCAGGTTGATTTGCTGTACTTTGTAAATACTCTAGAGGAGCACATCCTTTAAAACAAAACAAATAAGGAAACAAAACACAGTTGCTATATAAATAACTCTCCCCATGACACAAAGTGTAGACTATGTACTTCACCTTGGGACCACCCCAGAAGCCAGCTAGAGCAGAGGTGACCATGCAGAGGAGTGTGTTTACCTGCTACCTCAGTACCTCTCCAGGGGACAGCTAGGGCAGAGGTTACCATGCATTGAGCAAGGGGCTGCCTATCAGATGTGTTCTGCCCCTTGCTCAGAGTCCACAGTCTCTGGCTCCCCTGCTATTGTAACTTACTCCCACTGGTCACTTCTGGCACATGCTCCTATCCTCCTAGCCACTGCACCCTCCTGAGGAACTCTGTCTTCTTGAGAGTCAATTTGACCTCTAGACAGGAATGACCCAGGCCCCACATACCTGAAGTGAGTCCCCTCCTGCTGCATATACATTCTCAAGTTTGCCACTTAATAGACACCATACATGGAAAATTGAGAGATGCACATGTTTGCTTAAAATCCAAAGGCTCCATTCCTAATACCTTCTGGAAGAATCCAGGCCCTGAGGGAATATCACAGACCTTCATATATCATTATTCTTGAAGCACTGACATCTGTCTCTTCAGGTTGGCCTGGTCTTATAGGCCTGGTGTATGGGAACAGTGAACCCAGATCCAGGGCCTGGTGGTCCCTGGCAGTCACAGTCCTTGCTTCTCACCCTTTCTCTCCATCCCACACATCCTTCTGCCTCACAGGCCCAGATGAGGAACTGACCCCTTCCAATCCCTCAGTCTCCAGTGAAGGCCTGGTCCCTTCTGCTTGGGCATGAAAATCCACTGTGTCAGGCAAAAAATGGAGGGGGTGCACAAAAGCAAAGGACCAAAAGCCAAAATAAATCCCTTCCAGAGCCTCCCTCCACATCCCTTTAAAAGTTGGACTTGTGCCGGTGCTTTCTGTCAAGGTTATGTACAATTGCATTTGTTTAGTCTTGGCTTTTATGGGTTCAAGTTGTTTTCTTCATGGGAGAAGCCTCAGTGTTTCTGTAAAGTAAGAGTGTTGCCTTCATACAACTGGTCCTCTCTTGCTATATAATGTCTGCTCTTCAGAAGTTGGTTTTGTGACCCAAGAAACTACTATTCCCTCTTCCCCTGTGAGGTAGGTTCTTTCTAAGATCACTTTGAACTTAATGCATTATTTTCCATTTTTAATGCAGTGAGATGCCCATTTTTTAGTTACCCCAGTGATGAGAGACTTTCTAAAATTTCAACATGTAGTTTCTTTGGAAAGAGACAGTGAGGCTGGGGTGTAGCTTAGCCGGTAGTACACTTGCCTAGCATGCATGGAACACCAGGTTGGATCCCCCGGCATCCCATAAAGCCAGGCAAGACGGTGCTCAGCCATGTGGTTCCAGCACTTGGGTGGAAGCAGAAAGATCAACAGTTCAAGGTTACCCTTGGCCACAGAGCAAGATCTGCACCAGGCTGGGCTACATGAGATCCTGTCTCAAAACAAATGACTCAAACAAATACACAAGAAAGTTGAGAGGCACCAGTCGGGTGCCTTACATAGAGCCCACGTTCTTTAAGTAAATTTTATATTGATGTAATAGGGCTTCTTTCGGCGAACTATTCGGCTAAAGCTGGTGTATGACAAATGTGATCGAAGCTGTAAGATTCAGAAAAAGAACAGGAATAAGTGCCAGTACTGCCGCTTCCACAAGTGCCTGTCCGTTGGGATGTCACACAACGGTAGGTAAGGCTGCTGGGCACACTGTGTCAGCTCATGCCTCCATTTATCCTCCTAATAAGAATGGCTATATTTTGAATGGGTGTGCAGTAACATGTAAATATCCCCAACAGCTGGTATTTAGCAGAGCACTTGAAAGTATTGCGGTAAGACTTTGCTGTCGACTTGGGGGTCACTGGAGTGGCAAGATGTCACATTGCTTCTGTTAAATGTGTTTTGGTTCAAACATTGTACCACAATATGGGTTTCATTTTCTTAGCCATAATCTAATTTAGAACATGGTTCCCAATGAATGTAAATCAATCAATCTGTTTGTTTGTTTGTTTTTGAGGTGGGGAGGTCTCACTACACAGCCTTGGCTGGTATGAATTCTGTGTAAGCCAGGCTGGTGTTGAACTCACAGAGATCCACCTGCTTCTGCCTCCAAGAAGTACTAGGATCACAAACATAGTGGTATTAGCCTATAATTCCAGCACTCAGAAGGCTGTTGCAAGAAGAGTTTTGTAACTTCATGGCCAGCATGGGCTTGAGAGGCAGAGGCAAGAATCTTAGGAGCTCAAGATCACTCTCAGTTATATAGTTAATTGGAGACCAGTATGAGGCACTGTATGAGACCCTATCTCAGAAAGAACATAGATATAGATAGATAGATGAGAGAGAGAGAAGATGATAGATAGATAAATAGATATGGATGATGGATAGATAGGTGATAGGTAGATAGATGATAGATAAGTACATAGATAGCTATATAGGTTATTAATAGGCAGGTGATAGATGACAGATGGTATGGTAGATAGGTGATAGTTCACTTTCATCCCCTTCACCTTGGCCAATGGTCTACCTGAGAACAGTAAGACACCCCACAGTTAAGCTGTGTGGTTGTCTTTCAGCATGCCTGGTAGAAAGTTCAGTCATAACAAGGGATGGGTTTAACTCACCATTCTTGGTGTGAGCTTTCCATTCTACTGTTCACCTCTGCCTTGGTCATTAAGTGCCTTGATCAGTTCTACATCTCCCCTTGTCTCATCCCCACCCCAACTCCAGCAATTCGTTTTGGACGCATGCCAAGATCTGAGAAAGCAAAACTGAAAGCAGAAATTCTTACGTGTGAACACGATCTGGAAGATTCAGAGACTGCAGACCTCAAATCTCTGGCCAAGAGAATCCATGAGGCCTACCTGAAGAACTTCAACATGAACAAGGTCAAGGCCCGGGTCATCCTCGCAGGAAAGACCAGCAATAACCCGGTAGGTGCTCCCGGTAGGAGTCACAGGGAATGACTGAGAGCATTGTCAATGTAGAAAACAGAATTTATCCCAAAGTCCACGGAAGGGTCATGGAAATACTCCAGGTCACTCTGAGGCTTTAAGATGTAGTTTGACACCAACAGCTGCCTTCCTGCCTGGGCTCGCCTCAGCTCCTAGCAACCGAGGCATTATACAGGCTGTGTAATTGATACACGAAAAATACTGTAGTTAATACTTTACCTAGTATCGGGGTGTTTCTTAGCTGTGATTTAATCCCGATTTTAAGGCCAGAAATGAAACCTATTCCTTCCCCCACTCAGAGCATTCTCATTCTTTCTGCTGAAGCTGCAACTGCCTTCCTTGTCACCTCCTTGTCACCTTCTTGCTTTTCCTTCACTGTGATGGCTCAGGGTTTGGGAAGGGTTGCACAGGACTCACCTCGTATATTTCAGCTTGCCCCTGTGTCTGCAACTCCTCTATCACTTTCCTGGCTCGTGACCCACTGTTCCCACAGATGGATAAGCCTGTGTGCGTTGAAGAAGGGTGTCAAGAGCCATTTCTACAGAGGGAACAGCCCTCACTGGGCACATAAGGGCTCTTGCCTTTCCCTGTGTGCCTGGTACAGCAGGTTTAATTTGTGCTAATGAATAGCTTGGCGCCTTCCTCATTGGGAATTACAAGCTAGAATTTTTAGTCACAGGAAAATGAAGGATTTCACAAGCTACATACTTCAATGAACAAGCCCAACCTCTTTTTACTGAGTCTTTTAATTCCACGGTGAATTCTCCAAGGAAGAAATGAGCTGAGACATTTTAGAAGGCTCCAGCAAACTCCATACCAGGTGGCCCCAGAGGCCCTTTCCAACTAGAGCAGTGGTTGTCACCCTTCCTAATGCTGCGACCCTTTAATACAATTCTTGTTGTTGTGACCCCAACCATAACATTATTTTGCTACTACTTCATAACTGTAATTTTGCTACTGTTATGAATTGTAATGTGAGTATCTGATGCAGGAAATCTGATACATGACCCTGAAGGGGGTCACAGCCTTTCTGGATCACAGGGTAAAGGTTACATTTCTGTGAAGATGACCCCAAATGAGGGAAATCAGAATTTCCATTTCAGACCTTCTATTTCTCCCTCAAACTTTGGTATTTAGAGCAAACTTAAGAGTCAACTTTATTCATATCCAAATACTCTGCTTGAATGCTGATTTGATCCCTACTGAGTTCCTGTTTTTTCTTCACCAGGATCTATAAGGTTCCTGGGAGGGTCCCATTATCCTGTCTTGAGAAAATCAAGACTTGTGTGGAAACAAATGATAGATGAAGGGTCAGGGCTGGGGGCTGCTACATTAGAAAGACAGAATGGGAGGAGGGGTTGGGAGCTAGCTCAGAGAGTTCATTGCCTTGGACCTGATTTTGGATCCCTAGCTCATACATAAAAGGCAGATGTGGTCATGCATATCTGTAATTCCAGCACTGTAGAGGCAAACGAGTATCCTGGAGCTTTCTGGACAATGGACTGAGCTACATCAGTGAGCTCCAGGTTCAGTGAGAGACCTTCTTTCAAAAACTTAGAGACTGGCTCAGAAAGATAGCCAGCATCCACCTTTGGCCCTCGCCTGTACCCTCATGCACCATACAAACATGGACACACACATACATCGCACATTACACACACACCCAAATCAATGGCCTGTGGCAGCTAACTGCCTGCTTTAGCCACAAACCTCTATGCAGGGACCAACTTTAGCTACAATGTCTTGCTGCTTTTGACCACACTGTTGACCACCTCCAGATCTCACATAATTTCAGAGGCTGGGCCTTCTCTTCCTGCCCAACCTGCTGGCCAGCTTCCCAGAACTTGCTGGTCCAGTGTGAGACCCCATCTTTCCTCTTCCATCTGTGTCCAGCCTGGGAAGTGTCCAGGTGGCAGAGTGTGCCTGCCACCAGCTTCCCTGTCCTGGCACTTCTGCAGAACTCTGGTCTTGTTGCTACAGTGGCATAGTCAAGAGACTATAGGATGTGTGTTTTACAAGATTTTAAATATTTATTGTGTGTGTGTGTGTTCACATGTAAGTGTGTGTGTGCATGCTTCATTGTATGTCTGAACCACATACATATATACAGAGGCCTATGGAAGTCATTGGATCTCCTGGAACAGGAGTTACAGATTGGTTGTGAAACACTGTGTGGGTGCTGGGAACTGAACCCCAGTCTTCAAGAGCAGTGAGTAAAACTCTGAGCCATCTTCCTAGCCCCAGGTTTTTATGACATTTAGAAGGCAGTCACCTTTAAAGTTTGGAGTCCCTTTAGGGTACCAGGTTGTAGTCCTGGTGCACTCAACTTGACTTGTGTCCCATGGCACAATACTCAGTGACAGTCAGGTCCTAGGCTGGGATGACAGCCCCAGCAGAACATCAGTGAGGCACAAACACTGTGTTTCAGCTGGTAAACAGTTTAAAGTGCATTGATGTTGAGAACATGGACTTGTCATGTGGGGAGCCTGGACATTCATGCCAACAGTGCACAGCAGTTTTGTTGTTGTGTAGGCTGACTAGGGCAGGAGTGGTCCCAGACTCCACACACCCACTGGGGGACAGGACAGCTTGTCTGATGGTATGGTCACACAGTCTCTAGTTTTCTAAAAGGAGTGATCAGATCCCTCCTTATAAAAGACAAATCAGAAGAAGTGGAGGCCCAGAGCCATCCTAGAACTGGTCAGGCCTGGGGACCAGGAGGCAGGACTGTGCTAAGATCTGAAGGCAACTGTGGGGGAAGGTGAGTTTAGTTGAGGGAAGGACTGAGGAGACAGATGAGACCATTGGTTTCCTTCTGGACTCTGGGTCTGATTTGAGCTCCTAGGATTTCAGAAGCATGAGCCAAAACATGGCCAGGAACCCCAGTGGTGGGGCTAAACACTCCTTGGGATGTGTACCTGCTTGATTTTAAAGTGACAGAATTGGAACCTGTTGTTCTCCTTGAACCTGGCTTCCAAAGAGGCCTTTCAACAGCTTCTTAGATGTCTAGACATTATGGCCAGAGAGATGGCTCAGTAGCTCATAACTGCCTATAACCCCAGTTACAGAGTGTGTGCTAGCCTCCTCCAGCCTACTTGGGTACCTGCATGCAAACGGTTCACATAAACTCTCTCTCCCTCCTTCCCTCCCTCCATCTCTCTCTCTCTCTCTCTCTCTCTCTCTCTCTCTCTCTCTCTCTCTCTCACACACACACACACACACACACACACACATACACACACACACAACACACACACACACACACACAACACACACACACACAGAATTCTTCATTGTCTTTTAGCAAGGGGCCACCTGTTTGTTTTGCTTCACCCTGTGAGCTGTGTAGCTGAGGCTGCCCTAGTCCTTGGAGATGCCCTCTATGATAATCATCAAGTCCCCTGGAACCTAGCACTCCCCACAGCCCCTTTCTGGAAGAGTCTCAGTGTATGTTTGTCATGTCAAAGACTCTGGGAGGTCCCAGCTCTACTGACTGTATTTATCTAAATCTTGACTATGTATTTGGTTGCTTTCCACTTTAATTTCTGCTGAGTGCATGTTAGGAAAGGACAGTGTTCATTATACTGTCTCAGTTGGTGTTCTGTGGCGGTGGAGAGACTCTGTGACCATGGCAACTCTTATGAAGGAAAACACTTGACTCTAGTCCCAGGGAACCCAAATCCCTCTTCTACCTTCAAGGGCACTGTACACACATGGTGCAAAGATGTACTCACAGGTGAAAATACCCATACACATCCCATAATTTTAAAAAATGACTCATGGACATTCTATGGGCAAAACTCAGAGCCAAGCTGCCAAGTATCTTGCTTACAGATTCATGCTCAAGACCCTTTAAAAAATATTTTATGTATTTATTTTATGTAAATGAATGCTCCCCCTCCATTCCTTCATTTCAGAAGAGGGTACCAGATCCCACTATACATGGTTGTGAGCCACCATGTGGTTGCTGGGAATTTATCTCAGGACTTCTGAAAGAGCAGTGAGTATTCTTAATCACTGAGCCATCTCTCCAGCCCTCGAGACCCTTTTTTAAGATACCACAGCAATCACAGAGAATCACACACACATCCTCTAAACTCTTAGCTCACTCTGATGCCTTGTGACTCCTGATGTAATGTGAATGCTATGGAAATGGTCATTGTGCTGGAGGGTTTGAGCAATAATGACAAGAGAAAAAAGTCCCAGGGCCAAGAGTCTGGCTCTGTGGTAGAGAAGTGTTCCCAGCATATGCAATCTCTAGAACTATAAATACTCTTTAAAATCAGAACTCAGTCAACATGGACATTTACTTCTAATTATGAAAAAATTATATTAAATTTAGTCTGTGTATGTGTAGGCATGTGTGATGTGTGTGGATGTCAGAGGACAACCCACAGAATCAGGCTTCATCTATGATGTGGGACCCAGGGATCAAACTCAGGTTTTCAGGCTTGGAAACAAACAACACTTTCACCTGCCAAGCTATCACACCTGCCCTAAAAATGTGGACCAACTGTATTTTTGTAGTCCCTTTAAATCAGATTTTTATTTTGTTTGTATTTTGAGACAGGATTTCTCCTGGAACTTGATCTGTAGACCTGGCTAGCCTTAAACTCACAGAGATTTGCCTGCCTCTCCTTCCTGATTACTGGGATTAAAGACATACACCATCACTGCCTGGCTAAAGCTGACTTTTTATGTTGTTGTTGTTGTTTTTTTTTTTTTTTCTTTTTCTGAAGCATAACTCCAAAAGTGGTTATCAGGCCAGTTGTTAAGACTTTTAGAGAAACTTTTTTTTGGGGGGGGTCTTGTTCTGACTTGAGATACTCAGTGATTTGGCTCTAAGTTTTGCCCATAGAATGTCCGTGAGTCATTTTTTAAATTATTTTATGTGTATGAATATTTTTGCCTGCATCTACCTCTTTGCACCACATGTATGCAGTGCCCTTGGAGGTAGAAGAGGGGTTCAGGTCCCCTGGGACTAGAGTTAAAGATTGTCATAAGTCACTATGTGGATGCTTGCCAGAACTGGATACTCTGGAAAGCAAACAGTGCACTTAATCTCTGAGCCATCTCTCCAGCCCCACAGTGAGTCATTTTTAATACACTTCCTTTCATCAGCATAGAATCACATTGTTTTGGTCCAGCACTATACTGCAAGTTCAGAATCTGCTTAAACACCTCACAGACAATTACTTCTTCTCCACACATCCTCCTGTCTCTGTATCAGGGTGCATCCCAGGTACCTTAATTGTGCATCTACTCTGTGGTTCCTGAAGATGCTCTTGACAGCCTAGCATGGGGTTGGGGGTGTCAGGCACCTCCTTGGTAGCTGGAATGTTTCTGCTTTACGATTAGATAGCAATGCCTAGTGACCTCATTAGAGACCTGAGCTTACTCGGTATAGAATTATATCGAGTGTTTGGTGTGTGTTACAGATGGTCCCGAAATTCAGATCCCTCAATGCTGTCACTTCTGCTTGGCAAATTAAGAATTCTGGCTAGCAGTGGGTAAATGATGGCTCTTCTCATCATCTAGCAAACAATTGTTTGTTCCAGCAACAAGTGATTTTTAAACAGTTTGTTTTTAAATTGTGCACATTTGTGAACTATATTTTGAAAATTAGATGCAAGTACAAAATGTGTGCTGATAAAACCAGAGCAGTATGTCTGCCTCCTTAAATATTTATTATCATCATGTGTCCAGAAAGTTCAAACTCCTTTTAAATTCCTTGTGAAATATGTAATATTCTGGGGCCAATGGCATTACCAGACTCCTCCCTATCCCCTCTCTCTTCTCGCCAGAATCTCTTCCTTACTCTGTTCCTGTGAGGCTGATGTTTTCAGCACCCACATGAGCAACAATACATGATATACCGGGATGTCTTTTTATGGCTGAATAATATCTATTGGCATATCCGTCTGTCAGTGAGCATCCTTGTTGATTCCACATTTGTCTCTTGGGAATGGTGTGGCAGTAGCTGTAAAGATTCAGCTAGTCTCCTTTGGTCATTTTATTTGTTATTTGTCCAGTTGCTGTGACAAAACACCTGGCAAACATAAATTAATGTTGGGTTTATTTTAGCTCTAGTTCATTGTGATAGGGAAGTCATGATGGAGCATGAAGCAGCTGGCCACATTATGGCCGCAGTCAGGAAGCAGAGATGAATGGTGCTGACTACCTTAAATTCAATCTGGTACTCCAGCCAAGGGAATGGTGTTGCCCACATTCAGGGTGTATCACCCGCCTCAGATAAACCTCTAGAAATAATGTCCTTACAGTTTGTCTCATAGGTGATTCTGAATCTCACCAATGTGACAGTCCAGAATGACCATCACGTGCTCACACAGTAGTGACAAAGATGGACTGTTCACACACTTTATAAAGCGGCAGGACCTGTAATTGCGGATACCATGGTGCTGCAGCATAGAGCGGGCGAGGCTGGGACCCGGCCCTTGTTCCAGGACAGGCCACTGACATGAGGCCTGTGTCTTTTGCATTGCAAGGCACACTGGGAGGCGGTCCCACTTCCACTCTACCAAGCTGAACAAGGCCTGTTTCTTTATTTCTACACAAATCAAGTCATATTTAGCATATATTTACATGGTTGCATTTATCTCTGTGCATCTCCTTCCTGCCTGGTGCTGCAGAGGTCAGAAGAAGGCGTTCAATTCTCTGAGACTGGAGTTAGGAACAGTTGTGAACTGGAAATCAAACCGATGTCTTCTGCAAGAACAGCGAGTGCTCTTAACCACTGAGTCACCTTTCCAGCCCTGACAACTGTTATCTTACTGACTTATTTTGTTAGTTTTCTGAAAAGTCTTCTATTGTCTGGTTTTGAAGGTGCCCAATTACAGGACTGCACTGCACATCTATTTGGATTCAACCCAGCACCAAACTTGGAGATTTAGACACAGTAGCTTCCCATGCATTCACTGATGTTTAAGGGGACTGCACAGTTTGTCACAGACTAGCCACTTGATTGACTTTAGCATCTTCCTTTGTAGCCTTTCGTTATACATGACATGGAGACCTTGTGTATGGCTGAGAAGACACTTGTGGCCAAGATGGTGGCCAATGGCATCCAAAACAAGGAGGCAGAAGTCCGAATCTTCCACTGCTGCCAGTGCATGTCTGTGGAGACTGTCACCGAGCTCACAGAATTTGCCAAGGCCATCCCAGGCTTCGCAAACTTGGACTTGAATGACCAAGTTACCTTGCTAAAGTACGGTGTGTATGAAGCCATATTCACAATGCTGTCCTCCTTGATGAACAAAGACGGGATGCTGATAGCGTATGGCAATGGCTTCATAACTAGAGAGTTCCTAAAGAACCTGAGGAAGCCATTCTGTGACATCCTGGAACCAAAATTTGATTTTGCTATGAAGTTCAATGCCCTAGAACTGGATGACAGTGACATTTCCCTTTTTGTGGCTGCTATAATTTGCTGTGGAGGTAAGTTGATATGCCACCGTTGAGTTCTGATAGGCTTCCCCTTTGGAGGAGCTCAATGACTGTCGATACAGTGCCAGCATGGGCTCTGACACAGTGAAGTGGGCAGTGGGAGGGTGGGATGGTGTCTGAGCCGGTGTTACTGCCGAGTAGAATTGAGAATATACCTATTATGTGTTGTGATTGCATTCTTATTATAGTATCCATTACTGCATATTGGCATCTTCTATGCCTAAATTAAATATATGACCCTACTGATAATACAATTATATCAAATCAAGTGTCTTAGATACACATAATATATGGTGGTAATTTGTACTATTGATATTATAATTATTGTAGTAGATAATAGTCAGAAAGTACAGTGCAGGTGGAGGTACCGTGCTGTTACTGTTAATTGATGTTAATCCATCCATGACAAAAACTATCATGCTAACCAGAAGCAGCTGCAAAGACTGCTTTCCCAGAAGGAATGATCCAGTGAAGGGAGATCTGGGCCTCTCTGGGGAAGTTGGCCCTGTGGTCCCTGATATTTGGCTCAGCATTGCACTTCTTTAAATAGCCTTGTCTCTAGTCTAGGAAGGTCATTCACCTACTGTAAGCCCAGCTAACCTTGCCTGGCCTTGGCATAGCCCTATGGGTGACAATTCTTCCCAACTGCCAGAAGCCATACTGCCCTTCACAGTCACTGTCTGGCTGGTGTCTAGTTGGATGGAAGAAGCGCCGTTATGCATGCAAAGCATAAAAACATCACAGATCTGTAGAGTTTACCAGGGACCTTTGTGTGATTCAGTGTGGCAGGGTGGGTAGCAAGTCAATGCAGAGGAACACATACCCAGCCTTTCGTGGCTGCAGCCCTGCACCAATCCTGTGGATATGAAAACTGCTCCATGTGGAAAATCGTAAACTTGCCATGTGAAGTTATAAATATAAAGAGTGGATCCTTCTACCATTGTAAAACTTAGTCATGGAGTTGGGAAAATGGCTCAGTCAGTAAAGTGCTTATGACACAAGCATGAGGACCTATGTTTGAACTCAGAACCCACATTGTTTTTTAAAAGCTGCTGGGTGTGCAGGCCTGCTCTTGTAATCCCGGTGCTATGAAGGCAGAGATGCACAGATCCTTGGGGCTGGCTGGACAGCCAGACTAGTGTGCTTGATGAAGAGTTTCAAGCCAGTGAGAGACCCTGTCTCAAAAAATAAGGTGGGTGGCACCTGAGGAATGCCATCTAAGGTTGACTTCTGATCTCCACACACATGCCTCCCTCAAATACATACATACACAAACACCTTAGTTATTATATTTATTTTACTACTAAAACAATGAAGATTAAAACTGGCATCAAATACTGGAGAAATGGCTCATCAGTTAAGAGTATGTGCTACTCTTGCAGGAAACCTGAGTTCACGTCCCAGAATCCATGTCAGACAGCTCACAATTCCCTATAACTGCAGCTCCAGGTGATCTAATGCTCACTTCTGTCCTTCTGGAGAGCTGTACTCACAGGTATCCCGACCCTCCAAACACACACAGATACATAATTAAAATAATAAATAAATAAAAATAAAACCATTTTAAAAAACAATATAAATTTATTAAAAGATACATTTTAAGTTTCAATTAGATTATCGAACTAAAATATCATAATTGTATATATGCCACAGTTTGGTAACTGTGGTGTCTGCTTCACTTTTAAATATTAAGATTAAATTTCTGAACTTTCTGCAAATGAAAAGCAGATACAAATGACATAATATTTGATAATATGACTTAGAGATGTCACTACACTCTGGAAACAGGAAACAAAATAGGTAAAATAAGCACATGTTATCAGGAAGGTGTTCCAAACATAAATAAGGCCAGTGGGTAAAGCCCTTAAAAGCCTGACTGCTTGTGTTTGATCTCTGGAACCACATAATGGTAGAAAGAAAACCAGCTCCCAACAGCAAATATGAATTATGAAATAAATAATTCTATATTGTAAATAAAATGTTGTCTTCTGTTCCCATATATTTATGCCAAAAACAAACCCATAAATAAACACTTCGTCATTAGCAGCTTTTAAGCCCTAGTCATGGATGGATGAGGCTTAAGAGGCGCTGCTGTCTGGCTGGGCTAGGACCTGAGACTGTACCAGGAAGGCCACCTGGTGTGAGCAGTGGCACTTCCTGCTTGTCCCCTACCTAACTCCAGGGTTCCTTGGCATACTGCCCAGTCACAATCTTCCCCAGCCCTGGTCACTTCTCAGTCTGCGCCCCCACCCCCACCTCAGCAGAGGTATCAGTAATGTCACTTTAAGGCAGAGCTTGGCCCTGCCACGCTCCTGCTTTTCTCTAGGAAGAAGTACTTCATCTCCCACATTACACAAAGACACAGCATGGTTTGGGGCTTGCCAGGCAAATCCAAAAGTAGGGGCTGCACCAGAAGGGGAATAGGGGTAGCACTATGTGCTAGCCCTGTACACAGCTAGACGTGTCAGTTGTGTCTGTCCCCATCAGAGCCAGTGACTGGAAAAGTCCATCTGACCTCTGGTCAGCTGCCATGTGAAGGTCACCCAGCGCCTTCTCCACAGGGCCACATGAAGCAGCGACACTTGGCTCCTCCAACTGACCAGTGACTCACTGGTCACACTCAGACGTCTCTTTCTTCTTTTGAGCATAGATCGGCCTGGCCTTCTAAACATAGGATACATTGAGAAGATGCAGGAGGGTATCGTGCATGTGCTCAAACTCCACCTGCAGAGCAACCATCCGGATGATACCTTTCTCTTCCCGAAACTTCTTCAAAAAATGGTGGACCTTCGGCAGCTGGTCACGGAGCATGCACAGCTGGTGCAGGTCATCAAGAAGACAGAGTCTGATGCAGCGCTGCACCCGTTACTGCAGGAGATCTACAGGGACATGTACTGATTAATCCTGAGATGACGGCCATTGCCACTATCCAGGGACCTCTGAGGTCTGCAGCCCCACACATGAGAGCGGGGATTTGCACAGACCACCACCTTACCCTTGGAGGTGAAGAGGGCTGAGCCTAGGTAATGCAGGCTCTTTCCACTTCTTTCCTTTCTGGATGTGCACTTCTAAGAATGCCTGCTATTCAAATGCAGGTGATCAGAGGCTAATAGGATTCAGACAATCACAGAGAATGGCAGTCCTCAGTCTGATCTTAACTGGTCCAATGTTAATCAATGTACATTTCTCTACATCACATTTATAATTTTCCCTTAATTAACATGTAACCTCAAAGTCCAAGTTTCTCTTCTCTGCTTACCATTCTTATGGCTGTGTGCGCCCATGTAAATCCCAAACACTAATCTGCACTTTTTAACCTTTAAAACCTACAAGTCACCATGTGGCCCAAGGTGAGCCATTTAAACATGGCAACAATGTTTATTGGGAAGATGTCACTTCTGTTTCCTGGTTCTAAGAAAGAGAGCTGGCTTCTGAGAACATTCAAGAATGTTTAGAATGCAGCCTCGTCATTTTCTTTGTTGATTCACTGCTTTGGAGGGCATAACTAATACATGGAAAATTTTTCCGGGTTTGTGTAGAAAATCCCCAAAAGCTACAATCTCAAGAAACCTCAGGAGACTTGCACTAATGTCTGATACAGACAGGATGAGCCCCGAGCAACTAATTCTGCAATCCTGTTAAGCCTGCAGCAATTCCAGAGATGGAGTCACAGAAGACTTGTAAATGCTCCTCCAGCCCCCCTCTGGCAGCTCCTGTAATATGACACTTTATGACTTTTTTTTTTTTTAATTTTGGTGGGGAGATGCTCCCTGTAGTGGAGAAGGCAAAAGTGACTTTACTACCCAGGCTGGGAGTATCTGGTCACTCTGGAGAGCAAGTGGCAAGGTTGTGATGTCCTTCCCCCTTCTAATTTTACCCAGTTGAAGATCTCACAACACTTGGTTGGTTTTGTTGTTGCTTTCAAAGAATAAGATGGTGAAGTCCCTTTTCCTCCGTCCCACTGGGAAAACAGTACTGACTACCTTTAAGAGAAACACTCTGCACAGAAAATTCTCAGACCTCACTGACCTGCTAGAACCTGCCCTCCAAGAGGGTGACTGCATGTTTTAGAGCAGCTTGTATCTTTTATGCCCCTGCCCTAGTGTTAGAAAATTTTGGCTCTTCTCTAGTCATCGTTATTTGTTATTAAAGAAAGATCAAGATGGATACTGCCAAGGAGTTGAGGATATAGCTCATATAGAGGGCCACTTTATGTTGGGCATGGTGGTATGTGTCTGTAACCTCAGCAGATATTTAAGGTGGCCTTCAGATACATAATTAAGTCTGATGCCAGTCTGTACTGCAACACAAAAATGGAACACTGATATGGTTAAAAATGTTCATGATCAGCACTGAAAATCATAGAAATAATATGGCCATGACATTTCAAGTAGGAAAAATGGAAAATTAGGATCAAGGCATGCTTTAAGATTTGCACACTTATGGCCTGGTGGTTGTCATGTACACCTTTAATCCCAGCACTCAGGAGGCAGAGGCAGGTGGACCTCTGTGGGTTTAGGTCCAGCCTGGTTTATAGAGCTAGTTCTAGGACAGCCAAGGCAACAGCTTGTCTTAAAAAACAAGCTAAACCACTAAGATTTACACACTTACCAGCTTCTTCCCTTCCTCCCCCTGTAACAAATTTTCTTCTGTCCCATTAGCCAGCTCCCAAATAATGACACAGAGACTTATTAATTAGGCTTGTTCCTAACTAGCTTTTATAACATAAATTAGCCCATTTATATTAATTTATGTTCTATCACTTGACATTACCTCTCTTCCATCTTGGAATCTCCTGCTTGCTTAGATTCCTCCCCATCTTTCTTTCTCTCCCCAGAAATCTCATTTATACCTCCTGCCTAGCTATTGGCTATTCAGCTTTTTATTACACCAATCACAGCAATACACCTTTACACAGAGTACAAATATCCCACATTCCCCTCTCTTTCTCCCCTTCCTCCCTGTCTTCTTGCCTCTCTTCCATCCTCATTCCCACTTTCCCTCCCTCCCTTCCTTCCTTCCTTGCTTGCTTTCAGTCAATGGCTCTGTTGTTGCAGGCAGTCTACCCAGGCTCTTAAGAACCAGAGACAGAGCAAATCATTCCCATATATGATCCCAGTGAGAATTGAACTCATTCAGGAGAAGTTAGCCTTTGTGGCACATGTCATATCCAATCCTTGATCCTTCCTGCAGGGCTAGAACTGGTCCTAGGTCAAAGGTTGGATTCCAGTTCCAAGTATCTTTAGTGCAGACCATACCAGGGTGGTCTCCTGTTCTGATAGGCCTTAAACAAATGCCACTCCAGTGTTGGTGACCTTGGAAAGTGAGTTTTGAGTCATGGGTTTTTAGAGTGGCCATGCATTCTATTTGAACTTTCATAAAACTTATGAAAAGTAGCCTCTTGCTGTTATGCCTTCAGCATGGCCCACAGAACTGACTGACAAGTTCTGTGTCAGTTTGCATCTGAGCTGATGCTCAGCAGTGTTCATGAAGGTTTGATTCTCTAGAGCCTAGTGTGACTTCCTCTATGAGCCTGTCAGCAGGGGCCAGTCCACCAGCCCCTCCCTCCATACCGCCTCTTTCCAATAGTCTTATAGGCCCTTCCCCAGAAAAGATTCCTTAAAGTAGACCTTCAGGAAAACATGGTCCTTGGGCTCCTCTACACTCAGTTTGCATCTGTCTAATTCCAAACAAATCTCACTAGAACCTTTAACCAGCACACCACACGGGGCATGTTTGACACACAGCAGCTTGATGCATGGTAGTAAAGGATTTTGCTGAACTTCCTTTTAGTTTTTCTGGTGTCGCTTGAGACAGACTATCCTTTGGCCCAGGACCTCCTACAGCCAGAAAGCCTACCACCTTCACAGAATCTCTTTAACCTGTGTGGTCTTTCGAGATGAAGATTCCACTAGGAAGATGCAGCAACTTCCTACAACTGCTCACCCTGCATGCAGAGTAGGGCGCAGTTCCCCACTGGAGGGGTGAGAGCAGGAATCTAAATCCATTTTAAAGTAGACACTGGAGGGCCAGCCTGGTTTCCTAGTAGCCCACCAGGCACTACTCTGTCCCTAGTCCACATATGTATGGCAGATACCTGTGAACAGAGTAGGATAAGACTATTGGAGCAACAGCCTGACTCAGAACAGAGATGACTATTGCCTTTCTCTAAAAACACAGCACACACTAACATCTGTATCAAGACAGATTTGGGTTTAAATAAGTGGACCACGTTCCTCACTGAGCCTCCTCTGAGGAATGTGTTGGAGTCTCTGGTTTTACCTCAATGGAGTGGGCTTCAGGCTCATCAGGAAAAGATATGTGGCCCCCTTATCAGAACAGAGAGGCTGCTGTCACCAGCCTGGGACCCTGAGAACATTTTTTCAGCATCAGTCCCCAGCCAACAACTGTCGCATCCACTTCTCAGAATCTCAATCTGAGACATGAGAAATAGAGCCTGTTGCTTTGCTCGTCAGGGAGAGTGGTTGCATAGTGAGGTTCACCTTTCGGGGAGTCCTGTGCCAGCCAGAACAGACCAACCTGCATCCATGGTTAGTGTCATGCCTGACCAAGCAGCTGGCAGCACCTTAGTGGCAAAAGGAAATGAGAAACATCAGTTTTATATCATAGACAGTGACGAGGCTCAGTTTCATTTTCTTTTTATTTAAAAGTTCACCAGTTGGGGGCAAATATGAAAACCCTGGAGTTGTCGGTAGAGAGGGGAAATAATGGTCTCCTCTTCACATCTCTTTCCCCCTTGCTCAGCCTCAAATTCATTTATTCAGTGAAACATGCCTCATCCCTGGGGCACAGGTTGGACAGCGGTGAGGCCAGAGCAGAGGCACGTGGATCTCTGGGCTCCCTGGCCTGCAAGGGACACTTGGACATCTTTCCTAGGCCCCTGGGACTCAGTAGTGTCAAGTCACATAGAGCCTGATTCAGGACCTGAAGACCTGCGAGTGGTGAAGTTATATCTGTGGGAAAATTCACTTAGAGAAAAGGCATAGCCGACTCTATTGTTAGGTCTGAAATTAAGTGTACCTCACAACAGATGAATGCCACTTGGCACCTTTCTAGGAAGATGTCAGTATTATCCATGCTAAGTGTCACTATATTTTCTGCACTGAATGAAAAAGAATTCTCTTTATAGCTATGTCTTAAATACTGTGATTTCTATTTTTGTTTTTTAAACACTCTGACACAAGTAGATGACTAGCTTGTGATCGAGTGTCTAATCGCCAACACCTGGAATCTTCTGAGTCAAGGTTCAGTGTGGTTTATGCTTAAAGCCTGGCTCTTGAACCTACTGGACACAGGAAGCCCAAGAAAAAACAATAGCACCACTGCCCATGAGTGCATACCCCACACCTGAGCTGTGCACCATCTCTTCCCAATGTTCCTTTTTTTTTTTTTTTTTTTTTTTTTTTTTTTTTTCCTCCCTTGAAACAAATGCAAGCCAATTTGTTTGTATCCATTTCTGCCAGCTGGGCCTTCCTGAACCCTGGCTGGAAGTCAACAGCCTTACACCAGTGTTTCTATCAGGACCACTGAGTAGGCTTGTTGGGGTAACAGCTGTCCACTATTCAGGGAATTGTTACCTATAAATTACCAAAGAACTGTGGCAATCTGAGCTGTCCCACTGCATCTCCATGTCACTTCCAGTGTCCTGGCCACATTTCTTTTTGGTGAGTCTTTGTAACGCCCTCTAAGATCCACAATGTCATAACACTAGAGCCCTTGGGGAGGGGTCTGATGGACACAAGAGGGCATGCTCTTTTCCAAAGCAAGGTCTGAGCCTGGCTTTCTGCCACCTGCTCACTACTGTCCTTGGTGCCATTCTCTCAGACCTGGGGGCTTTCAGCCCTTCACCTGTGATAAGAACAGTCCTGAATAGGGATGAATAGGGATTGTTGAGCCAGTGTCAGCATCCTCGCCCACCTCCCAGCTCTTTGTGGATAGAGGGCTACCCAGGACATCAGGAATCCAGGGTGAACACAGAGGGCAAATAAAATTTTCTAGTCACATGAACTGAATGGTTCCAGGCAATTAGAAAATGGCTACAATTTAACCTTAATTAAAAAAAAAATTGAGTCTTCTTCTTTTTCTCCATAGGAGATTGAACTGACTGTATACATTGATTTATATCCTGAATTTATGGGAACCTGTATGTTTGGAATGTCCTACTGTAAGACTGATGAATGTAAAGAGTTAATTTCAGGGTACAGTTTTGCCTTAATGGTTTAAAATAAACTATTTTTAAAAATTAGTTGGTTCATTTTGAATGATGCTGGAACATGGCTGGTTTGCACAGACTGGCCCCCACAGGATGCACTGAGCATCCAAGTAGGCCAGTGAAGGGTTACTTAAACCATTAGCTTATTTTTCAGGTTTTTAATTATAAACATGACACAAAGTCAGGGTTTAAATCACTTCCTAGGCATTGCACAGGATGTGACATAACCCTTGCATGCCCTCTGGTCTTGCCACTGGCCCTCAGAGGCTGATTTCCCTATAGGCAGATGACATCATGTTACTTGGAAGTCCTGGAGAGAAGCCAGGTGTCTCCCACAGGTACATGTACAGGAAGTTCTACCAACTGTCCACTGAAGAAGGTTCCCTGTCCCTCACTCCTGGCCTCCACCAGAGCTGCAGCTGGATTCACTCCTGCTGTCTGTCCTCAGGCTTGGCCAGCTCCTTGGGCTGCAGGTACTCCACAGTTCAGAGGAGGCCAGATACACATCTCCCAGCTGGAACCCTGGCCGAGTCAGCCCATGCTGCACAGGAGGCTGTGTGCCTGTCAGTCAGGGATGGCTGGAGGGCCTCTTGGAGGCCCCTTTTCTCTTCTCCACATCCTGCTGTATTTCTTGAGGGAAAGCACTGATATTCTCCTGAACACAGGGGAGGCAGATCCTCTTGGAGTAGAATAGGCTGCAGTCCTATGAGAGGGAACAGGGCTAGAACACTGGGGATACAGCGCTACCTCTCCCAGGCAACCCCCACTCCAAGAGGCACAGGGAAAGGCAGCAACCTGAGCAACAAAAAGAAGCACCAAGGGCTGGCAGGGTGGCCATCCGGTCTGAAGTGCTGAGGAACAATCCCTTGCAATGGAGATCACCTTACTAATAATGTATTGTTTACTCCAAGAGAGGGGATGATGCCTGACATTCTTGGGGGCAGCCTCCCTTTTTTGCTTGCAAGTACAGCCCGATTCCAAGGAGTGACACTTGAGGCTCCTTAGAGGCTGCCCCCAGCCCATGTTTCTAGTTTCTAGGTGACCTCAAACACTCCCTCTACAGTCTTCCCTCCAGGTGGTGGGACCTGAGGCTCCTGCCACCATCCCATACACCAACCAGACAGCAAAGACAGGAGACAGTTGTTGGCTATGACCTGTGGCAAGGCTCCTTGTGTGCACTGAACCTGTGGCAGGTAACCAGGACTCAGACCCAGGACTACTGTAAGGCCCAACCCCAGGCTGAGATTCTGTCTGCCCACACTGGCCCCTTCCCTGTGCCCTTGTGTCCCAAAGGATGTCGGCTGTCATCTAAGGACCCCCACCCTCTCTCCACCTGGTGATCAGGAGGTCCCCAGGTATACTTACCGGGCCCACACACACCAGCTTGCCGCACACACTGCACCGTGCGCCCAGGACCAGAAACCTGGCCTTGTCTGAAGAAAAGGGATCCTTCATGATGTAGCTCTCCTCCAGGAGGCTGCAGGGAGAAGGGACACTCAGCTGTGAGCCATGGCAGAGCTGCACAGCAGCAGCAGGAGCCTCAGCAGGCAGGAACTTGTCAAGTTGGACAGAAAGGCTGGCAGCTGGAGGACAGGTAGGAAATGAAATGGGACCCAGCCCCAGCTCTGCAAGGTGAAGTAGGAAGCCTCTCAATGCACACCAGAGCAAGCATGAGCAAGCATGATTCACTAGGTGGGTTCATGAGGTCAGGGTGGGGCACACTCTTCTCTGTCCCACATACATCAGAATGAGAGCAACTTAGTGGCATGGTAATCCAGGGAAGCAAAAGAATTGAGCCTGGTTCCCTGACACTTTGTCATGTGAGTCCAGCACTAGCCAGCTTTCTCACATGACGTTTGATGAAGGATGAGCCACACAACCCAACAAATAAGCCTAGAACCACCTCTGCTCCCAACTGGCATGAAGCAAACCTTCAGGAAGCTGGTCCTTAGGAACCACTAGGATGGCATAGGGCACAGCACCTCGTGAAAAAGCCACCATACTCCTCCATTGCTGTTTGCCCTGGGCCACAAGGCATCTGCCTTATAGACAGAACAAGTGCCTATCTGTCAGCTGCACCTACAGGAAGGGCAGAGAGTCCTGGACGAGTTTTAAAAAAACAAAAACAAAAACTTTCCAGTCTTCCTGGAGTTTCCTTAGGCTATGCCTAGAACATTCAGAACAAGGGCAAGGACTGACCTAAGTACAATGCCCAACCCAGGTGTCACACTCCACACAGCGCCTGCCAAGCAATACTGGACAGAGCCTCTTGAGCACTGGCCCAGAGTGCATACTCACACAACAGCCTGGGTGTCTGGGGGCTTCTGTCCCACGTAACTGTAAGGAGCTGTCAAGGCACAGAGCTGGCACTCAAACATGCCCAGGGGGCTGGGCTCTGCCTCAGATGCCATCTGTAAGACCAAGAGATAGGGGCATTGGAACTGAGAACCACCACACTTCAAATCTGCTCTGCCTGCTGTCCATATCATATCCACAAAATGCAAGTCTCCTTGATAAGCTCAAACTCAGAGCAAGCAACACCTGTTCAATGGCACCCAGGATTATCAAGTGTGCAATATTGACTGTGCCTAGCCTGGGCTACAAAACGAAGTGACATCAAGAGCACTGTTTCCATCCCCACATCCTTACACTGAATAATTTACTTATTTAATTTACATTTGCTTATTTGGGGAGGTGGTTATGCATCCATGGATTTCATGAAGAGGTCAGAGGACAACTTGCAGAAATTCTCTCCTTCTACAGTATAGGTCCTGGGGATTGATTTCAGGTCATCAGCCTTGGCAGCAAATGTTATAGACATTTGAGTTACAAACTGGAGTTACAGACAGTTGTGAGCTGCCATGTGGGTGCTTGGAATTCAACCCAGGTCCTCTGGAAGAGCAGAGACAGTGCTTTTAACTGCTGAGCCATCTCTCCAGCCTTGGCAGCAAATGTCTTTAACCCCTGAGCTATCTCACCAGCCATAATTTTTAATTATATTTTTATTGACTGATTTTGTATATGTATGCATGTGTGTATTAGTCAGGGTTCTCTAGAGTCACAAAATTTATGGAATGAATTTCTCTCCCTCTCTCTAAGTAAGTGTGTGTGTGCATTAATTATTGGAATGACTTACAGGCTGTAGTGCAACAATGGCTAGCTGTGAATAGAAAGTCCAAGAATCTAGTAGTTGCTCAGTCCCACAAGGCTGGGTGTCTCAGGCAGTCTTCTGTATTTTCTAGAATCATGAAGCAGGTTCCAATGCCAGTGAAGGGATGGACAAGGCAAGCGGGTGAAGAAGGAATGAGCACTTCCTTCTTCTGTGTCCTTATACAGGCTTCCGGCAGAAGGGGTGGCCCAGATTAAAGGTGTGCCTTCCAGCCTCCAGATCTGGATTAAAGATGTGTGTCTTCTTGACTTAAGATCTGGATCGAAAGTGTACCCTCTGTTTCTGGACTGTAGTTCATTCCAGACACAGTCAAGCGGACAACCGAGAATGGCTACCACAATGTGCCACAGAACCAATGGGGAGTCAGTTCTCACCTTTCACCATGTGCCATCTGGAGATCAATTTCAGGTCAATCTTGGCAGTAAGGCACCTTAATCTGCCGAGCTATCTCACCAGCCCCACTCTGGATAACTTCTAGACTCCTTTCAAGTCCTCTGGCTTTATTCACATCCACCAATAGGCCCCTGGAAGGCATTCTTCCTCTTTGTGGTTTTTTTTCACTACCAACTCCTCTGCTGAAATCCCCATCTGTGTGTGCATGTTATATATCTTTCCCCCTGGCACCTGTGATATGTTAACCATGCTTGTTTTAAACCTCTCATCTGATAGTTCACCTCAACATCTGAGCCATGTCTGGTTCTGCACCTATTATTTTGCTCCTTGGCAGCAAGGCTGTTTCCTTGCTCTTTCTTCTGTCTCAATCTGGGTTAAAGCCAGAAGACTTGTCTGTAAGGTGGTAGAGGTAAAACAGTATTTAGGACCCAGAGTGGCCATGTATGCCAGGCCTGTGTGTTTGATGCTGAATTAATCCAGTGGGTAACTGAGGTGGGTTTGTCTTTCCTGGTTGTTCTTCTGTACTGGCTTTCAATTTCTCTAGCATTACTTGTGCTTAGGTGTGAGATTATTTATGAGCAGATTTCTGTGCTTCCTGCACCTGTGCCTCTTGCACTGGATACAAGAATCTTCACTTGCCCTAGAGCATACCTTCCTGCCTTACCCAAGTAGCCTGAAAGTTTTGTTCCCTTGGAAGATCCAGGCAGATAAATTTGCAGCGACCAGAGCCTTCCCCAGGTCAGCTTACAGGAGAGCTCTTCAAGATTGTTTGCTCTGCCTTCAGTATTTCCCACCAGCACCCGGTGTATGCTAGTGAAAAGCCCAGGGTGAGTGCGAAGTCCCTTGTTTCCGTGGTTCCCCAGGGGTCGAATCCTGGTCTACTTGGTGTGGCTGCATTCTTATCTGTTTGGATGGCACTCCTACACTCAAGTGTATCTAACTAAGGTTTTGGAGGCCCTGCCTCTCTGTAGATTGCTGGCTAAACGGTCTGCCGGCAACCGCAGAGATTTTACAGCGCTATATTGGAATTCTTGCCTTGTCTTTCAAAGTTTCCACACAATTCAGCAGCGCAGCCCGGGCCCCAGTTGTGCCCTCCTCTAACCCTTTGTGTCCTGCAGAACGAGATCTGTAGCCAGAAGGAACAAGCGTTGGAAACTGCAGGGGTTCCGGACGATGTCTATAAATGAAAATCCTATTTTGAGTGTGCGCGAGTCTAACTAGTTCTGCTTGGTATCTTAACTCGCACGTCCCAGGCCCTCGCCGAGGCTGCTGGGCATGCTGCCCTTGTAGCAGGTGACAGTCAGGAGACAGTCCCAGGATTGCGCGACTCCGCCAGATCCTCCGCCTCCCGTTCCCCCGGTCAGCAGGGCTCCACCTGGCGACCAAAGACACCTAAGGCTCGGATCACCCAACAAGCCACCGACGCGCAACTCTGCCCGCGACCTGAGCCGGGTGTTAAGTCTAACGCCTCCCTCTCGGCTTCCAGAAGCGCCGAGGCTAGACCCAGCAAGCCTGGCCGTGAAGAAGGAACGGTTCCGCTTAACACGCGGGTCCCGGCAACAAACTGCCGAGAGCACTCACCACATCCCGGCTGAAAGTTCCACGGCGCCTGCGTGGCCGGCCCACAACAAAGCTCCGCCCCCATTGCGCCTGTGCGGCCCCGCCCTAAGTCCGCCTAGGTCCCGCCTTCTGTACATAGCGTCTGCGCAATCCCGCCCCACGGAGCGGGTTGAGCCTGCTGAGGCCCCACCCCCGCACTACCCTAGGCCGGGGGCTCGCCTCACGGCGTCTACCGGACCCCACCCGGTCCCGCCTCCGAAGGCAAGATTAATCTAAGGAGTGTCCTTGTCAGGGTTGAGCTTCACCGGCCGCTTCCGTTTCCGCTGCTGATGTCTAGAAGTTATGGATTTTTGCTTGAAGGTTGTCTGGGCTTCTTTCAGGACGAAGCTTACTGATGACAGACAAAAAAAAAAAAAAAAAAAAAAAAAAAAAAAAAAAAAAAAAGCCAGTTCTCTCTAAATTTTGCTTGGTAAACCAGTGAATTTATTGGGATTATTTACAGGGCTAAGGGAAACATTGAAAACCCTACCCATTGGGGGTGATGACTTGCCTGTAAGACTGCAAGACTTAGAAGTAGTTCACCTGTCTCTCGCAGAAATCAGCAATTGCTAAGTGCTTCTCTAACTTTGGGAAGGAGCTTTGTTGTGGATTGTTGTGGATATTCTTTTTTTAGAGGCGGGGGGGGGGGATGGAGAGAGAGAGATGATTTCTCTGAATAACAGTCCTGACTCTCCTAGAACCCTCCTTGTAGACCGACTGGCCTTAAACTCACAGAGATCCGCCTATCTCTGCTTCTCGAGTGCTGGGATTAAGGGTGTTGCCATCATAATTGGCATGGATATTCTTAAATTAAAAGTCTGGTGAGCTTTCTGATTCATGTACATCCTGTGCCTCCAGTACAGTAACAACCAAAACAACTGGACTATTGAGTATTCAGCCCTAAACAGGATGTCTATGTCATTCCCAACCCCCAACCCCAACAAGAGACCAAAAAGAGCATAAGAGCAGAGGGAGGATAGGGAAGGACATTGTGAAATGCTATCTTTTGGGCATAACATGGCTGTCAGCCTAATGAGTTCACAGCAGCTGTGATAACCCAGCCAGTTAACATTACAGTGTGGATAGGGGTGGGACTCATGTGGCTCCACCCTGTCTGGGGAGTAATTGGCAACTGATGGCTATTGGGGACAGAGGTGTCATGTTTCTTTGGGGGGTGTGCACTGATAGGGAGGATTCTGGATAATGATGATGGTGATGGCATTAGCATGAAGTGGGAAGAGGACCTGTTGGATGAATACAAAAATAGTGGTAGGAGTGGATAGATTGAAGGTATTACAATGTTCAAGAATGAATTTTAAAATAAAGCTGAATATGGTGATATATGCCTTTAATCCCAGCACTGGGGGAGCAGAGGCAGGCAGATCTCTGTGAGTTCACTATTTAATGAGTTCCAGGACAGCCAATGCTATGTCCTGTCTCCAAAAAAAGTAGAGTGCCATACAGGAAAAATCTTCAGAGTCACAGGATGCTGATGTGAGTGTAGTGTGGCCATAGCCTCATTTGTGTGTTTACCTTTTCTGGCCCTCACTTCTGAAGGTAGCCACAGATATGTCTGGATCCCTTACACAGAAATCACTGCACAGGTCATGGAAGAAATCTCAAGTTTAATTCATGTAAAACTTAAAGTGGTGTCAACAAAGTCACATGCTTCTGAGTAACAATGTAACAGCTGTTAGCCCTTGTTCTTCTTGAACAGTAAACCTCATTTCCTTACTCCTAAATCATCCACCAAGTCATAAATATAACCAATCACCCAAGTCATCAGACACATATTGCTATATTCAGTACATAAAACATGTACCATATTTCCACAAGAACCTTTGTGCATCTTTGTTGGCAAGAGCTATGTCTCTTGGTCAGAGAATGTTACCAGGTGCAGTTGAAATGCAGTTGAAATGCTGAGGGAATTAAGTGGGAAACCTCAGATCCCTGTCCCCTGCTCTCACCTCTGCATTCTCAAACTCTAAAGCCAGTCCTGGAACTCTCCCATAGGACCACTCTAGCCCTGGCCTGCAGAAAGGCTGGAGGAGAGAGGCTTCCCAGGCATGGTCTGCAAAGGAGACTCCCAGGGAGGCTGGCCAGTTTGCTTCTGCTTAGAGGCTGCTGGCCTGAAGCTGAATCCACAATGGGACCTGGCCAGCTCTTTCCTTTGAAGCTGGGTCTCAAAATCCATAGTTGTCACTCCTCCACACTGCTGCAGGCTCCCACGAAAGGAGTCAATGAATCCCATCCGGAGGGAATCTTACCTTGCCATCCTCTTCTCTCCCTCAATATTCCCCTCTGTTCATGTGTTCTTATTTCCAAGAGCAGGACCCAGAGTGGGGATACTTCACATGTGGAGATGTGCATGACTAAGCCATCAAACATTCTTTAGTCCCCTTGACAAACATACTTAATGTTTGGGGACATTCTTGCTTGTGGCCCTTCCAACCTGTCAGACAACAAGGTAAACCATTTTCTTCCCATTGATGTTTCTGGTCTTCAGCCCCAGGAACCGGCGATTGTTTTTCTCTGGCTGCCCATACATCATGTCAACAAAGAATTCAGATTGGTCTTTGTCCCTAGATCGGGAGGTGAGAAAGTCAAAGCCAGACCGTAGATTATCACATAGATAGGTTATTGCCTCTGCCTCATCTGATGGCTCCTCATACACAGGCTGCTTCATCTCATCGTAGGCAGACAGAATCACTGCCTGGAACAAGTTGATGAAGATACAAATCATCACCAGCATAAACGATGAGAGAAACAGGACCCCAAGAACCTTGTTGCTGGAGAATTCTGTGTTCTGAAAGGCTGACACACAGTAGGAGAAGATGGTTTGGGTGGCATGAATCATGTTGCTGTAATTCCATTCATGCTGACCAAACACCAGGTACCCAAAAGCTACATACATGAAGGAATACATAGATACCACCAAGGCCATGTGGCAGATGCCGGGAAGGGCAGCCTGGATGGCCTTCTGAGCCAGGCGCACATCATAGAAGAATCTGGAATACCTGAGTGTCTTCAGTATAGTCAAAAATAACAAGAAAGCCAAAGTGATCCTCATGAAGTGATCAACCCGAGAAATGGCGTGGAAGGGGATGAAGGCTTCTGGGTCAGTCAGGTAAAGCTGAACCATGCTGGTGGCCAGGAGGTACTTCTGGAAGAACAGCACTATCAGCAGTGTAAACATGCACTTCAGAGACAAGTTGAGCAGGTTGTACACACTTCTCAAGTAGGAAGCTCTTTCTTGCATGATGATATAGCCCTCATCCACAACATAGGCACAAAAGAAAATGAGAATAGCTGCATAGAGGTAGATTTCTGCCCATGTTTCTCTGTTGAAATCAGCAAGTGAGAATGAGTATACAGAGAGGCTGGAGTTGACAATCCCTAAGGGAGAGACTTCAAATACAACTGAAATGCTACACATGAGACTGGTGTCTGGATTCAGGGTGGTTAATTCTACAATCACAGCCCATGTCATGTCATCAAGCCAATTCTTTCCCTCAAGTTCCTTGAGCCTTAGTGTGGAATTAAAGATCTGCTGTTTTGGAAAGAAATAGAATGCATACCCTCCAGATCCATAGGTGTTTAACACTCCATAGGAATGATACACCCATTTCTTCCTGGGAAACTTATAAGTAAACCCATCACTGGGTTTGTCTGCAGATTGCTTGGCAGCCTTATTCCAAACACTGATATAGTTTTTTCTGTCTTCTGGGTCAATGCCATACTGTGGGTGACAACGGATTTCTCCTGCAATGCTACTCTGCACAAACTTCTTGGCCAACAGACATGTTTTGTTGCTAGGTTTGGCCCTCACTTGCCTCATGAGTGGAAGGCCAAGGATTTTGGATGAGCTGTCTGGAAGGAATGTTGGGTTCAGGTCATTGTGTAACAATGGCAGGAGCACACTGTTGAGCCATGTATAGATATCTCCCAGCTTCATCACAGTGGCAAGATCTATGGAGAACTGATGTCGAATGAACTGGTTATAGTAGAAGCTATCATTATGGCGCAGTGAGACAATAAGCAGTAGGAGAAGGGTTAGGAATATGAAGTGGGTCACAAGGTAGCTCAGGAATAAGAGGGACCTCCTTCTGATCCTCTTCTTCCTCCTGAGTATTTGGATTTTGTCCTCAGTGATGGGCTGGTATATGCTAGAGCCTCGGAGGTAGTCCATGTCCTCATGGAGCTGCTGCATCTCCTCTGTCGACATCCTCGCCTCCTGCAGCCTGATTTCTGTATAATGGTACTTGCTGGACCATGAGAGATTTTTACAGTACTTCGGGTTTCTTATCCTGGTTCCTGACCACAATAGAATCTTGCATGGTTGTACAAGGAACACAGACTGACAGAAAGAGCATAAAGATGCAAAAAGCCACTCTAGTGACTTGTCATAGCCATAAGTCAGGCCATAAAATACAATAAGGAATGATGATATGCCAGAAGTGGCAAACACCAAAAACCAGGCTATATAAACACACCACCTAGGCAGAATAATCTGGGTCTTAGTTTTAACAGGCTGAGTTTTATCCAGCCGGGTAGAAGAGGCCTTTGAAGAGTCATTTTCACTGCCTTCTACATTATTGTTACTGAAGTTCTTATTGGACTTTTGGATATCTGGAGCCTTGCTGTCTTCTTTCTTACTCTTCTGGGAAGTGTTAAAGGCCCGCTTTAAAGGCTTTCCCTTGGGAGCAGAAGTGGACTTGGCAGCTTTTTTGGAGAGAGCCTTCATTTCATACTCATGCCATTTGTCCAGTCGCTCTTTCCAGAACAGACCTTCCTCTGACATCAGTGGGTGCTTCTGAGGTACCACCTTGTCTAGATTCACTGGAGGTTTCTTCTGGGAATAGGTGAAGAAAAAAGTTATCAATAATTGCACAGGGATTGTGATTAAGACACTTTCGATCCCTATCATCATTGACCTGATGATACGCCTCTCTTTGGATTCAGTTTGTTCTTTTCTGTTCAGATTAAAAAACATGATATTACAAACAAGAGAGCTTAGCAACATAGCCAAGCAGCAGGACAGCCTCTGGAGCCTGTTGTACGGTTTGGGCACAACATCAGTGAAAATGGAGAACCACGTGTGGTTTTTACTGAGCTTATGGTTCAGATCAATCAGGAAGAAGTCTGTCCTTCTCAGAGGCTCATCCAGGTTAGTGACAGAAAATGTTGCATCCAAAGTGGTGTCCACAGAGAGCCATGTTCGGCACACAAACAGCCAAATGTGTCTGCTGAAGAGGTTTTCAACTTTGATTCGACTCAGGTACCAGCTAGGTGCCTTACCTTCATTGTCGTGCCACACTCGGATAGAATGGATGTCCCCCAAATCATTTTTTGTCGTTAGGAGGAAAGTGTTGATGCTTCCTCGGTAGAGAGTTCTAAAATATGGATGGCTTAAACAATGCACATCACTGGTACTCTCTGTTCCCATAAGCTGGATAAAGACATTGGCTCTGGTTCCAGACCCCAAGCGACTCCCAGTGAAGATGGTAACCAGGTAGCATATGTTATCAAAAGGATCATTGTCAGGCAGTACTACCACGTGGTCCCGAAGATACTGATCCATTACATCCCTGTGCAAGGCCCAGAAAGCCAGAATAACATACAAGATCATAATGAAAAGCACAGCCAGGAAGGTCACAGGGTTTTGGTTAAGGTTCCTAATGACCTTTAGCTGCAGGTCCACAGGGTTAGGGACCACGATTACCTTAGCAGTCACAAAGTGGGTTTGTAGACGAAGGTAGGTAAACTTCATAGAGGCCAGCTGGCGCCGCCTCCGCCCCACATTCCTGCAGATACAGTGTACTTTTTTCCATGTGGTCTTCTCACCCAACACACAGGTACCTTCCTGCCAATCACTCTGTATCCCATACATGTCCAAACAGTGAACCATGAAGAGAGCAATTCTCACTAGCTTGTTAGTGGGCTTAAAGACAAAACGAGGTGCCTGCAGGAGCATGGATATGTTATATTTGAATGAATGGCTATGTTGAGCTATGATTCGAAGCAAGGATGATGGTAGACAAATCACACGGGCCTCCTTGACTGGACAGGTTTGGTCAAACAGGCCACTCCACTTGGCAGTAGGAGGGATGTCATGAGGTACAAGGAAAGTGGCAACCAGATTGGTGGGGGCGACCTGACTGCCTGCATATACCAAGGCCTTGAACAACACTGTCACTTTTGTGACAATGTGGATCAGTACCTGCCCAGTTCCTCTGCTGTCCACCTCAAAGCTAATTCCACCTGTTGTCATCTTTGAGAACCCAGAACCCTCAATACCTGGTCCCACCATGAGGTTAAAACTCGCAAAGGTCAAGTCTTTTCTGACTATATACACTTCGGCTACATCGGGTGTGATCCCTATGACACTAGTGTTATCTGTGGCTTCTGTCATTCTGAACCCTACCACACCTGCAGAAATGTTTTCTGGGTAAGTTATCCAAGGAAAGGGGTCATTGGTGAACTCACAAAACATCACCGAAACTGGAGCCTTCGAAGGTAGAACAGGAACCCTGCTTGCATTCAGTGTCGCATGGAGGCAATTCGGACAGAGTGTCTCATTTCTGAAGACCTTAGAAACATTCGAATTTTCAGCTTTCTCCACATACATGTTAAAGCTGCTAGTCCTCATTACAGTGGTTTCACTCCCTGGTACCTTGTTAGCCAATATTGTGTCTGATAGTGATTCAACTACGAAGAAAGGGTCTTGAAACTCGTAGTGGGGGTTGATCCACTTAAGAATATTAGACAGACTGGTTAGGATGCCAGTGCCCACAATTTCAATGTGCCGCGAGTGAAGGTGTTTGTTCTTGCGTTGGTATGCTTGCAGGGCTTGGTTCGCTTGCCACAGCCGTAATGTGGCGCCCACTGAAACCACTTGACTGGAGTCAGAGGCTTCCTGGGTTAATTTGGTGATCACCATCACCACCTGGCAGATCTGGTCCAGGGTGCCCATGTCAGGCACAAAGGACTGATTGACAAGGTGTTCCAGGAGATGGGCTCTATCATTTTGAAGTGCCAACTCCTTTTTTATGTTGTTCAAGACAGAAGCCACCACATATATTAAGTAGCCTGCAGGTAGCCAGTCCTGCTTTTGAAGTGAAGTAGCCAGTGGTGATGTTGTTTCCGTGGTGAAATCGAGCAGCTGTTTTAAAACAGTCTTTGAGGAGTCCCTGACAGTAGGCACCTGTACAGTGGCTTGCAAAGTCACCTGAGAAAATGTCCCTAGTGAGTCATAGATCTGAGCATACAGCTTCAAACTGTAGTGGTTTGCCATCACACCGACAGGGAGAAAGAAGGCAGGCGTCGTGGACTGTGTCCCTGAATACGCTATGATACCTAGTGTATTCTCTTCTACTGAACTGATTTCACCAATGCTGTCCATCTCAGCTACTATTATTTTATACTTAAGGGGGAGGTGCTTGTCCTTAAAGTCACTACATTCAACAACAAATTTAGTAACCATCGAAATCCCTTTAGCTGGATTGATCTTGCACTTGCCATCTTGGGGGCCATGGTTAACAACAAAAGGATATCTCAAATTCAAGGTTGTACCACTCCAAGATATTAGATGCAGAGAAACCCAAAACCCCTTTTCCAAAAAATTCCTAAAGGCAAACGCTTTTATAGATAAGTAAGCCCCATTTCTCCTGGTGGCAGCTTGCCCTGCCCAATCAAACATCACTTCATGACCCAATCTAGACAAAATGGACCAGCTATAGAAATCCTGGCTCAAACAACCTGTGCAATTTAGAAACAGAGAGAACCTATCTGATACGACTAAAGTGGGGCCACAATTTTCAATGCATGAAATGCGTGCCTTAGGTGGCAGTCCTTTGAGTACCTGTACAGTTTTATCAGCAAATGCAGTTCTGTTTTGTTTCCGTACTACCATTCTGAAGTAATATACACTGTTGCCCCTAAGAGTTTCTGGTGGAATTGTTAGTATAGGGCCCACTGCCCAAGGCCAGTTCAACGTATCCTGTTCTGGGTGACATACATGCCGGTGGGTCACTGGTACATAGTTGCCACCATAGTATGTAGGATTTGTGGTACAGTACCAAAAGAAACGGAGCCCCTCTGTGGGGATGTCCGCCTCTGGGTCAGAGGAAGCGTTTCCATTCAGAATCAGTCCATCAGAGAAATTCATAGCCATGTTGGTGGCTCCAGGAAGAACAGCATTTAGGGGACGTTTTTTAACCCAAATGTAGATATTATCCGAGTCTGTCAGAGGGGACAAGGTGGGGTCCCACCTAATGATGGACAGTGTGAAGTTAAAAACATACACCCCATAAGGCAAGGCTGATTTGGGGATGTGGACGGAGGAAAACTTCATCACCTGCACCTGTGGCAGTTTCACAGGTCGGTTCCAGTCAGGCGTGTCGTTTACAGAGGCCACCAAATAGTACAGCCAGCTCTTGCGAATGACCATGGCCTCAGGGCAGTCCCAGAGCATGGTGACATTTAGGGTGACTTCCTCTTTCCTGCTCAGGATAAGGGGAGCATGCTGGTTTTTCCCGTTGATCTTCACCGACTGCACGGTACAGGTGGTCGTCTGGCAGGACACAGTAGCCTTGGCGGCTGCAGGGTTCGACGAGTTGACTTTCAGGAGGACGCGCGCAGCTGCGCCCGAGGGACACCTATGGGGCACCATAAGGCCAGCACGGCGCGGGGCTGTGCGCGGGGACAGGCCACCGGTGCCACCGCCCCGGACGCTGCTCTCCTCGCCCTGCCCCAGCCCCGGGGCGCCCCTGAGCACGCCCGGCAGCCCGCGAGGGCCGGGGGATGGCGGCAGGCGACCCAGGCCCAGGCCCAGACCCAAGAGCAGCAGCGCGGGGCCGGGCCACATGGCTCCCCCCCCAGGAGCTGCGGGACCGCGGGGCACAACGGCCGTGACGCTGGGCTGGGCCACGAGCGCACCGGGAGGGGCTGGGCGCGCAGCTGGCCGCGGGGCAGCGGTCCAGGGAGCATCTGGGGCTCAAACGCCACAGGGCAATGAGTTACCAGGGGGGGAGTGGGTTTTCAGGAACTGCGGATTTCCAGGACTTAGTGAGTTCCAGAGAGAGTGTGTTCCCAGGGTCGGTGAGTCCCAAAGGGCAGTGGGTTCCCAGGAACAGTGGGGTCACAAGGTCATCAAAGGTCTCAGGACCAAGGAGAACCACAGAACACTGCAGTGGCATGGGAAGTACAGGCAGCCGGTTTCCAGGGGAAGTGGGTCTCCGGGAGTCTCAGGACCAAGGAGGATCATAGAGCAGCTGGGACCAGGGCGACCACAGGGCACTGGGGCATTAAGGACAGTGGTATCTCTAGAAAGGAAGAGGCAAGATAGGTCATCATGGGCGGGGCAGCAGCCTGACTCAAGACTGCTTCCTGCTGCCTCTTCTCACACTGGTGTGTAGACTCTAGCTAGGATCAGGGTTTGCTAAATGAGGTTAATCCCACTCCCCGCCCCTGGCTCTTTTCTTCTTTTTAAAACTGGACGTGCCAAAAAAGCTTCTTAGCAGAAATTCCGCTCCCACGGGAAAACCAGCTCCAAAATAATATAATCAGGAGGGCCTTGCTAGTGCCTCAGCTCAGTCTGGGGACATTTGACACTTGTTTTTGTTTTTCTTCCCTCCACTTTTAAATGCATTTTATTTATCTATTTACTTATTTGCTCGTTTGTTTTAGTGTCTTCCCAGGAACCAACTGAAGATCCTCCTGGCTTAGCCTCCTCATTGCTAGGATCATAGGAGTGTAATCAAACCTACCTAAATGTAACTATATGTTTTAGGAGGGAGAAGGGTACTGCAGTTAAAACCTAGGGTCCCCGGGAATGGTAATCAAGGCTATACCCCTGAGTCCTTACATGAAACCATAGGCCACTAATTTGGCACATTTCTTCTCCTCCTCCTCCTCCTTCTCTTCCTCCTCCTCCTCCTTCTTCTTTCTCCTCCTTCTCATTATTATCATTATCATTATATTATTATTCCTTCTCTTCTCCCTCTTCCTCCTCCTTTCTTTTCTTTCTCCTCCTCCCACTCCCTCTTCTCCTATTCTTCAAAGGCGTTTAAAACTACAAATTCCCTACTATACAATATAAGTACATCCTACTTACTGTATATTTGTCACCTTTCTGTTAAAATATTTCTAATTTCCCTAGTGTTTTTGTACCCATGAATTATTCCAAATGGTGTTGTTAGTTGCAAACATTGGGGATTTCTGCAGAAAATGTGTGCTTATTAATTTCTAATTAACTCTGCTTTAATTAGAAAATAGATTCAGAATGATTTTTTTTTTTTTTTTGTCTTTTAAATTTAGGACTTGCCTTAATGGCCACTCTGGGGTCACACTTGGTTTTTGTTTTGTGTGGGTGTTTTGTTTGTTTTGTTTTGTTGAGACAGGGTTTCTCTGTGTAGCTTTGTAGACCAGGCTGGCCTCAAACTCACAGAGATCCACCTGCCTCTGCCTCCCGAGTGCTGGGATTAAAGACACGTGCCATCACCACCTGGCTCTGGTGTCCCAGTTGGTATATGTTCCATGTGAACTTAAGCATGAATGTCTATGTTGTTGTTAGCATTGAATCTAGAACCTCATTCATGCTCCCCAGACCCTCCACCATTGGGGAATATTTTTTTTCTTAAATTTGAAACAAAGTTTCAATCCCAGTTCTCTCACCCTCCCATCCTCCCCTATCACCCCCACCAAACCCCAGCCCATCCCCTTTTTGCTCCCCAGGGAGGGTGAAGCCTTCCATGGGGAGTCTTCAAAGTCTGTCATATATATCATTTGGGGCAGGGCCTAGGCCCTCCCCCATGTCTCTAGGCTGAGAAAGTATTTCTCTATGTGGGATGGGCTCCCAAAGTCCATTCCTATATTAGGGATAAATAGTGATCCATTACTAGAGGCCCCATAGACTACCCAGTCCTCCTAACTAACACCCACATTCAGGAGGTCTGAGTCAGTCCTATGCTGGTTTCCCAGCTATCAGACTGAGGTGCATGAGCTCCCCCTTGTTCAGGTCAGCTGATTCTGTGGATTTCTCCAGCCTTTGCTCATCACTCCTCCCTCTCTGTAACTGGATTCCAGGAGTTCGGCTCAGTGTTTAGCTGTGGGTGTCCGCTTCTGCTTCCACCAGCTACTAGATGAAGGCTCTAATCTCATTACTATGGAAGGGCATTAAAGGTAGTCTCTCCACTATTGCTTAGTTAGTTAATTGGATTCATCCTTGTAGTTCTCTGGACATTTCCTAGTGCCAGCTTTCTCAACTCTATAATGGCTCTCTCTATTATAGTATTTCTTTTCTTACTTTCCTCTATTCTTCCCATTAATCTTTCTACTCCCTCATGTCCTCTTCTCCCCTCCTAACTCCTTTTCCCCTCCCCCCATGCTCCCAATTTTCTCAGGTCTTGTCCCTTTCCCCTTCTCTGGGGGACCATGTAAGTCTCTCTTAGGGTCCTCCTTGTTTCCTAGCTTTTCTGGCAGTGTGAATTGTAGGCTGGTAATACTTTGCTCTGTGTCTAAAATCCATATATGAGTGAGTACATACTGTGTTTGTCTTTTTGTGACTGGGTTACCTCAATCAGATGGTTTCTTCTAGTTCCATCCATTTCCCTGTGATTTTCAGGATTCCATTGTGTCTTTCTGTTGAACCTGGTTCTTCCCTGATGACTTGGATTTTGGTCTTTCCAAGAGTCTCATCACCTGGGGTCCCTCAATTAATCAGGGCTTCCCTTGATATTCTTTAGCCCTGGGTTTGCACAGTTTTGTCTACCCTACTCTCATGCACAAGGCTATATCAAGGCTAGGATAAACATGAACACCCTTTATATTCTGCCCTACTTGGAGAGTGCCTTTCCCACCACAGCCCTGCTCCTTGGTCAAGGCTATATCAAAGCCAGAGTAAACATGAACACCCTTTATACTCTGCCCTACTTGGAAAGTGTGCCCTTCCCACCACAGCCCTGCTCCTGCTCATGCCTTAGAGCTGCTGCTGCATCCACAGGCCAGAGGGCTTCAGGAAGCTCCTGCTATTCAGTGGGGGAAACCACGCCATGCCGGCATCTCCAGTGGCCTCAAAGACACCCTCTGCTGCCTCTTCAGCCTCTGTGCCTGAAGCAAGCAAGGAGACCCAGGCCTCACTGACCTCTGTATAGGCCTTCTTCATGTACTCTTATATGCAGGATATTTGATTACACCGTAAACCCGAGATTGCATTATTTACTAGAAAAACCTGTTTCTAGTTGTGGTATGGCTCAATGATAGCACACACCTTTAACCCAAGAGCTTTCTGCTTGGTATAAACAGCATTAAGTAAAGTCAACCATAGGTCCAGAGTGCAGCAAGAAACCAGTTGACAGGAAGTGAACAAGAAAAAAAAAAAAATAGAGAGTAAGAGGGAGACAGGAGGACAGAGAGACATACAGGTAGTAGAAGGGAGGGGCATTCAGTTTGAGGTTTTTTGTTTGAGATGTCAGAAGGAGTTTTTGTGGGGAGTGGGAACATTGGCTGAGGAGGAGGGTCAGCTGGGTGCTTTCTCTGCCTTTCTGAGCTAGCAGGCTTTCACCCCAGCATCTGGCTCCCAAGTCTTTATTGGTAAAATTGAATGATTAAGATGTAGTTTAAAACACCTTTATTTATTTATTTTTACATATATGTGCTTCTTTGTTTGTTTGGTGGGGAACAGGTAATACATACCTATATGGAGATCAGAGGATAGCTTGCCAGAGTTGAATTCTAAGAATTAAATTAAGTTTATGTGGCTTGACAGCAAGCACCCTACCCACTGGGCCCCCTCCTTCACCCCATTGGTTCGTTCATGGTATTTGGGGGCCTTTTGGTTGTGCAGGAATGGGATGTTGGTGATTTGGATTCTGGGACACTACAACTTCTCTGGAGGCCAGAAGTCTCCAGATTCTTCTCTAAAGTGATGATCCAGTTGACACCGGTCTGTGGAGAATGAGGAGGAAACAGGGAACCCAACTCAGGTGCAAGATTCAAAAGGAATGTGGCACAAAACCTCATTCATCAAGACGTTATTGAAGATATAATCACATGATGTCACCTATTCAGAAGGGTAAAGCTAGGTGGTATTGAGTACATATTAAGGTTTTTCAGCCAAACAGTTTGCCACCCCCAAATAAAATCCCACTACCACTGGCAGTGGTCTCATACCATCCCTTGCCCTGACCTCCAGCAATCTGCCTTCTGTTTCTACCAATATGCTATTATGGACATTTAACATATACCTGATGATAATGACGGGGATGATGATGGTGATGATGATGATGTGTGCTTGACTTCTTTCACTTAGCTACAGCACTGTGAACCTTCCAACCTCTCCAGTAGCCAAGTGTGTGTCTTCTTTGGGGAGATATCCTCTGGTTTCTTCTTGTCTTCTTCTTCTTCTTCTTCTTCTTCTTCTTCTTCTTCTTCTTCTTCTTCTTCTTCTTTTTCCTTCCTTTGCCAACTCCTAACTTGACTGTTTAACATTTTCCTGTTGAGTTGTAAGAGTTTTTAAAAATATATTTATTATTATTTGTGTATATGTGTATGTACCTGAAGTATGTACTGAATGAGTTTATGGGCACCATATGCGTGCAGGTGCCCACAGAGGCCAAACAACATCTGATCTCTAGGTTAAAGTTACAAATAGATTTGAGCACTTGGTGCAGGTGCTGGGAACCAAAACTGGGTCCTTTGCAAGAACAGCAAGTGCTGCTAACTGTTGAGCCATCTCATCGGTCCCAAGATTTCTTATAGATTCTGGATATTAGGCCCTTATCTAATATATGATTTGCAAGTATTTTCTCCTATTCCATATTCCCTTTCTTTTTCTGATAGTGTATTAATCTCACCAATTGAGAGTAAGACCACTACCACAGTTTAAAGCCAAATTTGAAGCAAACTTTAATGAAATACTGGCCAGGTCCATACCCAAATTCCTGGGAAATGGCCCTGAGTTATGATTTGCAGCAGCTTAAGAAGGAAAACCCATAATTCATTGCATTTCCCATCAGGTCCAATCAGAGGCAAGCATCATCCTGATGTACCTGGAGCCTATATCCAATCAGGGACAAGCATACAACCTGACATATTTTCTGCCTGTGAACCTCCCGCCCACATGTGTTCAAGTACAACCCTAGCTGATGGGTCAAACAAACTTGTTGAGGGGAGTGAAAACATGTGATTTGTTATCTCCCATAAACAATAGCCTCCAGCATTTCAGGAACTATCCATCTGTTCTTGAGCAAGTGGCTTGCAGATAAGAGACATGTTTGTTTCATGGGTGTCTAAGGCATATTAATTAAAATTTAAAATGTAACTTTGGCTCTGGCAAGTGTCCTTTGGATCAGAAAATATGCTAATTTAGTGAAGTTCAACTGATCCATTTTGTTAGTGGTGGATGTTTCAGTGTGCTGTGTCTACTAGTCCACTGTCTAATCCAAAGACATTAGAGTTACCTCCAACCATGTTTGCTGTTAAAATGCTATTTATGCCAACTGGGGAGACTTATAACTTTAATCCCAGCACTCTGAATGCAGAGGCAAGTAGATCTCTATGAGTTCAAGACCGGGCTGATCTACACGGTGAGGCTATTGCCTTTAAGAAGTGTCTCTTCAACACTTATATAAAACAGTACTTTAATTTATTTCTGAAATTGAACAGTAATACAGAAAATCTATGACAAAATACTAACATTTTAAACAAAGACAGGATCTGTCTCTGCATCCTCCCTGCTTGCCTGACTCCCACACACTGTCTAGAAACTTTCTGTAGGAAGCAAGGAGAACTGTGTTATTCTCCAAGCCCCAAGGAAAGGAGGGGTACTGTCCCATAGGTGAAGCTTGTGAGTGAAGAAGTGTCCAAACACTGAGTTGTAAGTGCTGGAAGCTGACAGGTACAGGTGGGCTACCTAGAACTTGCATGTGACAGCCAGGCCTGGTGGGACTGATCTGTAATGCTGTCAGGCATTATAGACAAGTAATGAAACAATTCTAGGGAAGAGGATCCCAAGTTCAAAGCCCACCTACAAAGCTAATCTAAGACCAGCTTGGGCAATTTAGTGAGATCCTAACTCAAAACAAGGCGGGGTGGGGGGGGGGAGATGGGGGGAATGTAGATCAGTAGTACAGCTCTTGACTAAGGTATACGAGGCTCCAGGCACTGGCCCAGGGCTCCCAAGCCTCCCGACAGCTTCTGGTCTCATGAAGGAGGCGGGCTGGGAGAGAGAGGCTGGACCCATGTCATTCTTCAGAGGACAAGGAGGACTCTGAAGCTCTAATCTGACCTGGGCACTCTAGCTAGGTGGAGCTTGGTAGCACGGTCTGGAGCGACCAGCTAGTTCTGAGCATCCTCGCTGGGGAACATGGCCAGGGTGCCCAGGTGTGCCCTCCCATCCCCCCATCTCTTTCCCCTTCCCTACCCACGCCCACACCCACACCTCCCACACCCACCCCTGGTTTCAGGGGCGGGCAGGCTTGGGCCCTGAGCTAGACACGTGTGTCCAAAGCCACCAGTGAGCGATCAGGGAGCTCTTCCGCCCTCGCCCCGCCCCCTTCCGCAATCAACAACACCCTCACTTCCCTGGAAGGCTTCGGGGGGACTTCCAAGAGCCTTAACCTGCTGGCCCTCACTCTGCAGACCAAAACCACAATCATGTCACTGCGAGACTGCCAGGTATGCACACCCGCTCGGCTGGTCCTCCTGAGTCCGGGAGTTGGCCCAACACTGAGCAGTCAGGAGCAAACATGCAGTTCACCCAGTCAGGCAGGGGACCTTGTCCTGAGCGCTTTGTGACTTTGCAGCTGAGGGTGGAGGGGACTACCTAGTGGTTCCCAGTCAGGGGGCACCACCGGCGAAAGCTCATGCACTGGGCTTGGCTCCAAAAAAGCTCGTGCACTGGGCTTGGCTCCAGGAAGCCTTTCATATGAAGCTATCCCGGGACAGGACCTTGAGCCAAACTTTCAGAGAAGGAAGATGAAGGTAGGAGCAGCACTGCTGCCTAATTTCCAAATATTGAGAAGTGTAGACCTTTGCTGTCTGGGACTAAAGGTCATGTCTCACGACCTAGAGAGACACTGGTATTGTGCACCCGGAGGGTCAGGTCACTGAGGGCAACTATTATAATCTGAAGGATTTCCAACTGGTCCAACTCCTCCCACACAGTGTTGGCAGGGAGTATACACCTTGCTAGGCAGGTGACAAACCAGATATCCTTCAAGATATACACCCAGGGCCAGGCTTCCCATCACTCCTGCTAATGGGACTCCCATTTACTGTCTCCCATTTACTGGCTGACACTTGAACTCACCTCACTGGGCCCTCGTAGATATTTTACAGGGGTGGGGAAGGGGAACCAAGGGTTTGGAGGTTCAGCTCAGTAAACCCGTGGTATTCCTTCCCTGTTATGTAGGCGTGGAAGGATGCTGGGCTCCCACTCTCAACCACAAGCAATGAAGCCTGCAAGCTGTTTGATGCCACCTTGACCCAGGTATGCCTGCCAAGAGACTCTTGTCTTTCTTGAAGGGTTCTGAGGAGGGCTTTAGATTGGTTGATGGTCTATCAATCCCATTGCAGTAAAAATATGCACTTGGCCACAGAGGTCCAACAACATGGGAAGTGTCTCTGCCAGCCCCACTAGCCCTATTCCCAAGGTCCCCAGTTCAAGAGTGGACAAAATAGATTATGCTGAGCCATCACAGTGTCCCCCACTGTGGCTTGCTGAGGTCTGCCATGTAGACATGGGGTCCTGTCCTGAGGCTCAGCTCATGTTAGCAGGACCAAAACCTTTATCCATTCCCAGGCATTTCCATACCAGTGAAGGATCCTATAGTTCAGGGACTTGGGGGCTTACAGGAGAGGGGACAGGGTCTCAGAAGGAAGGTCCAAGTAGCTTTTTTGCCAGGTGGGATAATGGGGAGCTCAGAGTATTGAAATGACTTGGGTCAAGTGTCATCCAATACATCAGAGGCCAAGCCAAGGTGCCCCTGAGTCTGAAAATACAGATAGAAAGCAAAAGCTGGTCTTTCCATCTTCCAGCCTTTGTGTCTCTAATGGCAATGAACACAGGCCATGGTCTTCTTGTTTGTTTGGGTCTCACACTGTAGTCTAGATTGGCCTGGAACCTACAGTAAGCTTCCTGACTCCATCCCCCAATTGATGGGATTATGGATGTGAACCTCCCTACCTGGCTCACTATGGTTATTTTCAAAAGAAATGAAACAGGAATTGTGTGATTCCAGAGCTCCTCTTGGTGTTGAAGAAGGGGACATGCTGCATCTCATCTCTTGGGAAAGACCTGCTTTTCCACAGTTCTTTTCTGGCAGTGGGCATCCCTAGCCCTAGGAGTTGTCACCCAACCATGTTCATTTAATCTCGTCCTAGAAGACCAATTGAGTTATACCTTCTTTGAATTAGATAGAGTCCATTTGTTCTAGAGTCCAGTGAACTAGAGTCAGTGTTCTCGAAAGAAAAAGATCTGGGACTCCCTCCGCAGTGGGACATGTGTGAGACCCCGAGTTTGAACTCCAGCACCGCCCTGACCAAAAAAATTTAAAAATCCAAGTTTAGATATATGCTTGCATTGATACAGTCTAAAGGATCCACGGGAACAGAGTAGTTTTCCATTTCCCATTCCAGTATGTCAAGTGGACCAATGACAAGAGTCTTGGTGGGATCGAGGGCTGCCTGTCAAAGCTCAAGGCAGCAGATCCAGCCTTTGGTGAGTAAAGCTCTCCCTAGGTAAAGGAGCACCGTTCACATGGCCTGATACTAGGGACTCACTTGGTGGTAGTGGTGGGGGTATGGGACACATTGGGGACAGTGACTGAGCTGACATTTGCACAGAGGGAAGATGATGACAGCTATTTTTGTGTTAGGAACAATGGCTGCTCCCATGAGGATGCCATTCCTTTAGAAGGTTCTAGATTTTTTCTTCTATCATCAATTTCATAAAGGCATCAAATCTACTTCTTAGATAAGGAAACTGGGGCTCAGTGAAAGTGAGACACATACCTGAGTCTAGCTGGCTCTAAAGCCCAGAATCCTAGCTCACAAGGGATGGCTTCTGAAACCTTTGTCAAGGGTCTCAGTACTTGGGACATCTCCAGAACTGGATGGAGATGGAGGACTGAGTGTGGCTCATGGGCAAGCCTTGTGTGCAACAGGCTGGGGGAGGTCAGTCCAGTACATTTCAGGATCCAAGATGGGTGGCCCAAGGCTGGGGTAAGGTTCCTGGCATTTGAGAAGACCTCTAAAATGGTGATGGATATTAGGGACATTCTTAACACATGCAGCAGCCTAGCCTAGCTAAAGCCAAGGGCTTTATTAACCTGACAAGGATATGATGAGGAGATACAAGAGAAAAGCAGGACAAGCCAAATGTAGCCACAGGGACAGCTAGTGGTCAGAGTGGACTCACTCTGTAAGTAGGGTCCACTAGCTGGACTAGGGAGTATCCTAGTATTGTGGTTCTTTTTTTCTAGGCCAGTGGCAGTGACTAAGTTCTGCATATGAGGGGACGTCCTTCTTTTCTGGAGATGGGGCTGGGAAACATGGGTAGGACCTGGGACTCACCTTCACTAAGGACCAACATCTTCCCCATCATGTGTGAGGGCAGTGAAATGGAAACATTGTCTGTGCTCCAGGCCTGGCCTTGTTAATCCAAGATGCCCTGAATGGCATCCCCTGAGCATCCCAGGAGGTCTATGCTGGTTATAGCATTAATACCAGCCAATGCAGAGGGTAACACTTCAGACCTTGGAGTTCAACAGAAAATCCAAAAAAGAAAAAAAAAAATAACCTCAATTACTTAGAAGGTGCTGTTTCATCCATTGCTTGCTGAAAACCAGAGCTGAGATCCAAGGTTTTGTTTTGTTTTTGTGGAACAGGATTTCTCTGTAGCCTTGGGTGGCTGGTCTGGCACTCACAGAGATCTGCCTGCCTCTGCCTCTGCCTCTGCCTCTGCCTCTGGAATGCTGGGAGTAAAGGCATGCTCCACCACCACCCGGCTGAGATCCAGGTTTTTGATAAGGGCCTCACACACAGTGAACCTGTACCAAGCATGGCTCAGACCTCAGGAATGTGGGGCTGGGCTAGGCTGAGTGACCAGCTGTTTTCCAATCTTCTGTCAGCCATGGGTCATGCCATCTCTAACGGCCTTGTGCTCATTGGCACGGGAAGCTCCGTGAAGCTGGACAAAGACCTAGACCTGGCTGTGAAGACGATGATGGAGGTTTCCCAAACCCAGACTCTGACACCTCGGGAGCAGCTGCATATATCTGCGGTGGAGATGTTTGCCAAGGGGTGAGGGGCCTCCCTGGGCTGGGGGTTGGGACTCTGAGCTTGCACAAGGTGATGCCTCAGAGGTTAAGAATCTCACGAGCCTGCTATGCCCCAAATTGAATGCTGAATGAAGAAGTATTTAGCAAGGGTTTCTGGTTTGGGGTTCAGAATAGCTATGGTTCGTTCACATGGTTACCATTTTAATCACAGCATCTAGGAGAGAGAAGGAAACAATTGACCTTTTTGCTTCTTGCCCTGAAGTCTGTATTTATCAGCTTTCTGCTGTTGTAAGGAAATACCCAAGACAATGCATTTTATAAGGAAGAAAGGTTTATTTTGGAATATGCTTTCAAAGGCTTCAGTCCTTAGGCACTTAAATTCTATTGCTTGTGCTTCATGGCCGTAATAAGTAGTAGAGGAGGCTGCTCACCTCATAGCAGCCAGGAAAGTCAAGATAGGACCAAGGTCCTAATGTTCCCCTCACTTGCATGCTTCCAGTAACCTAATAGAATATCACCAGGCCCAAAGTCTGGAAGGTTACACCACTTGTCAACAGTACCACAGGCTGAGACACCCAACCTTCAACATACAGGTCTTTAGGGTATGTTCAGGATTCCAACACTATGTGCATCAGCTCTCTACCTTCCAGATGGTTCTCTGCCTCCATTCCCACAGTCCTCCAGGGCAGTCCCTCTGTCTGCTTGAATAGGCGAGCTGTCCTGAAGAGACTTAGCTGATAGGATTGATAGGATGCATGCTACACAGGGTTAGGGATCTGAGTCCAGATGCCCAGCACCCAGGCAAAAAGCCAGAGGTAGGCAGAGACAGGCAGATCCCTGGCACACATTGGTAAGGCCCAGGTTCAATGAGTGACTATGGAAATAAGGGGGAGATCAATTGATGGGGACACCTGATGTTGACCTCTGACCTCCACATGTGTGTGCGTGCGCGGGCGCACACACACACACACACATACACACACACATACACACCCTGTTTTTCTTCTCCTCTTAAAGATTTGTTTATATTATGTGTCTTAAGTTTTCCTTATAAGTATGTCTGTGTATCACATGTGTGCCTGGTGCCCAAGGAAACCTGGAGAAGGCACCAGAACTCCCGCCATTGGCATTATAGATGGGTTCAAGTTTTACTAGGGGTGCTGGGAACTGAGTCTGGGACCTCTGTAAAAGGAGCAAGTGCTGTTAACCACTGTTCAGCTCCCTGTTTTCTTCTTGAAGCTGAGTGAGAAGGTAAAATTTCCCACCGGATTTTGAATTTTATGAGGTATAACCTAGAGTAGGAAATGTGTACCTATATATGTCTATAACATTTTTTAACTGTGCAGTGTTGGGTATGGACTCCAGAGCCCTGCCTGCTATGCACATTCCAACTACATTCCTAGCTCTTGATGAGATTTCTTTTTTTCAGATGGAAGCAGTTTCTCTGTTTATGAACTATTAGTACACAAGGCAGTGGGTGTTATCAGACCTTGTTCTCCCTCACCACCACCCCTACTGTCTGTCCTCAAGCCCCAGCCCCACACTGACTTATTTTCTTCCTTCCCCAAGAATGTCCCTCTACTTTCATGTCACACATACTCCATTACCTTTCCTATTTCCTCCTCCCTTCAGATTGCACTCCTTATGAGTTTCGTGACACATGCACGACACATAACTATAATTTGTGTGTATATATATGTATGTATATAATCACAGCTACATATACAAAAATAAATTATATATACATATGCAGGAGTGTGTTGTAGTATGTGTGTGGGTGAGATATGCATGTGCCCTTGTGCTCAGAGGCCAGAGGAGGATATCATCAAGTGTCCCATGCTATCGCTCTCCATCTTAGTCCCTTAATACAGGGTCTCTTACTGAACCTAGAGCCTTTCAGACAGACTGGTGGCCAGCAAGCTCCAGAAACTCTTTCTCCACCACTGGGGTTACAGGTGCATGGCCATGCTGGGGATTCTGTCCTGCTGTGCAGCAAGTACTCTTACCCACTGTGCCATCTCCCTAATCCCAGATATAATTGCTTAAAGAAACTCAGGCAGGCAGTGACATATTTCCACCCCAGGTAGATGTGGACTTCATACTCAGTGTGTTCTTGACTTGCAGAAACTTCCCAAAAGCCTGTGATCTCTGGGAACAAATCCTCCAGGACCACCCAACAGACATGTTGGCCCTGAAGTTTTCCCACGATGCCTACTTCTACCTGGGCTCCCAGGAGCAGATGCGGGATTCTGTGGCTCGAATTTACCCATTTTGGACACCTGACATCCCCCTTAACAGGTACATGCCAGCAAGAAGCCACATCATCGCATTCTTCAGTTTCTCTCCTATACCCTAAAGGCATGGGAATGCTGTTGGCCCCAGCCTAAAGATAACAGAGACTCCTGCTGCTAATCTAAAAGGCTTCTTTTTTTTCATTTGATCTTCATCTCATTGTGTGAATGAGATGGTACCATTGTGTAACAAAAACAGATTTTTGTTGTTGTAGTAACAAACATTCCCAAGATTATATTCTGCAAAGCTTAATACCCATACTTCATGTCTGTCATTAGTTTTACTTTTTTATGATAGGATCTGATTCTGTAACCCAGGTTGGCCTTAAATTCATGGCAGTCTTATGCCTCATCATCTTGGGTATTGGGATTACAGGTAATGAGCCACCATGCCTGACTGTTCCTTGTTCATCTGTACAAGGCCAAGGCTTCTGTGCACTATTTTTCACCTAACCTGGGAGCACCCACTAGCCAGCCTGTCACTCCACAGAACTGATTCCACGACCCTGTTTGTCCAGCTCACCCTCCATTCTGGCCCACATACTCTGGATGACCACATACTTGCATTTCTCATCAGTCACCCAGGCAATACGTCCTAAGACAGTTGCTCACAGGTGACCCAGGGGCTATATCCTGTATGAACAGAAGCCTGAGAGGAGCTATCCATAGTGCCAGGATTCCCAGGAAGATGTGTCTAGATTGTGTCATCCTCCATGGAGAGACCCTGCATTGATGTCTGAGAAAGCAGATCTTTGAACTAAAGGAAATTCAAAAGGAATTCTGCTGAGCTCAGCTCCTCTGGGTTGGGGACATGAGTCAGACTTTCATTGCTGACTCTTGCCTAAGACCTGAGTAGAATCAGGGTGTCAGCAAATCCTTTTTCTTTGATACCAGCTCTGCTCTGCCTTCTTACAACAGTGATCCAATTGCCACTCACTGCATCTTAGCTTGGTTCCATCTGTGAAGTCCCTGTGTCCAGACACAGTCACATACAAGCCCTGGGTGTGTGGACTCCAGCAGATCTTGCTGGGGGAATCCATTCCACTTGCCCCTGAGGTCTCTGGGTACTGAAGCCTTTTCTGTGTTTTCAGCTATGTGAAAGGCATCTATTCTTTTGGACTGATGGAAACCAACTTCTATGAACAGGCACAAAAGCTTGCCAAAGAGGTGAGTGGGTCCTTCTCAAGCTGTGAAGCCCTTAAGGGTATGGCGCCTCATGTGAGGGTCAAGCAACCACCTCTCCACCTTGCAGTGTCCTCTTGGGAGGGGCTGTTGTTACCTGTCCATCACTCCTCTAAGCCTCCCAAGGTCCCTGGAACAGATGAGGCTGTGAGACTCAGGAGATGGTGGCTCTTAACTCAGAGGTTACCAGAGTGGTGGCTCTGTGCTTCTGTGAATCCCAGTTGGCTCTAGAGCCAGTTGGAACTGGAATACTATAGGAGAGCCATGCAAACCTTTGGTTCTTTGTCAGAGCCTGCTCCAATGAGTCACTTGGGTTACCTGCGTAGAGGTGTGAGGATTGAAAAGAAACAGAAACACAGGATAGATTCGGGAGAACTGCCCAGTCCATGCCTTTCAGCACATTGGACAGCCCCAAGTTTAATTTAGATCTTGCTTATATTTAGACTAGAGGCAAAGCAGAACAAAGAGCAGTATAGCCAATTAACCAACTCCCCACACTGTCCTTGAATCAAGGAGCAGCCAGGTTCACTATCACATGAGTCCTGCTAGCAGCAAGCAGCTTCATTCCCTATCTCTATGTGCCTTTTGGCTGGCATCAGAAGCTTGTTAGTGAGATAATATGCTCTTTTCCATGGGCTTCATCAGACCCTTCTCACGGCTCTCAAGGAGACTGAAACAAGCAAGCTTGACCTCTAATGTCTTATTAGTCAGCATAGACTCCAGATGGAAACTGAGTCACTTGTGGGCTCCCACAGTTCTCCCTCCTTGAGTTTTACCTTTCCACCTGATCTAGCTGTGCGGCATGCAGCTTCAGGTGGGTAGAGATTTCAAAGGTCAGGGTCTGATCTTGTTATGTTCTTCCTTCCTTCGTGTGTGTGTGTGTGTGTGTGTGTGTGTGTGTGTGTGTGTGTGTAGGGATGTCTTTGTCCTGCCCACAAGCTTGTCTCTTAACTATCACTTATCACTCTTGGTGCTTATCAGTGGGAGGGATGGAGCCAGCATGGATCCTGCTAGATGCTTCAGCCTCAGGTCCTGTGTTCTGTATTCTGTGCTGGCTGATCTGGAGTTTTGAGGACTCCCCTGTGGACCTGAAACCAGGGTCAAGTGACAGCTCTGGGTGCGATATAGCTCAGGCTCTGGGAGTCCTTCTCTGCCACTCTTGTCCTTGCAAGAGTAGAAACTAAGGTGCAAGGGGGCATTGCCATGCATATAAGATGACATATTCTCTTGGTCCAGGTTCACAACTAGCAATTGTGCACTTCTGCTCCTACCAATGGTCTCTGCCCATACTGTTAAACATCTTGGTGCCCAGAGAAGAGAGCTGCAGCTCAGAGAGAGGCTAGGCAGAGCCCTCCCATGGTGATAAAGCTCGGGGGTCAGATTATCACCTAGGCCATCTGACAAGATGACTGTCTTTTAAACAGCCTGGACTAGACCTTAGCTTTCCCTACATCCCTGCTGTGGCTCCCAACCCAGGCATTGCTTCATTTGGCCTGAAGTGTCCCCTCAGGATAGCATCCTCAGGGTGTCTGATGGTTACCTGAATCAAACGCAATCCAGATTCAGGGATCCAGTAAAGGGTTTTCATTTGATTTTGGTTTTGTTTTCTTTAGCTCTGAGTCAGCCCTGAGGGCTCCAGGTAGCTTTTTGGCCATCTAAGCTCTATGATCAGAATAGCCAGATACCCTATCTGTAGCTAAGCCACAGGAAGGCCCCTCTGTTTGGAGGGCCCACCTAGGCATCAGGAGGACAGCAGAGCACTTGAAAGATCTCTGAGTGTCACTGTGACATGCCGATTCCAAAGAGAGATGGCCAAGGATGCATACTCAAGTCTTCTAAGAAACAAGATTGGCAGAATAGCGCCCCACCCATTGCTTTCCTGCCCTTTGTTCCAGCTCACACTGACCTTAGCCCCAGCGCCCACAGACAGTTGCTAGATATGAAGATAAGGCTATAGCCGTGTCCCCCATGTAGACAGCACTAGGCTCCACTGAACTACAATGACCTCACAAGATGACAGCAAGCCCAGCAGGTCAACCTCAGACATGAGAGCAGGCAGAGAGTTGGAGAATCCCAGGGAACCATGCAAGGTCTCCAGCTGAGTGAAAAAGAACAGGGCTGAATCATATTTCTCAACCATCCTGTGTGAAAGCAAATGCTTAGAGGTGTTGCTTAGAGGGATGTTCAGCCATGCATCCTACCATATCCCCAGCTATCCTGGTACTCAGACTCTCTGCCCCAAGTATTCTAAACATACTGTGTGACCCCTGTCTTCCCACATGGAGTAGACAAGACTGTGAAAGCTGAGGGGCAGGAGCAGGGGCCAGAGACTGATGGGGACATGTTGCCAAAACCCTTGCTGCAGGTGCCAAGCCAGTGTGGAAGCACGTGCAGTTCTAGACACTGCAGAAAGCAGGCCTGAGGGACCCATGATTTGGTGTGGGACTCTGAATACAAGCCGGTGATGGGTTGCGGCAAACCCCAGTTCACTACTTCATGTCCAGCACTAGGAGATGCTTCATAAACATGAACTGACCTACTTAATAGATGGACAAGGAAGTAAGAGTCAGTTCACATGTCCCTCTGCCTCACCCTAGAACTCAGGGTTCATGTAGATTTTGTCATTAACAACAGTATTGCTAGAACCAGTTGCTTCTAACTCAGGAAGCCACCTGTGTCCATATCCTGAGTATAAGTGGGAGGGGTGGCCTCTTGTCATTTACCACAAAAGGATGTCAAAGTCAACACTGTTATCATAGCCCTAAAAGGAAGGCAGCCCTAGAAGCCATGATGGGAAACTAAGGCACAGAGCTCCTGGGTAGCATATTGCAGATGACTGGGGTGTACCCAGGAGGAAGTCCTAGCCTCCTTGAGCTCCAGTTTCCTCATCTGTCAAGCCAGTAGCTGTAGCCAGATGAGGTGGGTAAGGCATATATTGGTACCCCCAGGCACATAGGAAATGGGGCTGGTGTTGGGATTGTAATTATTCTGAGTTAGAGCGCACTCCCACGCTTGCTTTTATTGGGCCAGGCAGCCAAGCTAACCCCCATTTTCTTTGTCCTCCCATCTCCTACCTCATGCAGGCCTTATCTATTGAGCCAACAGATGCATGGTCAGTACACACTATTGCCCATATACACGAGATGAGAGCAGAGGTCAAAGATGGGCTGGAATTCATGCAGCACACCGAAGGCCACTGGAAGGTATGAGTTGAGTCTTGGTGGTGGTCATCTGCTGGATGATCCATGGAATTCCACCAAGGCTTGCTGGGTGGGTCTTATAGATGTGGCTTAGTTCCCTGGGAACTTAGGAACAGCTTAGAGGCATCCTTGACAGCCAAGTGTCTTCTTGGAGCTCTTCAGCACTTCAACATCTGCCAGCATTTTATAAGTGTACAATTGGGGTCTGCTTGGGGTATTTTGCTGTGAAAGAATGGATCCAAAGAGTAATGGGGAAATAAGAGCCCTGCAAGTGTGGGCATGCTTAGGGCCCTAAGTTGCATTTGCTTCTGCTGCTGCCAGCAGGCTCTACATGGGATGATGGAATATCCTTCTGGTCCACATGATGCAGTAGGTGGAAGAGAGGCAGGCCAATGGGGTGATTGTCCACTGATGTAGGGGTAGCATATGGGGATTAGGGTGATTCAGACCCTTCTCCTGTTTAGCCTGACCCTTTCCAAGGTCTGAACACTCTGTGGCCTCATTGTCTCTATTCCCTATTCCCAACTTTCCTCTTCCTTGCTCCTGACTGGCTGGTGCCCCCTCTCGGGCCATTTCCTCCTTGCCCACTAACTGTGGTGGTCCTTCTTTCTCCATATGTGCCTGTTTTAGCTGGACTTGTCCCTGGCACATGACCTGGCCACCCATCCAGGTGTCCTTGCTGCCTTGTCCTTCTGTGCCACAGCAGGCTCTAAGCTCACCACTGGCTAGGGAAGCAAGTCCTTCCCAGAGCCTGCCACTGAGTAATAGATGCTCAGTGCTTCAGAGACCAGGCAGGATCAGTAACTACTAACATCCCTCTTGAGCAAATTCCCTGGGCTAGTACTGCGACTGACAGCCAAGCCGATTTCCAGCATTCCCAGGTGTGGTTCTAGGTGCAGCTGGCTTACTGGGAAGTTTATGAACATGCAGCCCATTTTAAAGATGCTCAAGGTCTGGAAAATTCTAGGATCCACCAGGAACTTAAAGCCAGAGGGGCTACTTTTTCCTGGGGTTCCCCAGGCAGATACTGCAAAGTTTTGTAGGTAGGGTGGTAAGCACTAGTTAGCCCTGTCCACCAGTTGGCCTGGCTCCCTTCCTCCATATTCCTCCCTCAGGACACACACACTCTCCCAGACCCGTGTGTGTGTGTGTGTGTGTGTGTGTGTGTGTGTGTGTGTGTGTGTATACCTATGTGTTCCAACATGTATGTTGGTGTAAGTACAAATGTATATGTGTGCTTGTAGAAGCCACATTGTCATTTCTCAGTTGCCATCTACCTTGTTTTTTGAGCAGAGTCACTTTCCTAGCACCTGGAGTTTATGGATTAGGCAAGACTGACTGGCTAGAAAACCTCTAGACTCCCCTGGATTACAGGCATACGTCATCATTTCCAGCTTTTATGTAGGTGTGGGAGTCAGACTCAACTCTTCAATGCTTACACAGCAAGCATTGTACCAACTGAGCATCTCCCCAGCCCTAACTTGAACTTCTGATCCTCTATTTCTACCCCACTGCGATCACAGTGTGTACTGGGATCATAGGTGTGGCCCACCATACCCACTTTATTCAGTGTTGGAGATTGAACCCCAGGGTTCGTGCATGATGCCAGTTTTCTCTCATTCTTCCTGCAGGACTCTGATATGCTTGCTTGTCATAATTATTGGCACTGGGCCCTATACTTGATTGAGAAGGTAGGATGTTTGTCTCTTTGGCTTGTCTCACTCAGGGCAGATGTCCAGAAAACAGGCCTAACCCACCCTGTGTCTGAATTCTATGCAGCACCTTTGTGTGTTGGTACAAAAGATGGTGTCTTAGGATTTCTATTGCTGTGATGAAACACCATGACCAAAAGCAAGTTGGGGAGGGAACAGATTTATTTGGCTTACATTTCCACATTGTAGTCAAACATTGAAGGAAGCCAGGGCAGGAAGGAACCTGGAGACAGGAGCTGATGCAGAAGCCATGGAGGGGTGTTGCTTAATGGCTTGCTCATCATGGCTTGCTCAGTCTGCTTTCTTATAGAACCTAGGACCACCACCCCAGGGGTGGCCCCACCCACAGAGAGCTGGGCCCTCCCCCACCAATCACTGATTAAGAAAATGCCCTACAGGCTTGCTTACATTTAAGGCGTTTTCTTCATTGAGGCTCCCTCCTCTCAGATGACTCTAGTTTGTGTCAAGGTGACATACAACTGTCCAGCACAGATGGTGTCTGAAGCAATATAGCATTTACATTCCAAGAGCCTCCATCACGGTAGGGAAGCCTGGCAGCTAGCTGCAAATATGGCTGCAGGAGCTGAACACTGAGAGCTCAGTATCTTCCAGGCACAAAGCAACATGGACTGAGAGTGAAGTGAGGCATTATGCTCTCAGTGACAGGCTTCCTCCAGCAAGGCCACACCTCCTAAGCCTGTACAAACAGTGCTACCAACCGGGGACCAAATATTCAAACATCTGAGCTCATAGTGGATACTGTCACACTACTACAGGTGGTTTTGGAACCAAGTGCCTCTTTACTGCTTGGGATACAAGGAGGGTCCTAGATTGGGTCTTCAGCACCAGAAATAATCCTAGGACAAGAGGGAGTGGGTACAGGTGGCGGGGATGGGCAGGACCCATTTGTCAGGGTGCTTCTTGCAGCACTGTGACCAATAGAGAAAGACATGGAGGCCTCTAAGAAGTTCAAAGATAAAAATATATTCAAGGTGAGACCCCCCATGGCACAAAGGTTGGGCTCACCTCCTTTCTCCACACTGGGCCCTGCTCATCTCCCTTAGTGGGGGCCTTGGTCATCTATTCCTAGTATATTTCCTTTTGACTTCTCCAGATATTAACCATAGCAATTTCATCTTTGCAGGGAGACTATGAGGCTGCGCTAACCATCTATGACAGCCATGTAAGTGCAACTCACATCGTTTATGGTTTGTTGCTGCAGTCAGCTTTTGTCTCTCACAGCCTCTGGGCCTGTTGGCATTGTCCCAGCCAGAGCAAATGGTGGGAGGAGGCCTTCAGACTTCATGGAATTGGCTGTTGTCAAAAGCCATGTTCTGACTCTGTGTACCATGGAGTCTGCTTACTGTTCACTCATGGTGTTTGGAGGTGGACATGGCTAAGGCAGACTCTGACTGTCACTGTCTTTTCAGATGGGTATTCTTAGTGAGGTAATTCATCTGTTCATAGGAAGTTTGGTTTTGTTCATTTTCTTTTTTCCTTTGTTTCTTTTTTGTTGTTGTTGTTGTTGTTCATTTTTTCAAGACAGAATTTCTTTGCATAGCCCTGGCTGTCTTAGAACTCTCTCTGTAGACCAGGCTGGCCTTGAGCTCACAGAGATCTCTGCCTCTGCCTCCTGAGTACTAGAAGTAAAGGTGTATGCCACTCACTACTGCCAGGATTGTTCACTTATTTTTAACTTAAAAAAAAAAAATCAGAGCCAGGCCTAGTAGTATACTCCTTGATCCCAGCACCCAGGAGGCAGAGGCAGACGGATCTCTCTGAGTTTGAGGCCAGCCTGGTCTATATAGTGAGTTCTAGGCTAGTCAGAGCTACATAGTAAGGCCCTGTCTCAAAAAAAAAATCATATTTATTTTGTATGTGTATGTATACCATGACATAATATGAAAATCAGAGAACAACTTGCAGGAGTCAGTTCTTTCCTTCTACGATGTGAATTCCAGGCATTGAATCAAGCTTGGCCTCACAAGTGTTTTGCCTACATGCATGTATGTGCACCGCATACATTCCTGATGTCTGCAAAGGTCAGAAGAGGGAGCCAGATCCCCTAAAACTGGAGTTATAGATAAGTTTGGAAGCTACCTATTCAAAACACCACACTGGGAATTGAACCTTGATCATTTGGAAGAGCAGCCAGTACTCTTAACCATTCAGTCATCTCTCCAGACTCCTGTTTTTACTGTTTTAAATAATCGGTGCTACAAACATTAATCAAGCCATGGTGCCACAGATCTGAAATCCTAGCTACTTAAGAGGCTGGGGCAGGAGGATTGAAAGCTCAGGTATATCTGGGCTAGCCTGGATAACTTAGTGAGACTGTCTCAGAATCAAAAGTTAAAAAAAAAAAAAAAAAAGGCCTGGGGATATCAGTGTTAGAGCATTGCAGAGCATGCTTGGGATCCTAGGTTCAACCCCAGTGTTACATTAAAAAAAAAAAAAGAAGAAAAGAGATGTTGTAGGCCTTGAGAATTGGGACAAAGTTTAAGAGTATCAACTGCTGTTCTAGAGGACACAGGTTCAATTCCCAGCAACCACATGGTAGCTCACAACTGTCTGTAACTCCTGTTGCAGGAAACAAGATGCCCACTTCTGGCCTCTGTGGGCATCATACACATATTCGATGCACAGATATACTTGTGCGCACGTGCGTCCCTCATACATTCTTGCTGGATCCTCTGGCAAGTAGGGCTGTGGAAGGGCTGGTCCAGCCTGTCTCTGATCCTGCCTGTCTCTTCCTGGGGCTGAGCAGGATAACGACCCAGACCTCCCCTCCTAGTCACCAGAGAGAACCACACTGAATAGGGAGCCTTGTCCCTATAGAGAGTTCATTTCATTGCATCAGGCATGCACTTATATAGCGTTGAGAAAGAGGGTGGGGACCTCTGGATGGGGTGAGATGTAAAGGCCAATAATATTTCACCATGTTAGCAGTAACTGGGCAGAGGCAGTTTTGCTGAGTCACTCCTGTGTGGAAGTGATAGGCCAAAGACAGGTCGCCAAACTCTAGCCAGGTGCAGGAAGTTCCACTAGGCCTTGCATCTGGGCCTTTATAGGCCAAACACATTCTGGCATCCACAGCTGCATAATCCCCTAGTGGAGACTGTGCTTCTGCACTTGATCTTAGCATGAAGGATGAGAAGTGATGAGGATGTTATTCCTGGTGGTTGGGACGCTTATAGCTTTTGTTTGCTGAGAGCAGGTCACACTTGTGGCTCAGATGGGGACTCTGGGGACTCTGGCTTACCCATGTCCCTGTCATTATCTGGCCCTCTGAGCCTGGCTTCCCATGGCCCTTGTCTTCCAGATCCTCCCCAGCCTGCAGGCCAGTGGTGCAATGCTGGATGTGGTGGACAGCTGCTCGATGCTCTATCGTCTTCAGATGGAAGGTAGCTGCATCTCTTCTTTCTTCCTATACAATGAGAGAAAATGTGATTGGTGGTCTTCAGGGTAGGTGCCAGAACCACAGGCCTCGGGATGAATGGGCCTGACTATAGCTTTGCATTTGAGCTTATGCTGCTCTCTCTGTGCCAGTCCAAAGCAACTGACCTAGCCTCAGCTGCTCTTTATCCCATTCTCCACCTCTCCTTGGTGCAATACCCTTAGGCTCTGAACCTTACCATTCCAGTATCCTGCCTGGCAGGCCTTCCAGGGCACAGGTGGCACCTGGCTACTGGCTGATGCCTCTTTTCCCAGATCACTGGAGGTGATAATTTCCCAACTCTGACATTGCAGAGGCTTCTCAGCTTGTCACCTTAGGCTTCACAGTTGTTCTGACAGGGCTGGCTTCCTGCCTATGGGCTGGAGGGCCAGATGATGCCCCACAGAGAGAGAGAGATGCTAAAGAAGGCTGGAGCTCCAGAATCTCAGTGATGTGCAGTACTGAGTGTCTGGCAGGCTGGGAAAGGCCTCTCATTTCCTCACTGTTGTGAGGCAAGGATCACTGTTTGTTTGTTTGTTTGTTTGTTTATTTGAAAAGGGGAGGGGTTTGAGACAGGGTTTCTCTGTGTAGCCCTGGCTGTCCAGGAACTCACACTGTAGACCAGGCTGACCTCAAACTCACAGAGATCCATCTACGTCTGTCCCTGAGTGCTGGGATTAAAGGGAAGCACCACTACTGCCTGGCACTCACTGTTCAGTTTGATAGGCAGAGAAATAGATGACCAGGGCCTTCTGGGTGAATGGAGTCCTTCCAGGACTAAGAAGGAAGAAAAGGAGGTGGGAGGCTGGAGTCTGGGGCAGAGGTGGGGATTATCCACAGCCAGAAAATTCAAACTTAAGAAGAGTGTTAATTATTTATACCACTGACTTTTATTGAACGCCCGTTGTGTATCAGGTACTAGACTTAAACATTGTGTGTGTGTGTTTGTATTTTGTCTGCATGTATCTGTGTACATGGTGCTTATGGGGGTCAGAAGGGGGCATCAGGATCCCTAGAAATGGAGTTAGAAAAGGCTGTGAGCCACCATGCAGGTGCTGGGAACCGAACCCATGTTCTCTGGAAGGGCAGCTAGAGCTCTTAACTGCTGAGCCATCTCTCCACAGGTACTAGACTTGTGATTACATAGGGAAAATTTAAAACATGTTTTTTTGGGGGGTCTCTAAGGAGGTTAGGAAAAGTTTGATAACCTGTGACAATTTTTCAGATTTGCTTTTGCCTCATGGGTTTGTTGCTTTTCTAGGATAACAAGGAGAGCACAGGCCTTGGAGGCCCCACTCACCTCCCTGCCTCTCATCAGGACAAGATCAGATGGGCTTCTGAGGGATGTGGGTGCATAGCCGTGTGTAAGACACACTGCTGTCTCACACCAAGCCCTTGGCATTCTTTTTGTCCCTAGGAGTGTCCCTTGGCCAGCGGTGGCAGGCTGTCCTACCTGTGACTAAGAAGCATACCCGAGACCACATCCTTTTGTTCAATGATGCTCACTTCCTGATGGCCTCCCTGGGTGCAAGGGACCTCCAGACCACACAGGAGCTGCTGACTACTCTGCAGGAGGCCAGCGAGTATGTGAGATCCCAGACCATGAAGCCTGCCCACTGAGAGGGTGAAGGAGTACAAGGGCCGAACCAAGGCCTGCTAGGGGTCACCCTGTCTTCTTGGGGAAACCTTAGAGTAAGGTCCTGCTGGTGAACACAGCTTCTAAGTGGGTGTCCCCCAGGTGGGTGCCCATGCAGGCATATGTTTCATAAGCATCTGACTTCCAAGGGTCCAGTTGCTGTCTTCCTTGCTCTGAGCCTCAGTTTCTTTATCTGTTGGGAATGGTGCCTTCTGGGCTGACAAGGGTGCCCTGGGAAGACAGGTTACTGGGGACACATTCTTTGGTAACCATGGTAGTGCTCACTGTTGGTACCCAGGATTTGCCTGCAATGTCTGCAGTCCTGATTTCTCTGCTGTGCTGTTATGCTGCTTTCCAGATAGGCAAACTGAGGATGAGGACAGGGAGCCATGTCCTCTCCCTGCAGTGGACAGATGTTTATGGCTCCTGTTCCCATCAGAGTGCCATCAGACAGCTGTGAAAGCCCTAACTTTGTGTCCCTTGCCAGGGTAGAACTTTGTAGAAGTGAGTGCTGAGCTTTGGTCTTGGTGACAGGTCCCCAGGGGAGAACTGCCAGCACCAGTTGGCACAAGATGTGGGGCTGCCCCTGTGCCAGGCTCTTGTGGAGGCTGAGAATGGGAATCCTGACCGAGTCCTGGAACTTCTCTTGCCAATCCGCTACCGAATTGTCCAGATTGGAGGCAGCAATGCCCAGGTGAGCCAGCTACACACAGGGATCCAGGGAGCTGGAGAGCACTCACGGGGTATGAATACTCTGGGTTCACGCTGACACGAGGGGATGCAATGAGGGGGTTTGTCTCAGTGGTTGCTTTGGGTTGGGAGTCCATCCCTGATCCGCATTGCAGGTGCCTAACTTGCCTAGTTGACTTCACAGAGAGACATCTTCAACCAGCTGCTGATTCATGCGGCCATCAACTGCACCTCCAGTGTCCATAAGAATGTGGCCCGGTGAGCACTTGGCCCTTCCTACAGCCAGGCATGGGCTAGTCCCCTATACATGATCTCCCTATGCATGCACCTGCCTTGACATGTGTGCTTCTGCTTTTGGGGTTTAGAAAGCAGGAGGCAAACAGGGCACTTGGTTCTCTTTCATTAGCAGGCTCAACTTGACAAAGGGGGACAGTTTTTTGCCTAGCCTCCTGCCTCCCCAGCCTACTTCCCATTTTAGCCATGCTGAATTACATAGATAGCTAGTACACCTGCTCTCAGGTCTTGTATGTGCTATGCCCTCTGCCTGGGAAACCCTTTTCCTTTTTTGCGTATGGCCCCCTCGGGTGCGTTCCCCAGTTTGGAATTGTTGAGAAGGGGAAGAGAGTTAAGAGAACTCTTGGAATGGAGTCCTGGGGCCTCACCCCTCAAGGGACCCTAGTTAGTAATCTCCAAGGAGAATGTTATAGAGCGAAGTCACTCAGTTTGCTAGACTTCTTGTGCATGCAGCCATTTGCCTTCCTGTCTCTCTTCCTTGTTCACCCAGCCAAGCAGCCTCATCTGGAGCCAGATAGGGCCTCTGTCTTGGACTTCCAGTCTGAAAACTAAAAATAAAACTTAATTTTGCTGGGGTGTTGGTGGTGCACATCTTTAATCCCAGCACTCAGGAAGCAGAGGCAGGCAGGCAGATCCCTGTGAGTTCAAGGCTAGCCTGTTCTAAAAAGCAAGTTCCAGGACTGGCTCCAAAGCAATATAGAGAAACCCTGTCTCAAAACAAAACAAAACAAACCTTTAATTTTACAAAGTACCCAGCCTTGGATATTTTGTTAAAGCAGCAGAAAGTAGGCTGATAAATTTCTACCCTAGCTGTGGTATTGTCCCTTACCTGTGTACCAAGCCTATCCCCTTAACCTCACTCACTCCCCATAGACCCATCATTGTTAATCTAACTCTATATTTATGCCCTCAGGGTGTTACCAAAGCAAACCAAACACAAACATGGTGGTTCATTCTCACACACCAGACTCATCTTGTCTTGTAGTTCTCTGAAATGCCCTGCATTGGGACCCAGTAAGGGTCCTGGCTTCGGAAAACCTTGTGTTTGTTATAGGGACACAAATCCCACTGTAAGGGTCCTACCCAAAGGCCCTACCTCCTAAGTCATGCTGATGACAAGGGCACAAAGGGTGTCAAGAGTTAGCTACAGCAGGGGCTCTACCGCTGAAGGAGTCTGTACTTGATTTCTTTAAACGAAGGCTTCCCTATACTTACCTATTCGTTCACTTACTTTCCCTGGACCCATCTCACATGTGGCTTCCTGCCACACACCATGTCTCTTGTTCTTCTGGTCTTCAGCATTAGACTGTGACAATAGCATGAGCTATGAGGTCTTGAGCCATGGCTTTTCCTGAGACAGGCAAAGCCACAGTGACAGCTCTATACTGGAATCCTTATCTCTAGCATTTGTCTCTAAGGAAGAATCAAAGTACTGTCTAGCTGGCTGTATCCATTTGTTCCTGCCAGTCATGCTCCCACGTCCTTCTAGAAGGTTCTATAACAAAAACTTCGTGTGTTTCCACAGGAGCCTTCTGATGGAGCGTGATGCCTTGAAACCCAACTCACCCCTGACTGAGCGGCTCATCCGCAAGGCAGCTGCTGTCCATGTTATGCAGTGACCCAGGCCAGGTTGTTGGCCTACAGCTCAGCACTGACCTCCTGGGATTAGGTTGACTGTCTGGTTGGGTTAGGGTTAGGAAACAGCTGGGCCTGCTTGTCAGAGTATAAAGTGGAATTCTCCAAATCAGTAGTTTGGTAGAAATAGGGGACACAAGTTAATTTTGAGTGATATTCAGAATTCTTCTCAGGGCCAACTTGCATTTTCAAGCCTCCAGAACCAAAGCAGTGCTATTATTTGCAGATGCCTTGAACATTGTATTTTCTTGTTCCACTGCTAGCAGGCAGGGTACAGGTGTGGCTAGCTCAGCTGGAAGGTGTACAAGTGCCTCATGTACACCCCTGGCATTAGTGAAACCTTTTCATTTAGTTCTTCTTATATTCTACACGGGTCTCCCTAGGAAGGATTCCAGTGAGCTGCCTGGGGTCCCAGCCAGCAGAGGCTTTTCCTTTTAAAGGAGGGGATTCTGCTTCATTGGCTTTGGCTATCAGCCCTAGACTGCAGTACCTGTCACCATCTCCAAAGATATGGGGAAGGATGGTTTGTGGGGAATTTGGTAGTGCCAACTGGAGCTTCTCTGGAAGCTGCTTATGGGAGTGAAGCTTGAGGGATGGGGCTCTGATTCTGCTCTTCTGAGTGGGTCTGAGACCTGAGCCCAGAGCTGCTCTGCTGTGGAAAATAACCACAACGCTGACATGGCTGCCACAAGATTTAAATGACTCTCCTACTTCCATGACAGGACATCCCTCCTGGGAGTGCAGGTGCAGTCTTTTTGCTGTCCTCTAGAAGGGGAGGTGCAAATGCAAAGGTGTCCCTCAGGCTCTTTCAGTTCCCACTTAAGTGTGGACTAATGGGCAGGTCTCCCGGGGGGGGGGGGGGGGCACAGAGGTCTGCAAGTCTCCCCAGCTTTGCTCAGTCGGTTCAAGCCTGGACAGATTCTTGGCATTAAAATAATTTAATCAGTTCCTTTGACCATTCACTCCTGTAGGCTCCTCTGAGCATCTCCTAGGTCCCAGATTTGGGTTGGGTCCTAGGGAGGTGGGTTTCTCCTTTAATTTTCAGTGGATGGCGCAGCAAGTCAAGAAACTGTATAATTGCCGTAGGCTTTTAAGTACTGTCTCTCTACCCAGGAGCCTGGGACAGGTGCCAAGGGGGTTGCCTCCTCTTGATTTTTTTTTTAAACCTTATTCCAAACGATACATGATTTACCCAGGAAGCAGGAGCCTTGCTCCCTCTTTCAGGAAGCTTTCTACCCTCCCTGTGGGCTGGTGACAGCACCTTCTCTTTGCCCCACAGCCCTCGACACCTGCCTTTGCTATTACACCACTTTCTGCTAAGAGTTCTTTCTGGTCAGAAATGTAAGCCACTCAGTGGCTTTCACTGAATACCTGCCTGTAAAAGCTGGTGTCTAGGCTTTAATGAAGGAGGGCACGACGAATCTACCAGGGACAGACCACTGATTTAAAGAGAAAGTGTGTGTGTGTGTGTGTGTGTGTGTGTGTGTGTGTGTGTGTAGAGTGAAAGACCCCAAGAGTTCGGAGCCTGTCAGGGGAAGGCCCTTGCCCCAAGAGACGAGACCAGACCACTGGATACAAGTGCAAGAGGCTGTTTAATGTTTACACACAGCTACCTGTGGGCGCTTTCGGGAGACTGAGAGAGTGTGCATGGTTAAAGCATATGCAGTTTATATAGGGACGGGGTGGCAAGAAGCAGTCTTATAGAAGCAGAAGCATGGTTACAGGGATTTCATTGTTTCATCTAAATGTAGTGATTGTAGTTAACCAAGGATAGTTGGTTATTCGCGTTGGGCACAAAGAATACAAAGATTTCAGTTATGACTATCTCAGCATCCCAGATACCATCCTGCTGACCTTGCTTTGGTCCAAGCTGCAGACCACAGATATCTGGTTGGCACTGGATGAGAGCAGCACCCTCTTGTACTTTTCCTATAACTTGACCTTGGCAAATTGGCAAGAGCAGTTCAAACAGGCAATATGCATAGTGGGGGTCTTTCAGAGGTGGCTTTATGGCTGAGAGCACTTGCTGCTCTTCTAGGGGACCAGAGTTCAGTTCCCAGCACCCAAGTGGCAGCTCACAACTGCTTGTAACTCTAGCCTCAGGGGATCTGACCTCTGTAGGCACCTGCATACATGTACATATTCACACACTGACAAAAAAAAAAAAAAAAAAAAAAAAAAAAAGGGAAAAATATATTTTAAAAGCCAAGAGAAAAATGTAAATAGTGAATTATTAATTTAGGGGTATGCTTTACTGGACATCTACTATGAACTGATGTGATACAAAGAGAAGTGTTGTGAAATTGCAGATGCACATTAGCAGGCACGGAAGGAGTGAGGCCAAGAGCTCTTGAGGCTTAGGCCAAAGATGCAATTGTCACGGTGGTCAGTCCCTCCTCTTGGGTGTGAGTCAGGAAAGCCTGTCTCTTACAATTGCAGATATAGTGCAGGACACATTGAACTGGTCACCATCCCTGGCAGGTGGGAATGCTTGGGCCCAACAAAACCAGCTTGCCAATTGGTGAGCAAAACCTGCAGAGAAGACAACTAAACTTGATGGGCTCCTTGAGCCTCTATCCTGGCCACCCCTAGACTTCCTTTAGCCAATAGACTTGCAACCAGCTTTCTGTTAGTAGCTATCCAAAGGAACTGGCCGCTAAGAAGTGCTGTGGCTGGCTCTGACAGCGTTCCTCTTCTCCAGTTTAAAGAAACCCAGAGCCCAAGATCAGACGATTGGGGGGAAGGGAAGGGCCAGCACTATCAGAGCACAGCAGCGAGGCCTCAGGCTGCAGAGTTCCGGAATGCAAGGGAACTATCAGGGATACCAAGACAGGAATGCAAGGGAACTATCAGGGATACCAAGACAAGCCGAAGAGAGTAGCAGTCAGGACGAACACCTTCCTACCTGCCTGACCAACCTCCACACCCGATCTTCCCCGCCAGGCCTGCGGCTAGCATAGCCACAGGCGCAAGTATCCTTCCGGTGTGTGCTGGGGAGGAGACTCACGGGCACTTCCGGTGGGAGTTTCGGGCGCTGAGCAGAGCCAATCCGTGGCGTGGAGTCCATGTGCGTGCGCATTAGTCTTGAACATCAACACTCTGACTACAATTCCCAAGGTGCATCGAAAGTATCTCCTGTTCAAACCGGCCAATCGGCGGCCGGCGAAGGCCGGCGCCGTATTTAAATCTGTGGCTGAGTACCAGCTGGGTTTTCGGCCCTCCGAGTGAAAGGGTTCTTACTCCGAGGGGTAAGGAGCGCTCCTGTGGTGGGACAGAGTGGGGAATCCGGCCTCGTGCCCCAGAGACCGAGGGGGATGGGCTCCCGGGCCTGCTCTGCAGCTCAGAGCCAGGAATCCGTTACCCCGCCTCGGGGCGCACTATCTCTGGGAGACAGGGAGCAAGCTGGGGCTTGCCTCTGACATGTCCTCACCCTCTCGTTCCCCTGCTTCCTGCAGCGAACTTTATGGAAGGAGGAGACGGCGGCGACGTGCCTTCATCCAGCCAGGCGAGAGAGGTGAAGATGGATATTGGTAGTAAGAAGGAAGGTAGGTGCTTTCTGTTCGTGCGACTGCTCCAGGAGTGTATTCCTAGTTCCCCCAAATAGAATAGAGTACACAAGTCTGGCTGGGTAAGCTAATAAATTTAACAAGGACATTAGCAACTTGCAGCTACACCACCAAAAAAGAGGCTCACTACCATTTACATATCTCCAGAGGGCTCTCCTGTGCCTCTTTAGTCCGTGGGCCCTCCCCTCACTTCCAGAAGGGCATTCCTGGGCTCAATCTTGTGAGAGTCTTCTGTGGGTAATCACAGTTGTTACGATATCAAAATAGCAACAGCTTCCTTATGCACAGAAGACTCCACCCCTTCCACCTTCATTTCTTTTTTTTTTTTTTTTTTTCTTTTCTTTTCTTTTTTTTTTTTTTTTTTTTTGGAGACAGGATCTCACTTGGTTGCCTGGAACTCACTATGTAGACCAGCTGGTTTTGAAAGCACAAAGATCCACCCTCTTCTGCTGCACGAGTGCTGGCAGATTCTTTCTTTGAAAAGGAATTCTTGCTGGGTGGTGGTGGTGGTGGTGGTGGTGGTGGTGGTGGTGGTGGTGGTGGTGGTGGTGGTGCACGCCTTTAATCCCAGCACTCGGGAGGTGCGGAGGCAGGTGGATCTTTGAGTTTGAATTCCAGGACAGCCAGGGCTACACAGAGAAACACTATCTCAAAAAAAAAAAAAAGAAAAGAAAAAGAAAAAGAAAACAGAAAGAAAGAAAGAAGAAAAAGAAAAGAAAAAAAAGAGAAGAGAAACGAGAAAAATTCTTCCCATTTATTAATTTTGGAGGAGGGTACCGTATTACCATATAGTGCATATGCCCCTGTGGAGGTTCAAAAAACAACTTGCAGGAAAGAATTCTCCTTTTGTCTTGTGGGTCCCAGGGCTTTGAACTCAAGCCCTCAGACTTGGTGGACAGTAATTTTGCTCCCTGAATCTTGTAGGGCTGATGCAGGTTTACATTTGTGTTCTTTTTAGGGCTGAGCACTGAGCCTCTGTATCCTGTCAGGTTTTATACTCTCTTCCCTGTGACCCCTTATGAGACTGCTTCATAGAATAACTGACACCCACTACAAGAAACTTCCCTGACCAAGACTGGCAGCACAGTAATCTATGGCCATAAACATAAATGTTTAGGCAACAATTTACCTGGCCCATCATGTCCATTTAGCAAAACAATAGCTGAGTCCCCACTGGAGCCTATGATGGCTCTCAGCCATAAGTTTTTGTTTTGAGTTACAATACCACACATAGGTTCCCTGTAGAGGAGCAGACCTTGGGAAGTTGCTGGTCAATTGGAGGGAGCCATACAAATAAATAGCTGGGCCAACCAAGGCTATGCTAGGAATATAGACTAGATGGAAAGTAGTGTGACCTGGGAAGGGACCCAAGGGGCAGCTGTTTACTGAGTCTCTACTGTGAATTTGACTTACCCTTGTAGGCCTCTTGGAAACCCTTATACCTGTGGATATGTATAGATTCTATCACAAAAGTAAGGTTCTGTGCTTTTGGGTTGGGTCAGTACTCAGAATGGCTCCTGGAGCTTAAGAGAGAAAATGGAAACTAAGATGAACTTGAGTTCCCCCATGAAAATTGATTGAGTTAAAGCAATAATTTATTTCTTTTCTCAGAGTGAAACTATAGCAGCTATGAAACCAACAGACACTGGTAATGCTTCCCTGTTGTGTCATAGCCCTAAAATAACAGTGGACTTTTCCCTCCCACCCTTAGACATTCTTCTTTTGGAAGATGAAAAATTTGACTTCGATCTCTCCTTGTCTTTTTCAAGGTAAACAAATGCATTTTCTTCCCTTCTTCAGACAGACACATTCATTAAAGCCATTCATCTGGGTGCCAGTGTGACTCATAACTGATAATCTTTTTCTTTAATCATAGTGCAAATGAAGATGATGAAGTCTTTTTTGGGCCTGTTGGACATAAAGAAAGATGCATTGCTGCCAGCTTGGACTTAAGCGGTCCGGTTCCCGGGCAGACTCTTACAGCAGCCTCTGGCAGCCCTTGTGCCTGGAGTCCTCTCACTGGGGAGAAGTTTGTAGAGGTGTACAAAGAAGCCCACTTATTGGCCTTACAGATAGAAAGCCACAGCCGAAGAGAGGTGGCCCAGGCTGCCAAACCCCAAAATCCTATGAACCAGGACATGGAAAGATTTGTGCAGGACTCACAGTTAAAAGTCAGCCTCTTTGAAAAAGAACAGAAGAGGGGGAAAAGCCCCATGTCACTTAAAAGAGATACATTCTGCCTGCCATCTTCAGGGGTACAGCCTTTCTTGGGGGAGTCCCAGCTGCTGGCTTCTCCAGCCATGCTCAGTTCCCCTGTCCCAACTGGCCCCATTCAGACCCAGAGCAACCAGGCTCTGCCCTGCTCCTCTCAGACAATGCCAGGGGAGTCCAGGACCTTCCAACCTCCAAGTCAGGCTGGGCCACAGAAGAGGATCACCAGCAAGCTACAACCACCCCGAGCTTTGCCAGTGAGAGGAAGACATCTTCACCTGGCCACAGAGAAGGTAAATAAAACACAGTCCTCCTGCCTCTCCTCAGCTCATGCCCTGCCATGGAAGCCTCATGAGAGAGCCTACTGCTCTAAGGATTGGACAGCTTGGATGTGGACAGTGAAGGAAGAATGAAGGGGGCGGCTGTCCAGTGTGGGCCCCTTTGCTGAGCACTCTCTGCCAAGTTGGGCTCTAGCTGTTCTCTGGGGCTGCGATTTTGTGCCTCTTTTTTCTCCAGGCATTGAGTGAGTGAGCTTTCAGGGAAGTGGCACTTGACAGGTTTGCAGCTGACCAGCTGTGGCAAATTCAGGGTCCTGGAGGCTTGGTGGGTGGGGGCAGGCAGAAGGGCAGATGGCAGACAGTGTGTTTCCAGGTTTGTCTGCTCTGCTCTTTCCCAGGAGAGGAGGCCCCAGAGAAGAGACATGGGCGAGGCCAAGGTGTGCTAGGGTGGCATTTGTCATGATGCCCTGTGCCAGCTCCATTGTATGTAGGGATGCAATAAAAGTCCTCCCCTGACCATATCTGCTCCCCTCCCTGGAGATCAGGATACTCTGGGTGGGCGGGATCTACTAGCAGCACACATGGACATGAAACAGGATTTGTGTGTGGTCGATACATGGCAGTGGGGCAGGGCAGTGGGCAGGACACCAGGCAGGGTTGTGGATATGGCCCACATCAGCTCAACACAGATATTCACAGCAGCAGGATTCATGATTGCCATCTGATTGAGCCAACCAGATGCCTACTAACTGATGAACAGATAAATAAAATGGTGGCAATCCAAATAATGAGATAGTTTTTTAGTAAAAAGAGGGGAATCATAGTATGTCTTCAAGGCATAAGTGAGTTTTATGCTCATGAAGTGCTAAAGGGAAGGCATTACTGTCACAGTGAAGCTGCTGCTTGTGCCTTCCTGATACCCTGGCTGCTTATGTGCATTTAGAACAGCTCCCTGATGCCCTTGTCCCTGATCTGTCAGGAATTTGCTCTGTGACTTGCAGGTCAGAGTCTGGCTTTCAGCACTTAGCCAGAAAGCTCCACTGTGACCGAGCCATTACTGTGGAGGGTGACCATACAGTGAAAAACCTTTTTACATAGCATGTAGAATGTGTGTGACTGAGCCATCTTCCTCACTGGGGCTCTTGTATGTTTTGGACACGGTGTCTCACTATGTAACTGTGGGTGGCCTTGTTGAACTCAGAGATCCACTTGTCTCAGCCTCTGAGTGCTGGGATTAAAGGCATGTGCCACCGTACTGGGCTCCCTTACTGACACTCTTTAAGGGCCTGACAGAGAAGTCTTAGCCTCCTGTCCCCATCTGACATGGCTTTAATGGGGAAGCCGTCTGTCATTCTGTGCTGTTTACCTCACGCTAGTGGAAGAGTTGAGTGGCAGGGATTGGGAGAAGAGGCACCAGCTCTGAGCCTCACCTTTCAAATTAACATTTTCAGCTCAAAAAAGAGGCACCAGCTAGTCTTCAGAGGACGAAACCAGTGAATGAAAAGGTTTCACAGAGTGATGTGCCCCTGGACAAATCCAGCACTGTTCCAGATGCTGACGGTAGAGGGAGCTGTCCAGGCAAGCGATCCCTCCCTGTTCCCAACAAGGTGAGTGGGCTGGGGTCACAGGGCTGCCACTTGTCCTTTATAGGAACAAGGTGCAAATTTTGTATATTTTGATTAGAATTAAGTTGGTGGGGTGATAATTTATTTGAGGTTTGCTTGTTCGGACAGAAGTTAGAACCCTAGGACTCACATTTAAAAAGCCTTGTGTAATGATGTGCTCTTGTAATCTCAGCACCGGGGAGGCAGAGACAGATGGAGACCTGGGGCTCACTTGCTGGTCAGCCAGCTTAGCCTACTTGGTGAGTGCCAGGCTAGCGAGAGGTCCTGGCTTTAAAAGAAAATAGTGCCTGGGCCTAGCAGTGCTGCATGCCTTTAATCCTAGCACTTGGAGGCAGAGGCAAGTGGATTTCTGTAGCTGATCTGCAGAGTGGGGTCTAGGCCAACTAGGGCTACTCAGAGAGACCCTGAATCCAAAATAAATAAGAGTGGAGTTGTCATCTAGTCTACATGTGCATATGCGCGCGCGCGCGTGCACATACACACACACACACACACACACACACCAGTTAAAGTTGGAAACAGCCCACAGGAGGTAGCTTGGTTGCAAAGAAGAGAGGCTTGGCAATGTGCTCTGAACTTGCCTTGTCACTGGGCTGTATGGGTTGATAAGAGCCTAGTGATTGGTTACCAGCAACTGGATCTCGCTGATCCCTCATAGCTTTTGTGGGAGACATGAGTTGTTGTGTTTTGTAGTCTGGGCTCACATAGAGGTTGTCACCTTTCTGGCACTCTGAGCTACTTACTAGAAGTCATTTATTAAAGTTGCCAAAAGCTGCTCCTACAGCTGCTAATTTGGGGTCTAGGTTGAGCCCCACAATCTTGACTGCTGCTAGCTCTCCTGCTCATTCCTCTAACAGAGGCTTGGACATTACGTTCTAGACACAGTCAGCTTTCCAGGTCCATGGGCTCCTTATCTGTGGATTCATCCAGTCAGAATGAAACTATTCAAAAGAGAAGTTGCCTTTGTCCTGAGCACTTATTGCTTTTCCTTGTTAGTGTTTGAGTGTGATGGCTTCCACAGTCTTGCATTAAAATCAGTCCTTTAGATGGTTGGTGTGTGTAGGTTTCATGTAACTGTCACACTATTAGGATTGGAGGACCCATGTAGCTTACTATCCACAGGGTCCACAAAGCAATGCTCGATGGAGACTGAGGGATAACTGTTATTTAACTTTTTTCTTTAGAGGTAATTATTACTGAAGATTACTACTTTGTAAGATTTTAAAATTTTATTTTATGTGCATGAGTGTTTTACTTTAATGTATGTCTATGTATCACGTGTGTTCCCAAAGAGATCAGAAGAGGTTCTCAAATCCCCTGAAACTGGAGTAATGGATGGTTGTGAGCCACCATGTGGGTGCTGAGAATAAATCCAGGTCCTCTGCATGCATCAGCAACAAGTTCGCTCACCCGCTGAGCCATTGTCGCTCTAGTCTCACTAAAGATTATTTATGCAGAGTGAAGAATATGTATGTAGGTAACAAAATCCTTGCTAATTTTTTTTTTTTTTTTTTTAACTTTTCTCTCAGTTGGGGCGGAAGAAGACCCTGTTGAAGCCACCTGGCTATACTGGCAGTCTCACAAGGAAAGCCTCTGCCTCAGGGTCTGCTTCAAACTTCATGTCTGGTACATGTGTGTCTCCAGCAACAGGCAAAGGTGAGAAGATCAATAAGTCAGGTGAACACTGGAGTACCATATGTTTTGGCCCCCCAGGATGCTGTGGAATTATATAGTTCAGGGCTGAAGACTGGGCAGGAAGAGAGATTAGTTATCCCTCTGCTCCTGAATATGTCCTTCAGTAAGGAGATGTTGGTTTCATTTGGAGGCACACAAACTCATGAAGTGCCAAGAAGAGATGGATTCTTAACTAGCCTTGTATCCAGAGGACAGGTGTTAGCATAGTCAGGCCAGCCCAACCTGGGCCATCTGGGGCATGTGCCATAGGGTTCAACCTGCCTAGACAAGGCTGCCATCTAGTGATGAAGTGGTGAAGGGGCCAGGGAATGCATCTGTCTCTGGAATTTGCCTGTAGATTCTGGCGTTGTCCATTGTTGCCAGTGTGGTGAGAGTCACCAATGTGAGAAATCTGAGCTCTAGAATCAGTCTGATATAGAGTCCTGACTGCTACTTGATGGTTACCAGAAGTCTGTGTCCTTGCCTTTAAATCAAGTCCTTGCAAGGTTCCTATGAGTCTGGAAGTATTCATGGGCCCACAAGTCTATGGTCAGGAAAGCACCTGCTGCTGCCCAGGTCTTGTGCCACTGACTTAGGCCTTTGACACCATGTGCTGTATATGTAGAGTAATAGGGTCAGATGAGATTGTGGGAGGGGACCTGGTAGGGCTAACACATGGTATGGACATGGCTACATCATAGTTCCCTAAAGGTTCATTTTGAGCCTTCACTGTGTTAACAGTGTGGGTCCATTCCTAGTTAAGCCGATGTCACCCTTGCTATCCACTGCTCTGTCATAAGTTTCCCTCCTGGAGTTCCTGACAACTGTGAGGGTGGGGCAGGACATGTGACTAGACTGTCCACTTCCTATGCTCAACAAGGAAGTGAAGAAAGGAGAGCTTAACCTTGCAAATGCACACACACATTTTTAGTAACTGCTGAGTATCAGCTGGCACTCAGCTCAGGTTTAGGTGTCCTGCTGGCCCTGACTTTGATGATCACCTAATGGGCATCCACATGTTGTCTTTGTCTGATGTTAGGTAGATAGTTTAGAGGCATCATTCTGTGTGTGTGTTGGTGTGTAAAGTGTTTGGAAACAGTATGGTGCTTGAATGACCAGCCGTTATTATTTTCTTTTTCAGCAAAGTCCAGTGATCTTTCAAATATTCCCACTAGCGGCTCTCGGCCTCTGTCAAACACCAGCAAACTGGGCAAAATAGGCCCTGCCACTTTGCATCAGGCTTTGCCAACAGCCACTGCCAGGGCATCTTGCAGACAAACCAGAAGGGCTGGTGCTGCCCAGACAATGGCAGAGCAGCCCAAGGCCTCTATCCTGACTCCTCTTAGCCAACAACCCCAGACTCCAGAACAAAGAAGACCGAGGCTGGACCCTGACACCCTGACATCTTCTCAGTTGAATAAAACTGGCAGCATAAAACGGCGGGACTCCTATTTAAACTGCAAGACAGAGGCTGTGCCTACCACTACAGACCCATTTAAAGTCCCCCAATTTTCAGTTGGTAAGTGCTAGATATGTTGGGTGGTCTAAAATTTTGGCTAGTGCTGTTTTCACTTTAGCTATGACATTCTGTCAAAGGGTCCCTTTTGTGGCTAGGGGCGAGTATTCTGGTTATGACCACTTTGTCTATGGCTTCTGAGACAGCCAGGTAATACATAGAGGTCCTGGCTCCTGATGCTTTGGGGCTCCAGATTGACTGTAAGGATTATAAGAGGCAAGTTTGTGTTTCATCTGGAATCATTGGTAGACAGACCGTGGTGTGACAGGCCATCCGGGTTGTGCTAGACTTTACTTAGTGGCCAGTGAGGCCATACTGAATTCTGACTCTGCTTGATACCTGTCAAATAGTAGCTTGGAGACACTTGTCACTTGTGGAGAAGGTGTATGTGATGTGTCTGTGAGCTAGGGATGACACAGCTCAGGGATGTGGATGTACAGTGTGCTTTGCTGGCTTGCCTGGGACTCAATCCACCTGATACCCATGTGCATGGGAGTGCAGGGAGCAGTCTGACACTCTCAAGGAGACTTGGGATAAGCCTGCCACCTAACTCAAGCCTGGGTCAGCTGACATAATGGTACAGAGGGCTCTCAGCATTAGACCCAGCCTGGGCCTCAGTGGGGCTCCTTGTGTGTCTTCCTTATGTATGTACTTTACATGACTGGTTGGGAAAGTGGAGGCATTTAAAGGTGAGTGCCCAGGTGGTAAGGGCACATGCCAGGCTTTCCACATGGCTCTCTTCTGACCAGCTTTCTCCTTTGTTCTTAGGTGAGTCAGCTGGTGGTGTGACCCCAAAGCTCTTGCGGACACATCGGCTGCAGCCCTGGACACCAGCTAGCAGGTAGCTGACAGACGTTTGCCTCCTTTCTTACTGCTGATGTGTCTGCAGGCTCTGTGGAGTGCCACCTAGCTGCAGGTCAAGCTTCTGAGGTGAAGGCTTTCTGTCATACTCACTATGTATATGATGCTGAAAATCCCAGCTCAGGGCAGGCCAGGCCAAATCACAGAAACTTCTTCAGTACTGCTTTAGGTGCTATGCCCAGAACCCACAAGGCTTCTGACTGAGCGGGTCAGGGATGGTAGGGACAAAGGGGCAGAGTCCAGCATCCACGTATTTCCGATGGACGGTAGAGTTGGTAGGTGACTTACTGTGCCTGCCAGGGCTCTATGTTAGTAGTAGAAAGTAGGTCCTAGAGCTGCTTTATCACAACATCTTAAACTCTGGGGCTATTGTAACAAGCATACCAACACCTGGCTTTTGTTTAGTTGTGAGTCAGGTAGGAGCTCTCTGTGTAGACTGGGCTTACCTCAGACTCAATTTTCCTGCCTCCTTCCCTGCTGTTATTGGCTTGTGCCACCATGCTGGACAACTGGGGCTTTAAACAGGTATGTGGCAATTCTGAAGCCTGGTCATCCATTTCAGGGCATCTACAGATGTTGTCTGTGGGTCCATTGCTTCACATGGTGTCAGGAGCCTTCTTTATGATGGCACTAATCCTGTTGATTGGGGCTCTGCCTTCTGACCTAATCACCTCCCAGAGGACCTGTCTCCTATGTCATCATCCTGGGGCCAGGCTTTCAACATATGAATTTGGGGAATACATTCATTTAGTCCATAGCTGGTAACAATTGACCTGACTCAGCCTCTGGTTTAAGAACAAGGTAACATTTGGGACAGATGAAGCTTAAGGCACTCAGTTCTCACCTTTGACGGGGATCTTAAACCTGGGTATGACTGAGCAAGTGATGAAAACGACCATCAATTAATTCATCTCTTAGCCAGAGTCCAATGGGAGCCCAGATGTCTTTATAGAGAAAGTCTCCTGGCAGGAATATCTCCTTAAGTCCCTTCTGACTCTTTCATGGATGGCACCATGAATGCAGCCATGTTCAGATATTATAGTTACCTGTCGGGACAGGGTGGAGGCATTGCTTGCAGAGGAACCTGAAACTCAACCAAGGTCTCATGGGGGCTGCCAGTGCCTTGAGTCCTGCCCATGCTGGAATCCCTTCCCAATAACAGCCCACTCAGGCTACCGACTGCCCATTCAACTTCAGTGTCTAAGATTTCCATGTCCTTACCAGGGTCCTCAGCAGCACCCCTGTGAGACGCTCATCGGGGCCCACTCCACAAGGGCTGCCCAGCAGTATGAGGACTCCTGTGAGCACAAGGCGGATGTCAGCATTGCCCACACCTGCCAGTCGGCGCCTCTCTGGCCTTCCATTAATGGCACCTCAGTCCATGCCCAGGGCTCTGGCATCTCCACTCTGTGTGCCTGCCCGGCGACTTTCTTCTGAGCCCAGGAGAAGATCCACAGTCAGGTAAAAACAAGGGTTGAGTGAGCTTTTGTTTCTAGTTCCCCAGATCTCAGGGGTCCCTGTGCTGGTAAGGTGCAGGCAGCAAATAGAAGAAATAGGAAAAGAAGCTCTGTGAAGCACAAGGCTAGGCTTGCAAATAGGCCGAGGTGTGTGTGTGAGGGGGTAGGTAGGGGTCCTGTGCGCACATGTGTGCATGTGCACGTATGCACATGTGTTGTGAATTGCATTAACTATGACAAATAAGGTACTCTTTTCTAGCTTGTGGATATTGCTGCTGTTCAGTTTCCACAGTTCATTCAGCTTTGCCTCATCAGGTGCTCAGGGCCATGCTAGGTCTGGGTTAGAGGGCAGCTCAGTAAACAAGCTGTCCTGTTAGTGCAGGGCATGGGTAGACCAGAGTGCAGGACCAGTCCTCCTGAGGGAGCATTGGGGAGAGCACTCTGGCAGCAGGCACTTGGCTCACCTAGACTAGCCACAGCCTGTGGGCAGAGGTGGAGACCCTCCTATGTAATTTTAGTGTCTCTAAAGAAAAGGACTGACGGCACAAGGTGAAGCTAGACTGAATTAGAAATCTCTGAGCCTCTTGCACAGAGATCAGGGTCTGATCATTGATGTTGTCCTCAGAGTCAGGTCACTGGCACAGGCCTCTGGCCCTGGTCAGGTGCTGCTTCAGAGATTGCTTTCACGCCATAGCTGATGAGAAAGGTGTGTTAGAAAGATCTTACAGCTCTCCCCGCATTCCCCCTCCACTCCCCCCCCCCCCGCCACCCCCAGAGTGGAGCCGTCACAGGAGAGCAGCAGCAATGCCAATGGTGGGCAGGGCCAAGGCCTGGCCTCAGATGAGAGCTCTTCCCCTCCATCCTCCGTGCCTCAAGCGCTTGCCTTTTCTCCCGAGAAGACTGACATTCCTCCTTCTCATGGCTCCACCACAGGGGCAGCTCAGGGTGAAGCAGAGCCTCATGAAGACAACACCAGCCCCAGTGAGGTACATGGAGCTGGCTGCAGTTACATGCCATCTGAGGTGCTTGGAGAGTCACAGACAGGGACTCACAGTTCCCTTCCTCCTTCACCCTGTGGCTGGGCCTATGGTTCCAGCAGTCTCAGTGGGGCTCAGGACTAGGGATTAAAGAAATGTTTGACAAAGGAGTTGGTGGGGGATCAGAGGGCAGGAACAGGAGAAGGGTGAAGCTCCTACTAGCTGTGGGGAGGGTTGCACTGCCCAGAGGGGAACTTACTCCCACTCAGGGCCCACTCCAGCCTTGCCCTTGGGCCCCAGGCTGTGAGTCCCAAGTCAGGGTGGTGGCTGGGAACCAACATGGTACTAGACTTTCCCTCTCTCCATGTCCTGCCTAGGGTCTTCTCCTAGACATCAATCTGGACCAGCTCACCATCACTCCTGAAGCAGGAGGCAGAGACCTAGCTGACTGCCCTCTCATCGACTTCAGCAACACCCCTGAGTCAAACATGGCTTTGGGACCCAGCAGCTGGCCTCTGATCGACCTTGTAATGAACACCCCAGACATGGGTAGAAACAATGTGGGGAAACCTCCAAAGGCTGAGCTTGGGCAGGTGAGAAGCGGCAGGGGATTCAAGCTGACCAGCCAGGTGCTATCAGACCTGGGCCCTGCGTGGTGCCCTGCGGCTCACAGCATTTGTGTCTTGAACTCATGTTGGGCAGGTTTGGCTTCTCTATAGTCACCCATTGCCATCAGGCATCTTGCTGGACCTGGAGGAGCTCTCAGGGCAACAGTTATGTCCCCAACACCACAGGTTCCTACCCACAGTGTTTATGGGTTTGAGGGTTCTCTAAGAGTCTAGACACCGTTTGTTTATGGGTTTGAGGGTTCTCTAAGAGTCTAGACACAGTTTCCTTGGCGTCACTACTGTGCTGAGTTGCTTTTCTGTCCCTGGGCTCCAGGTGGGACTGGCTCAGCCAATGCACCTGCCTGTCTGTGATGGCTGTCCAGGCAACTGTGTTTACCTGGATATCTGTTCTCTTCCAGCTGATGGACCTGGGCTCCCCGCTGATCCACCTGAGCCCTGAGGCTGACAAAGAAAATGTGGACTCACCACTTCTCAAGTTCTGAGCAAAGCACAGCTCTCTGCCCTTTACTCTGTTTATTTCTGGTGTGGCTTTAGGCCCGAGAAGCACGTTTTGGAAGGAATTGTATTTGTGCCTGGAGCGGTGCCCAGGTTGAGTTCTCCACTGTGGATCTAAGCAATCCACCTTTATAGTTGCCCTGCTCCCTGTCTTTTCTTTAGACCTCAACACACCTCTCTAAAAACTTTGTTTTTGTTCTTTTGTATGTAAAATAGCAAATGATTGTTTGTAAACTTAAATTTGTTTGAAAAGTTAAATATTCTAGAGTTAAATTAAATTATAAAGTGCAGTATATTAAAGTGTGCTGGTTTTGTTTGGACATGGAGCGCAGTTTCCATTTTTCCAGACATTATAGGAGAGTCTCATTATACAACTTTAATTTTGTAAAATGTAAGCTGATAAAACTAGTATAAATATCGGTCTCTGGCCCACCCCATGTACACCGCCTGTCATCTGGGCTGACCTAATAACCTGCATTGTTAATTCTGATGCAGTGGTCTAAGGACCACACCTTTCACAGGCAGCTCTGGGGATAAAGAGTACAGAGAATAAAGGGATGGGGAGGATCTGCTTCAGTGTGATAGGGGTTCTGAGGACTCACCAACTAGATTATGTGAGAAACTCACTGGGAAGCCAGTTCCATGCTTGAAGCCTTACTTGCTAAAGAAAGACTAGCTGCCTGGAAGCCACTGACCTATACATGACAGCAGAAAGCACTATGTGAATGCCACTCACATCTCTGCTTCAGGCTGGGGCCTCTCATCCACAGTTGTGAGAAAAGTCTGGATGGGTTTCTCAATTTTGGCTATGTGGTGAACTCAAAGCTGCTAGCTGGAATATGGTTATGGCATCAACAGTGGCAAAATGAAGGTATCACATAGCACTGCTGTGTCTATACTTAAGGCTTCTGTCTGTCCATCTAACATAGGTCTGGCATGCTGCATTCCCTGAGGGATGGCAGATTCTTCCCCAGTGGGCAGTAAGTTCTGGAATCCTGAGCATTAGCACTTTAAAGTGCCCTCACCTTCCCAGATCTAATCTTCCTTCCACATGGGAAGAGGAGATGTGGTATTGAACACATTAAGCAAGTATTGGGTTTGCAGTTGGGGCTAAGCTGCATTTCCCTTAGGCTGCAGTGGGTTGTTTGGTGGGGAAAAGACATTAACCCATGATAATAACCAGGCTACCTTGGTGGTGTGCACTCAGTGTCTGTCCTTAGCCCTTAGCTCTGGCTCAGCCCATGTGTGTCCTTCCCTTATGTCATAGAGCTCTGCTCTCCAGGGCAGCTGATGTTTGGCAGCCTGTGTTACAATCCCTCTGCTTTCCCCTCTGATGATGCTCAGAGGCAGCTTTCCCCTAAGTCCTTGCTCTTCAGTGTCCTAAGCTGGCTGTCCAAAGGGTCAGCTTTGTGACACTAGTTAGAGACTTTGGCTGAGGGGCTGGCATGAGGTATACAGGCTGATAACTTAAACCTTCACCATCCCAGATGGCAGAAGCCTCACTGAGAATCTTTTACCATTTTTTATGAAAGTGTTTCTGAGATCCACATGCCTTTTGTGTTGTTGCCACATAGTACTTTACCATGTCACCTTTGCCACAACTGGTCTGTGGTGTGTCACACTGCAGACTTTTAGAGGTATAGGTTAGTTAAATATCACATGTTTAATTAAAAAAAAAAAAAAAAAAAAAAGACATGCTAGTTTGTTTTCTGTAAAATTGACCAAAAGCAGTTTTGGGAGGGAAGGTTTTTTTTTTTTTTTTTTTTTTTTTTAATTTGGTTTGCAAATTTTAACACAGTCCAACGGGAAGGAAAGTTAGAGTAGGAACTCAAAACAGGAGCTGAAGCAAGGGCCACAGAGGAATGCTGCTTACTGGATTGTTCCCCATAGCTTGCTTAAATGTCATTCTTTTACAACCCAAGATCACCTGCACAGGGGTGGCCCTACTCACAGTAGTCTACCCCTACACACCAGTCATTAATCAAGAAATACACCACCACCACCTGCCCCCCCCGGGGGGGGGGGAGGGAGAGGGGGTAGGAGAGATGGTTTAGCAGCTATGAGCACTGGCTGCTCATCCAGAGAGATCTTGAGTTAAAATCCCAGCAACTATGTGGTGGCTTGCAGCCATCTATAGTGGGATCTGATGTCCTCTTCTTTCTGGTATAAAGGCATACATGCAGATAGCATTCATGTACATAAAATTAAGAACAGAGATGGCTCAGCTGTTAAAGGCTAGATTCACAACCAAAATTATAAGAAAATCCCACAGACTTGCCTAAGGGCCAATCTAATGGAAACATTTTATCAATTGTTCCCTCCTAGTTTGGGTCAAGTTGACAGAAAATTCTAACTAGGACAACATAAGTTTCTGCTACTTTGTAGTTGGCCCTATCACAGGCTCTGGCAGAGAAAGTGAGACCACCCGAAGAAGGGTGGTCCTGGTCCCCTAGGCTGACATGTTATCCTTGGCTGGGACACTCCCTTGCCCTCTTACCCACCCAAGTCTCCTACTTGGCTTTCTTTGCTCATGCCGTCCCCCCTCTTTAATTTTTAGGCCCAGCACATCTACTAGCTTCTTCCAGCAGCCACCCACCACCTGTCAGGTGCCAGGCTCCCCACAATGAATTCAGAAAGAGCCACAGTTCCAGCCTGAGGTCATCAGAGTGTTCATTCTCCAAGAATGGCCTATGAAGCACACATTTGTTTCTTTTTTTCTTTCTTTCTTTCTTTCTTTCTTTCTTTTTTTTTTTTTTTTTTTTTTTTTTTTTTTGAAGCTTTTAGAGACAGGTTTTTTTCTGCGTAGCCTTGGTTGTCCTGGAACTAGCGCTGTAAACTAGGCTGGCCTCGAACTAAGAGATCCGCCTGTCTCTGCCTCCCGAGTGCACTCTTAAGTCGTGGTATCTCCATGCCATAGCACCAGGTTCAATTCCAAACGCCCCCTATCCGCTGGGGCCCATCCTTCCCAGCTCACTGAGCCTCCTGACTATGGTCCCATCTCCTACTCCAACACACTGACCGAGCAGCTAGGAAAGCCTTACTAAGTAACCATCCACTTCGCTCTGTCCTCCACATCCTCGGTGCCTGCAGCAGCTCCAGGCATTTGCATCAGGGGACCCGCTAGTCTGTCTAGAAGTCAGTGGAAACTTGGTGACAGTCCAGGCCCTCTAGCCAGTAACGGTGAGGAGCCAGCTGCAGACACAACACGATGCCTCGCCCTTGTGCACCCAGGACGCCTTTGGGAACTCAAGCCAGAGCAGAGGCTGTTCCTGGTGCAGCTGACCCGGGAGCATAGTTGGGCACTTAAGAAAAGGTGGAATAAGAGCAAAGGGTAGGAGTTGGGAAGCCCGACTCGCTCAGTTCGTCATTGACCTCTCCGGAACACGACCAGCCAAGCACCTCAGCCAACCTGCTGTCCGGAACCAGAAGGCCGGCAGAACGCTTGGTTGGTGGAGCACGTTTCCAGTCGGAGGAAGAGTAAGGACGCCCCGGAGGTCGGGACTTCCGGCGTAGCGTAGTCGCGGCCAGAAGGCTGATGGTAGGAGTTGCGGTGTAGGCAGATGTCGGCACTGCGGCACGTCGTGTGCGCCCTGTCTGGCGGCGTGGACAGCGCGGTGGCTGCGCTGCTGTTGCGGCGGAGAGGTGAGGCCAGGGTTCCTCACTGGGGACAGGAACTGGGCTCATCCAGGCTTGGCCTCTGCACACTCCGCGGACCTCCCCTTGAGGACGGCCAGCTGCTGCTGATTGAATCACTCATGTGTTTCCCCTTCGTTGGATGACAACTTTCCTCCTACGGCTACCATATCTTCCTGATTTCTAATATCCCCACAGGACCTTCGTGTCAGGATCTGATACCAACTACCCTTCTAAATTCCTCCCCCTGTGTGGTGGTCCCATCTCATTTCGTCCGAATTCACGTGGTAGTGTTTATGGAGCCTCAGCCCTAGATCACCTTTCCCGAGGCGCGGGCAAAGAGCCTGAATTTGAATAAGTTAGTTAAGCACCCCTCCGTCAAGTGTGATGACCCCAAATTTGGCGTGGCTGGAAATGACATAGTATGTGTCGAAAGGGTTAGCCATGCAATATTAGATATAGTTCGGAAAGCAGGAGCAATTCTTTCGTATTATAATCATAGCTGACATTCGATATATAAGAAGTGCCAAGGAAGGTAGGCAAAGCATACACATGTGTACTGTGTGAGGAAGGGACAAAAGCTAAGCCCAGAGGCAGAAGCTCTGTAGGAGTTCTCTACAAAGGGCTGGCTGTGGAGGCAGAGTCAGCAACACAGGCAGGAGTCAGAGGAGAGAGTGCTGACACAGTCTGACCAGGGTAGTATGTAGAGGGTTAATCTCTAGGTATTGAAGCTGACATAGTATTAGGGAGTTTGGGATAATGTTGAGTAGGCAGCTGTGAGCCTGTGAAGGTTTCCAATGAGGACTGTGACTAGATGCTTTGGAGGATGCAGTAGGTTGACTGTTCTCCCAGAATTATCATTTTATTACTTATGAAAGACAAGCCCTGCTGGCTAGTTTTTATGTCAACTTGTCACATGCTGGGGTCCTAAGGGAAGAGGGAACTCAGAAAATGTCTCCATTGCATTGGTCTGTAGGCTAGTCTGTGAGGCATTTTCTTGACTAATGATTGATGTAGGAGGGTTCATTCCATTATGAATAATGCTACCCCTGGGCAAGTGGTCCTGGCTTATGTAAGAAAGCAGGCTGGGTAAGCCATGGGGAACTAACCAATAAGTAGTGTTCTTTCATGGCCTGTTTCTGCCTCCAGTTTCCCAACCTGAGTTCCAGCCTTGGTTTCCCTTGATAATGGACTGTGACCTTTAGGGCAAAATAAACCTTCCCTTTTATTCCTCCAAGTTGCTTTTGATCATGCTATTTATTACAACAATAGAAATCTAGCCAAAACATAGGCTCTCTGCCTCCACCAAGCTGCACCATCTCTTATTTCTATCTTTCCTTGGATTTTTTTTTTTTTTTCCCATGGGAGAAACTGATGGACATATCAGGGGAAAGCATTATCCTCTCATTCTGGCATCGAGGGCTCTTGGAGTTGATGTCCTATCAGGCACTCCCTAGGCTGACCCACCCTAGAGTGCCTGTCCCCCGTATGTGGGTCATGTCTCTCTATGAGATAGTTGATCAAGCAGATGTGGCATGGGAATAGTGAGGTTCTAAAGCTCTGTGTAGAATTTGCTCATTCTACAAATTTGTTGGTTTTTAGCTCTCCTTATGCACTTGCTGGGCATTTTACTAGCTCTGGGGAGCTAAGGTTGGATTATGCTATCTCTGCCCTTGAGGAGTCCTCTGCTTTAATAAGTTAAGTGCAAGACTAGTTCAAGAGCTGAGCTCAGCATGGTTAGTCTCTGTGGTAAAGCAGAGTCAGGTGCTTCCAGATGCAAAAGATGGCCTATGCCATTTTTGGATGTGTATGACCTAATGAGCATGGCATTTCAATGCACAGTGTACTACAGTGCAATGAGCTCTAGAGGAAAGAAGAGCCTACAGGGATTATGCTACAGTGTAAGCCAGGCCCTAGGCCACATGGACAGGCTTGGGCTGTCATTCAGAATATACAGGGCATCAGTGCTGGAGGGGTAGGGTGTATCCAAACTGCTCAAAGTGTGGAAGGCCCCCATTCCCACCCTATCATCTCTCTCTAGGTTACCAGGTAACAGGGGTGTTTATGAAGAACTGGGACTCACTGGATGAGCAAGGTGTTTGTGCTGCTGACAAGGACTGTGAAGATGCTTATAAAGTTTGTCAGCTTTTAGACATCCCTTTCCATCAGGTGTCCTATGTGAAGGAATACTGGAACGACGTGTTCAGGTGAGTGCAGGCTGCTTCACACGTGGGGTTTATTGTACTGTGGACCTTTTCCAAGGCAGGGTGAAAACAGCCGATGCTTCTCCACAGAGGTGGCCAAGACTGCTGAAGTTGGAGCACCTGAGGTCTGACCCACAGCACCCTCACACTCGGGGTATTTCCCACCTGCCAGTGGTTTCTTTAATGCATTTCTGAACCATGGCATGAGGAGTGAAGGCTGAAATCTCCCCAGAAGATGCTGGGAGATAAGTGTCAATACCTATGTACTGTGCATAAGTGGTTATGGGAGTGTTTTGGTTAGGTTTGTTTGTTTGTTTTAATCAACATGACAAAAGCCAGGGTCACATAAGAAGAGGGCACTTCAACTGAGAAAATATAGGTAAGTCTGTGGGGCATTTCCTTGATTAATGATAGATGTGGGTGGATACAGCCCATTAAAGGGCTGGTGGCTCTGGGCTGTAGAAGAAAGCAGGCTGAGAAAACCATGGGGAGCAAGCCAATAAGCAGCATCCCTCCCTGGCCTCTGCATCAGTTCCTGCCTCCAGATTCTTGCCATGACTTTCCTGAAAGGTAGACTGTGATCAGGACGTCTAAGCCAAATTCCCTTCCCAAATTGCTTTTGGCCATGGTCTTTATCATAGTAATAGGAAGCAAAGTAAGACAAGAGGTTGGGTGGAGGGAGCTTTGTGAAGTATTGCCCTGGCCTATTGAAAACAAACAGCAAGCAAAACTTTAATCAAATCAAACATAGTAATATTTATTTGTTTGTTTGTTTATTTATTGGTATTTCAAAACAGTGTTTCTGTATGTAGCCTTTGCTGTCCTGGAACTTACTCTGTCACTAGACTGACCTTGAACTCACAGAGATCCACTTGCCTCTGCCTCCAGAGTGCTGGGATTAAAGGTGTGTGCCAACACAGCCCAGCACAACACACAGTAATTATTACTGTTTACTATATGCTCAGCACTATGCTACATCTAAGAACACAAAGTATATACATCATGGCCCTATTTTGTAGGAATTGTCTATCTACTTGGACGTTAGTATCTTTACCAGAGGTGCTGATGGTGGTGAGCATCCTGTAGGAAATTCCCTGGTTTGAGAGGAGGGAGAATGGTATGGCATAGAGTATGGTCTAGCAGCCTCATGAAAGAGGAAGGGCTTCAGCCACTTCAAGGAAGGCTTAAATAGAGGCTGTTACATGGGTTACAAGAGCAGCAGTAAGGAGGGGGAGGATCATGTCCCTCATCTATCTCAGGAATGTGTGAGGTTTGGCTAGCCACTTACTCCTGCAGAGAAAGACACCCAGGCTAGTCTCTGGTGAACCGTCACAATGTTCAATGCCTGGAAGCTCTTGCTTGTCACAGATAACAGGCCATGTTCACTGTGGGTTGCCCTTGCCTAAATAGGCCTATCTCAACTTTGCCACTTAGAGGACCTTTGACAATTTATTTGATTTTTCTAAGTCTCAGTTTTCTTTACTTTTCTTTCTTTCTTTCTTTCTTTCTTTTTTTTTTTTTTTTTTTTTTTTTTTTTTTGTTTTGTTTTGTTTTGTTTTTCGAGACAGGATTTCTCTGTATTGCTTTGGACCCTGTCTTGGAACTAGCTCTGAAGACCAGGCTGGCCTAGAACTCACAGAGATCTGCCTGACTCTGCCTACCCAGTGCTGTGATTAAAGCCATGTGTCACCAATGCCCAGATTAAGTCTCAGTTTTCTTATATTTAAATCAAGGATAATGTTCATACCCACCAGGAACATTGTAGGAATGAGCTTAAGTCATACAAAGTTTTAGAACAGTGCCTGGTCCATTTACACATGTTTTGGGTATTTTCTGTTGCTGTGACAAAACACTATGGCCAAGCCAACTAATACAAGAGTTTATTTGTGCTGACAGTTTCAGATGGATGAAAGTCTACCATGGCAGCAGGAACAGCAGCAGAGAGGGTGAACTGGGAATGGCACATGGCTTTTAAAACATCAAAACTCTCCCCCAGTGGCATTTCCTTCATCAGGGACACCTCCTAAGCCTGCCCAAGTAGCACCACCCACTGGGGGTCAATTTTCAAACATCTGAGCCAATGGGAGTCATTCTCACTCACACCTGTGAGTTCTGAGGAGCCGCTTGACATAGTAGGAAAATGATTTGATAATAAAGCTCTCATGAGGGAAGAAAGTACAGTTTTGGGACAATAAATAGAAGTTCCACATTAAACAAGCAACTTAACTAATTTTTTTTTAAAGAATGTATCACTTAGATCTGAGGGTGTTTTCCTTTATTCCAGTGACTTTTTGAATGAGTATGAGAAAGGAAGGACTCCCAACCCTGACATCATGTGCAATAAGCACATCAAGTTCAGTTGCTTTTATCATTACGCCGTGGACAATCTTGGTAAGGAATTGGAATCGCTTCATCTGCTTGTTAAAATCATAGCTTTCCAGATATAGTCAGAAGCCAGAACTGTGTAGACAGTTTTGGCTTGCAGAAGAATGTGCTCACTGAATAAGAAAGAACTTTCTAGTTCAGTATGGCCCGTAGGAGGGGGTGCCCTCCATCTAGGGCTGGCAGCTGGCTTCTCATATCTGAGAGCAGGTGTGCTTGGCCGTTGACCTAAAGACTAAAAAGTGGCAGTACTCTTAAATAGAGGACTCAGAAAGTAGGATTCAGATCTGAATCAGTAGTGAGTCAGGAAAATGTATCAGTGACAAGAACAGAAACAGCAGGCGTGGGAACCTGCAGGCCATCCGGATCAGCTGGAATGTGGGAATGCCTGAGACATCAGAACTCACAAGTGTCTGCCAAGCAGAAAGTGATAGCACACGAATGTAATCTTAATACTGGGGAGGTCAGCCAAGCTTCATAGCAAATTCTAAGCCCTCCTGACCTATATAGTGAAACCCTGTTTCAGGGAAGGAAGGGAGGGAGGGAGGGAGGGAGGGAGGGAGGGAGGGAGAGGAGGAGATGAGAGAGGGAGGGAAGGAAGGGATGAGGGAGGGAGGGAGCGATGGGAGAAGGAAGGAAGGGGGGAAGGAGGGAGGGAGGGAGGGAGGAAGGGAGGGCACATGTACAGGCCAGGAGGCCAACCTGGCTGTAGCCAGAATTGCACAAAATGGGAGTAAGCAGACCACTCACAGAGCAGCAGGCCAGCACTTAAGGCCTTGTGTGTTTAAACTGGGAGTCATTGCTGCCCAGAATGTGGCCCACAGGAGCCTAGAAGACACCCAGCCTTTTGATGAGTTTGCGTTGAGATTCAATCTATGACCTAGTGTGTTGGCCCTCCATGAAATCTGTGCTGCATCTTACTTGGTTCTCTTTTGCATTGTCTCCCTGCCTCTCTGTTTGAAGCCCACACACCTGAAATCTAGGCTTCTGAGGAAGTGGGGCTTCTCTTAGAAGAGCTCCACACTTCTTACTGTGTAGGTTACTGTCCTTCAGGAAGTGACCTGTGAGAAAATAAGATGTTATGCTGTGTCCTGGAAGGTCCTAGTTGGCTGGTTTGCATGCAGTGCTAATTCTCTTGAGGCTTCCTGTGTTAGTCCAGCATTGAGCTGCTCAGGTCTTAATGCTTTGCTGTGCCATCCAGGCCAGTCTCCCACAGTAGACCCCTGAACTTGTGTCAGTGGAAAGGTAGAGTATGTATGTGTATACACTTACCAAAAATTACTGGCAGTGAAAAAACAGGGGTAGCTTATCTACGATTTTATACTAGAATCAGAGGAATTAGACTAAGGTTGTTCACTTTTTCCTGTACATTAAAAGTTGTGTGTACAATATAACATCACTTTCCTCTGCTTAGCACTGCTGAGGTGTGAATTCATCAGCCAGTGCTTTGTAGGTGCCATTCCCATCAGACTACAGCATCAGAATTCATGCCTTGTGCTGTTGAATGTTTTGGCTTTCAGTTTTTTCTTAGTGTTGGAAAAAAACGGTAAGCTTTCAAATTGTGTGTGTAAGCTAGAGTGAGTGAGCAGATCAATTCTAACTTTTGAAAGAATCTTTAAAGGTGTGAGGTTCGTAGCTCACATTAGGAGTTGAAGGGAGCCTGCTTATCCAGCTATTACATAGGCCTCCATGCCCTCTCTAGGCGGGGTGGGTCATTGGCTGTGCAGATTTCAGGGTAAGGCTGGTTCTGTGTGCTGCTTTATCTAGGCTGATACCCTAGTTTACTTTCTATTGCAGTGATAAAAAATATGACCCAAAGCAACCTAGAGAAGGGAAGGTTCATTTGGCTTTCATGTCCCAGTCCATCATCAGGAAGCCAAAGCAGGAAGTCAAGCAGGGACCATGGAAGAATGCTGTCTACTGGCTGCTGCTCCTGCTCAACCTGCTTTCTTCTACAACACAGGACCACCTTCCTGCCTCGAGTAGTTCTGCCCAAATCAGTCATTTATAGAGAAAATGCCCACAAGCCAGGTATGGTGGCACACACCATTGGTCCTGGCATTCAGGACTAGCTAGTCTATATAGTGAGTTCCAGGACAGCCTGCACTATGTAGAAAGATCTTGACTTGAAAGAAAGCAAAGTCTGATGTCTGATGGAGAAAGTCCAGTCTGATGGAGACATTTTCTTCATTAAGGGTTTCTCTTCCCAAGTGACTGTAGTTTATGTGTAGTTGACAAAAACTATACAGCAAATTCAGCCTCACATTGGAGTCTTGTGTTTTGAAAACCCTCCAGGAGCAGATGCTGTTGCCACTGGCCACTATGCAAGGACCTCCCTGGAGGATGAGGAAGTCTTTGAGCAGAAGCACACTAAGAGACCAGATGGGCTGTTCAGAAATCGATTTGAAGTCAGAAATCGTAAGTACATGTGTGTGGCCCGAGCACTAATCTCTCTGAGCACAGGAGCACTTAGAAGGATGGCAGGAGCAGGGGCTGAGCATGCAGCCCCTCCCCCAATCCTGTGTGCTCCTGGCTGATTAGCTGCTTCATTTAGGTTCAGAGTTGCAAAGGCACAGGTAGCAGCAGGGTCACCTTCCCCAGGCCCATGGGTGAGCATTGTGATGCCTTGGCCAGGAGCCAGGGTGCGAGCTGAGGAAGGTGGTCAGAAACTTATCTAGGTTATTACATATTCATAAGTTGAACTTCCAGAAATATTTGACAGTAATAATTGGAACAGTTTTAACAAGGTTCCAAGCAGATGTAGAGTCACTTCCCATCTTGAGTAGATAAACCTGCTCATGTCAAGGACATGTTCTCCTTTGTCTAGTTCATACTTGTTCTGACCCTCCTAAGATAGTTAAGCACTGTGTTGAGTGATACCCTGTGATAGTTTAATGATGCCTTGGTTTCCAGGGTGTATTTTAGACAAACCAAAGCTGTTCTGTGGCTTTGGTCTGAGTCCTAGGGGATCATCCAAGTGGAGGCCGAAGAGGTCTTGGGCCCAGGGGATGGCTGTAGTTGTGGACCTGACATTGTAACCAGCTGGTTTTCTTCTGAACATGGTGCCATGCCTGGCAGGACAAATAGGAGGGCAGGATCCTGGAAACATAAGCTCTGAACTCTAGTAGGCTTCATCAAATGTTAGCTCTGTCCTGCTCTGTGGCATTTTTGTTAGTATTACAGCTTCCTATTTGAAAGCCATTGGTTTTCATGTGTTTTACAATAACTCAGAAGGTAGATGTGGGAACACACCTGTAATCCCAGCACTTGGGATACTCAAAACAATCAGTCAAAAAGAATCCAGGACAAAATAACTCACAAACACTATTTGGGAGAATTTGGTTTGGACAGAGATTGAATTCTAGCCTTATTTTCAGCCAGTTGCATTGTTTTTGACAAGTAACAGGTCAGAAATGGGAGGCAGCTAAGTCTGTAGAACAGCCTTTTAGCACCTGCATCATCACAGGCCAGACCTTAGTCCTGGCTGTAAAGATGGGGGAAATGTTCCTTTATAAGGAGATGTGAGAGTCAGGTGGAAACCTACAAGTAATATGATGCTTACTGCTGCCTGGTGTGTGAAGTGTGCATTGGTATTTAAACTGTAGACCTGGAGAAATGGCTTCATCAGTAAAGGCAATGACCTCAGTTCAATTCCCAGAACCTATGTAAAAACAGCAGGCATGATGATATATCCGTATAATCCCAGCACTGGGGATGCAGAGATTGGTGAGTTCTGGGTCATTGAGAGACCATCTCAGAAAAGAAAGTGGTGACTCCTGAGGAGCAGCAGTTGAGGTTGTCACCTGATTTCTACACTCGTGTACTGACATAGACAAGCCCTCAAATGCATGTACACATAACACTGAGCTGTGTGTGGGGGGTGCTCCACATTTCCCTCTGGGTTATCTCCTAGCACTGTGTGTGAGAAAGGGTGGAAGAAGCAAATCCACCCATCAGCCTCACCAGCCCACAGACCTGAGTAAGAACTGTCTTCTTGGGGAAATTTGCCTGGCACCTTCTCAGTCTAAAGTCACCAGGGCCATCGTCACTCACAGCTGTATACATCCAATAAGTGTTCCTTATAATTACATGGAGAACAAGCAGGGTGGGCAACAGATGTCAGTTTGGACTCTGTAGCAAAGCTGTTTTCACGCCATGGCTGGGCTGAAGGCCAGAGCCCTGTGTGTTTCTTTGCACACTTTACATGCCTGCAGTTGATAGGCAAATTCACTGCTGACCCTATTTCAGCATAATTCTGGATGAGCTGTCTTGCCCAGTCTCCCATATGTGACTAGATTTATTTTAGGACCGAAGCTTCTCACTCTTTTTTTTTCATACAGTGTCTCATGTTTGAAAATCTTACAATCAAAATTACAAGCAGGGATAAGTTTCTGTATGCAAAATCTACCTTCCCCGTGTTGTTCCTTATAGATAGCTCAACAAGGGGCCATGTACATTAGCCATGCTGGTATTTTTTTCCCAGTCTTTTGAGATGGGTTTGCTTCTGGCAGTCTGGGGGTGGGGGTGGGGTAACTGCTCACACAGAAGGGCATGGAAAGCAAAGAGTTATTATCTGTGTTCCTGCAATGACTTTTGTTCTTTACTCTTGGCAGCCGTAAAACTTCTCCAAGCAGCTGACAGCTTTAAAGACCAGACCTTCTTTCTCAGCCAGGTTTCCCAGGATGCCCTGAGAAGAACCATCTTCCCCCTGGGGGAATTAACAAAAGATTTTGTAAAGAAAATAGCTGCAGAGAATAGACTCCATCATGTGCTTCAGAAGAAAGAGGTAGGAGTGAGCAGCTTGCCATTAATTCATGAATGTTTCCACTCATGTTGTCATGGCACAGACAGGGCTGGGCTCTGTGGGGCCTTTGCTAGGACCCCATCGGGCCAAGCCACAGAGCACGGTTGCAGGTGAGGAGCAGCTGAGGCCGGCCTCCTCCTCCCCCTTCTTGTGCCTGTTGTGGCCAACTGCTTTCTCAGCATACATGGTAACTGGCTTAGCCAGCCAGTTGAGTGTGATCGAGGAGCAGCCATGCTGGCCCATTCCATGAGACAGGAGATTGCAGTCATCTGTACACAGTGCTACCTATCCAAGGAGACAGTAACAAGCAGACAGTTCCTCTCCACCGTCTCGGAGCTCCCTGTAGAAGGGAGGGACACTCATACACTGCATCTTGGAAACCAGACTAACCCCTGTGGGGGAGAGCTGGAATCCTGGGAGAAGCCCCAGTAGTCCAGGTTTGGTTAGAGGTTAGTATAGCTTTACCTATAGCCTCGCATGGCTGTTCCTTTTATCAGCAAGTCCACATTGCCAAGTGAATGTCCCTTGCCTGTTCTATTGTCTTCTCTATTGTTCATTTGACAGCATTTCTCCATGGTAGGAACTAGCAGTCACTGTAATAAATGGGATAGACCCCTTGTCTAATGCCCTGTGTTAGAGACAGACACAAACTGAGGAGTAATGACAGAGCTGCAGCCTTCTCCTTCCTGACCCCCTGCTCCCTGCCCCTGCCTTGGGCTCTGGCTCTCCAGCAGTGAGCAGTCTAGTTTGCTCTCCTTGTTTGCTTGTATGGGTTTCTCAGCACAGTCTAGTTGCAAATGATGCAGTGTGTTTACATGATAGCATCCACGTTAGAGTCAAACTCGGAAATCCAACATTCTCTAGGCCCCCAAGTTCTGTTTGTGTTTGTGCTGAATTCTGGGGCTTCCTGCAGCACAGCCTGCTCTCTGCCTGGCATTAGTGCTGTCCTCCTAGCCCAGCCTGGCTCTCTATTTGCCTTCTGGCTTTGCCTTCTGCTCACATCCTGTTGGCCTTCTTCTCATTCCAGAGCATGGGCATCTGCTTCATTGGTAAAAGAAACTTTGAGCATTTCATTCTTCAGGTGAGTGTCTGTCCTCTGACATGAGTGGCTGTCTGTGCTGGGCCTGGATCTCCAGTAGTAATGAAACTTGTCTTCCAGTATTTGCAACCTCGGCCTGGAAAGTTTATTTCTATCGAGGATAATAAAGTTCTGGGAACACATAAAGGTGAGTCCTGCCAGCTTTGGGAACTAAAGGCCAGCACTAGCTCCTGTCCATCCCATGAAGGGCTCAGGGAGGACTTGAGGGGCAGGCTGGGGTGGGTACATGTGGCATGAACAGTCACTCTGACAGGAACTTAGTGTGTGCTGTGGTGCTTTGTCTTGTATTTAGTCCCTAGATTCAGAGCTGGACTCTGTGTGTGTGTTTCACATTCCTAAAAGTATGTTGTTGATTGCTATGGGAGTACAGGGAAGACTGCAGAAATCCCATTGGAGAAAGAATGTAGCTGACCTCATAGCCAGGCGAGTGAGGACCATATGGGTGCTATTCACATAATCCAGATGAGGACCACCATGACCAGTGCTGTGCTGTGTGTGAGGACAGGCAGTTTGGGCTAGAAGGGACATGCCTCCTGAGACTTGATGTCTGGACCCAATCTGTGAGACTGGCTAGACAGTCAGGGTGTACTTCTTTGCCATGTATGGCCCCTGTGGAGAGAGCAGCGCTCCCTGAGAGGAGGGCGAGACCCAGCTGACCTGGTTGTCATACTGGAGAAGACAGCGGCTTTGCAGGAGACAGTGTTGCTGTCCTGCCAGATTGCCTCTGCCGGGTACATGCATCCACGAAGAGGTAAAGCTGGTGACTAGGTGGTCCTGCCCCATGCATGAGGTGGGTGTAGAGTGCAGATGCAAGGAACATGCTCAGCAGGCATGAGACCTACTTTGAGAGCAGTATCCCCACAGAGGTCATAGCCACCAATGAAGGAGCTGGCTTTTGTACCATGCTCAGTACTATCCTAGCTATCCCTCAAGTCCTGACCTTAGGTGGGATGTACCCAGGTGTGTGATTAGGGCTAAGAGCCCTTCAAGCCCATAGAACCACATTTTAAATTCAGGATGCCTCATAGCAATCCATAACCTCCCATTTATGAGGAATGAGATGTGCCCTCTGAACACTGTTTCATAGGTTGGTTCCTGTATACTTTGGGACAGAGAGCTAAGATCAGTGGCTTGAGAGAGCCCTGGTACGTGGTGGACAAAGATGGCATCAAGGGGGACGTGCTTGTGGTGAGTGAGACTAGCCTTCACTATCTAGTATGCCAGTAAAACAGGCAGTACTGGAGTGTCCCAGAGCCTGGAGCTGCAGACCTGCCCTCCATAGCTCCTGGGACAGGTGTAAAGTAACAGAAGGTCTTCATATAAAGTATCGCCAGGCTCTGTTGTGTGCTGGCCATGTGCCACTCATTACAACTATTTGTAGAAAAACTGTCCTGTTTTGCAAAGGAGGATGAAACTCGGATAACCTGCAAAGGCCTCTCATAGAGGTTGGCCATCATAGCGGCTAGTAAACCCACCCTCTGTGGGAGGACAGAGGTAGTTAACTGAAACCAATGGGACCCTGAACCATTCTTGTCTGTCCTAAACTCTGGAACAGAAATTCTCCAAGAGGGCAAGCTTTGAGGAGATTGACAGTATCAAGAATTGGATGGGGATGTAGGAGTAGGTGTTGCTTGGCAGACTGCCTGTGCATACATGGCAGCCCCCAATCTTCAATGAATCCTGCTCTCGGCAGGGCAAGGGTGGGAACCCTGCTTGGGGCAGGCTAATCTGCCAGCTGGTGTGGTCAGAGTTGCTGGAGGACCCACAGGGCCCCAGGCTGCAAACTTCACAGATGTCTTCTAGTAGAGCAGCATGGGAAATGCCTACTCAGGCTTAAATTAAGGCATCTTTAGCTTAAGCTCTCAGATGGACCTACTGAGAAAAGACAGATCAATCATGGGTCAGGGGCCCAGGCCATCTCAGTGTCTTAGCACCCAGAGTCTCAGGAGTTAGTGTTCCTGCTTCTTCCCCAGAGGAGCCTTGGCCACCCTAGACAGCACCAGGGTTCTTCTGTGTATGTGTAAACTAGTGGTGATGGGAAGAGGTACTGCAGTACTAGTCCTTTGAGTGAGAACTACTCAGGCCAGGGCCAGCCTCACGATCCTGCAACCACCCAGGTGGTTGGGGGCCTGCATCCTTCAGACCCTGCTTCTCACAGCCAGCTGTTGCTGGTGGGATCCGTGGCCCTTCCAGGAGGCCAATTTTGTGGCTGACCTATATCTCTAGGAAGAGAAAACAGCTGTCAGAGTATAACAGGCTGGGGGTGACGAGATGTGGAGGAATCTCACTCATGCCCTCTACTTCCGCCCCATGGCTGACTGTACTCTCTTGTTCCTTGCTCATCTGAGAACCAGGGTGAACAAGCCTTTAGGCTGATGAAAGGGATGCTACATGTGGACTGACACATGCAGCTGAGCGGGGTTGGCTTATTATTAGCTGTGGATGTGCTGTTAGGGTTGTTCTTATGATACCTGCTGAGGGCTTATGGGTAAGGGCTGCTCCCTTCAAAGATCACAATGTCTGCATTCTGCTCTGCAGGCTCCCCAGGTAGACCACCCAGCTCTGTATAGAGACCTGCTGAGGACCAACCGTGTACACTGGATTGCCGAGGAACCACCTGCTGCCTTGGTCAGAGACAAGATGATGGAGTGCCATTTCCGATTCCGCCACCAGATGGCACTAGGTGACTGGATGGAAGGGGCCCTTGTTGCTAAGTTACCTGTCTCAGATTAATCTAAATCAGAGAGACTGCTTGGGCAGTACACCCTTGAGCACACCAGGAAGTTCCCGTCATTGATACTGTATTTCAAAACACCTTATCCTCTGCCTGCCACAGAAAGGGGTCTAAGGAACAGGAATGTCATTTTGCCAGAATTGCTGGAAGTTGGGTCCTAGTATGAGGAACTGAGTTATAGTATATATCATTCTGAGGTGTCATGTCCATAGCGAGGGCAGCTTTGAGCCCTTTTGGGCACTTTCCTGTCCTGTCCTTCCAGCAGGAAGGATGTTGGGCAACCCTACACTCACAAGCTGCTGTTTCTCCCTAGGGCTGTGGTTGGCAGTGAAAGCAGACTCACACTCATAACTCTCCCCACAGTGCCCTGTGTGCTGACACTCAACCAGGATGGCACTGTATGGGTGACAGCTGTGAAGGCTGTGCGGGGCCTTGCCCTGGGACAGGTGAGTGGGGCAGTGGGAGGTAGAACATTGCTGTCCTCGATAGGCCAGGTGCCTGGTCTGCCCTGGAGTCTGAGACACATACACAGTGAGCCTCCCCCTACCCTTCTTTCTTTCCAGTTTGCTGTCTTTTACAAGAGTGATGAGTGTCTTGGCAGTGGGAAAATCCTACGGTTAGGGCCATCTGCCTACACACTCCAGAAGGGCAAGAAAAGAACCAGAGTGGCTCCCGAGGTCTCCAGTGACAGTCCAGGCCTGCAACCCACACCCTGACAAAGGCCAAGCCAATGGGAGGAAGCATTAGAGCAGTCTGGGGAACGTTAGTCAGTGATGGGCTTGGTGCTGCCAGAGTCAGTGGGCTGGCTGGCTGCAGAGCCAGGGCAGCCTGAGGAAGGAGCGCATCTGCGCTGGTGCGCCAGTACACCAGAAGCTGGCCGGTGGGTCTGCCTCAAGGGCCCTGATGGAGCTGCTCTTCCACAGTGCAGTGCACGGAGGCTGCGCAGGAACAGCATTAAATAAAACTGTCCAATAGTCTGACCACTGTGGCTGTGCTCCTTCCACTGAGCCTCCATGTGGCATGGCAGGCATGGGGACAGCAGCAGCCCTGTCCCCGCTCTCTAGGGCCTGAGCTCCCTCCAAAAGGAAGGGAGAGTTTTCTGAATTAGGCCTCTCCTTGTCTGGTAATCTGATGAGTGTGAGATAACCTACTTGGTGTGTGCACTGCCAAGTAAAGGGAGTCAGTATTTTCCTGTCAGCTTGGCATTGGTTTGAAGTGGACACATATGTCACGCTAGACGTACCCAAGCACGTGTGAGGAAAAAACACATTGGGAGATGACCTTTAGTGGGGAGGTGGCGGCAACACCAGGTGCAGACCCTGGGGCAGGGGACCCATGGGCCAAAGGGAAGGGTGCCCACTACTTCTCTGCTCCCAATTTTCCCGACAGGTACCACCATTGGGCAGATGTGTGAGACAATAGAGGGGCCAAAAGTCTGGGGAATTCACCATTTTTGACAGGAATCAAGATAAGGTCCCGAGAGATGAGGGCTGGATACAGCAGTGCCAGGAAGTAATGCCTGGAGCCTCACCAAGTTGCTAAGTTAGGATGAGGGTTCAAACCAGGCCAGGCTCAAAAGAATTCAAGATGCCACCGGAGTTCTCAAAGCCAAGAGAAAGATGACAGGTGGAACCCTAAGGTCATTAGATGTGTGCAACACCAGAGAGGGTAGAACACCAATCTGCTATGCCTAGGAGATGCAGGTGAGTACATAGCAGTAGGTATGGTGAGGGACCAGATTGTAAAACTGAAAAGCATAGTGGAAATGTAAGAAGCTCACCAGATGAGTCCAGTAGCAGTATAGGTCACAGTACAGAATGAGTGAGCATCATGACTATCATGAGTGTCAGATCTGCAGAACAAGAGGTTGGGGACCAGTGGGACATCAGAGCAGCACCAAAGGGTCTAATGTGTCACTACAGTGTCAGGAAACAACTGAAAGCATAGTGACGAAGTTCCCAGATTTGGAGACGCAACAAGATGGCTCAGTGGTTACGAGTGCTTGCTGGGCAGTCATGAGGACCAGCGCTAGGACCCGGCACCCACATAAGCAGTGTGGCCTGCCCCATCTCTGAAAGGAGACAGGGCTAGTGGGGCTTGCTGGCTTCCAGTTTAGCTGAAAAAATGAAACAAAACAAAAAAACCCCACAAACGTCAGGTTCAGAAGAGACCCTGCCTCATGGGTGGCAAGTGACAGCAGACACTTGATGTCCTTTTCTGGTCTCTGGTTGGGAAGACAACAGCTCAGTGATTAAGAGTACTGGCAGAGACATCCATACACACAGGATAAATCTTAAATTCTCAAATTTGTTAGAGACAGACTGAAGAATTAGAAAATTTGGGCAAGTCCATCCATGTCATGGCAGGCCTGCACATGAATAGGAAATGACAATGCTCTGTGGGCCTGTCTGCGTCTAAATGGCACTAGAGGCTGTCTTCAGTAGTTCCTCCCATGCCACCTTAGGGAGCAGGGTCAGTGGGGACAGGAAACACCCAGCACGCATGGGTACAAATCCAAAAATTTTAATTTATTATAGATGTGTCTCACCTGTGTTGTCATCCAGTGCTGAACAGTAATAAATACATCTGTTAAAAAACCTCCAGTGTTGAACCTCTAATGTCTTAGGTCATAAAAACAGTTTAAAACTGACGGCTTGTTTTGTTTTGGTTAACAATCATGATCAAAGCATGGGGTTGTGGCATTGTGAGCGAACACAGTGCTCCAAGTCCTGGAGACTGAAGCTCCCTTGTGTTAGGTCATTTTTTGTATCATTGCCACCTCAGAGGTCACTTGGGGCACCTCCCTTCAGCCTCACGGCAGTGAGCGACCTCAAACCATGTCAGGTAGACTTCCCTCTCACACATTAGCAGTCCTGTGCACTCTCAGAGTGCAGTGCAATGCGAGAGTTCTTGCATTTGATGTCCTTGTTTAGTTTCTCCCATTTGAGAGCAGCTGCACACCCCATGTACACCTGAGTCAAGCAACAGTAAAGGCTGAAGGAAGCATGTCTCAGTAACTCTGGGCCCCAGTCCCTTGGGCTTGGCCGAATGGTGGCTTGTGGTGGGCTGGTCACAGCAGTCCTTGGTGTGAGTTTCCAAAAAGAATTTGGTAACCATTGAAAAGTGGGACTGTGGCTTTGTTTCTCTGCACAGTGGCCCACTTAAAGCAAAATGATGTAATTGGTCAGATCTCAGGGTTGGAGCCCCTGCCTGCCCAGAGAGCTCGAGTTTGAAAGAGTAGACCATTGATTGGCAGGAAGGAGTGTGACATCCTGGAAGGCCTCAGGGGTCCCTCTGAATCAGGAACATGAGATCCTACGGGAAACAGGAGCAGGAACAAAGAAATTCTCCCCCTGCAGCACTGAGCTGACTGGAAAGCTCCAAAGAAGCCCCACAGGATCAGGGGAGAACCTGGCACAAGGCTGTGGGAGTGACCAAGCGGTCAGGATTTCACCCCGTGTGAAGTCAGCTGTGGCAGTCACACTTCACAGGCCAGCCCCATCCCGTATCTAGAGCTGAGTGTGCACAACTGTGTGCTCCGAAGACCAGCAGAACACCCATACTCCCTAGCTTGCTGACTGGAAGCAGCTGCCGGAGTTTGTGATGGCTGTATTAACTTCAGAGCTCATGTCTTCCCTACCTGGGCACTGTGGGACCAGCTGTGTTGATTGATTACTGGTGCAAGTACAGCTGTACAAGCTTCCTTGGGCCATTTCATGGCTCTCCAGCGTCAGCAAAGTCAGGACATTGTAAAATATACACAGGTTTTTATCTTCTCCAAGTCCAGGACAGATTTATCCGTATTTACAATTTTAAACAGCAATTTAAGACACAGTACTTTGCAGAGACTGAGACTGGTGACTATGGGCTTGTTCTGCAAGGAGATGTCTGCAGGGACAACCGGGTCTTGGCCTGTATCTGGTATCTGAACCCTCTCAAGCCAAAGGGCCTAGCATAGTAATTCACCAAGTCCAGCTCAAGCTCTATGGCTTCTGCCTAGGCCTCTTGTAGCCAGGTCAGCAGCATAGTTTGGGTTCTGACTGCAGTCTGAGGATGGAGCCATGCTAGCCTGAAGTCCTTATCTCCCTCTTGAGACTTGCCTGTGGCTTTGGCACTTGTTACAGAGTCTAACGGGCCCTGAGCTCCTGAGAGGGCCAAGGACTTCCTATCTGGACATTCGTTGTAGAGCCAGCTGCTGTTGCAGGAACCCTCACACCAAGGGCCCGTCTGCCCCATAGGCAGCAAAGTCCCAGGCTTCAAGGTCGGAGACTTGACTGGCAGTCTGTAGGATTGACCGGGCCTCATGGTTTCCTGATGATTCAAATTGAAGTTTCGTTACTGCCTCTGTGTGTGGGAAGAATTGCCAGGCGTGTGGAGGGTCAGTGACGGTGGCAGTGATGGAATCCACAGTCATTTAGGGGCAGACACTCCCAGTCAGGTGTGAGGGGAAGCCTAGGGGCTTTAGGGGTTCTGGATGGGGAAAGCTGATGGCCCCCACCCTTTCAAAGCCCTAGATTCCGAGGACGCTACTTACTCGGAGTCAGAGCCGTTGGCCTGAGCACTCCCTGTGCATACATTCATGGCCACCCCATTGAGATGTTCACGGCCTGGCTCCCTCCTCGGAGTTTTGATGGTGATAACACAGTCAGTGGCACGGACACCATCACCAGAACCAAGGGAGGATGTGCGGGAGGACGAGGGGCTTTGCTCACAGTCGGCCAGCTTCTCTCGAAGCCGGCTCTTCAATGGCTGCTCTGGCAGTGGTGGCGGGTAGGTGACTTTATTTTTCAGGATTCCTGGGAGGAAGGATATAACTAAGTCAGTCCCATCAGACACAGATGCAGCAACTCAGTTGGGGATGGATGGTGTTGAGCAAGTGAATGCACCTAGCCTGGTTCTTACCAACTTACCCAGGCCCACCCCAGATTTTCCACAGGACCCTCCTCAACCTAGTGAACTCCTGCCCCTGTCCTATGTGCTGCAAGAGGGTTTGCTCCAGGGACACAGCAGGGCCTTCCTGAGGTACCTTTCCGTTGCTCCTGGGGCTGGCTGCTAAGCACAGCCACTGGCTTGGCAAGGACCCCACTTTCCAGGTCAGGGGGCCGGTCGCCACAGTGATTGCCCTGTGTCTGTCGGTGTAGCTCCACGCTGACCTTGGTCTCCACCTTCAGCTGGGGCTCAGTGTCCAGCTCCTCACTGTCACTCCCAGCCAGGCTTTCATCAGGCCAGCCAGCTGGGACATGGTTAGGTAGAGCCTCTGCTGAGATAAAGACACTAGGTTAGACTTACAGCCACACCTGGGAGACCCTGAGAGATGCATTGACCTCATTCTGGCTTGCTGGGCTAGCAGGGTCATATGCTAACAATGGAGAGACCCTGATACCACATCTTGATGTTTCAGACCCTGGTATGTGATCCCCACCGCTGCACCCAACACTGGGAGCCACGTGCTGGCTGCTCTTTGCATGCCTTGTCCAGCCCTCCAAATTCCTGCCTCTGCCCAGCACATGGTGTGGGCAACTTCTGGGGTTTCTGTTCCAGTCTGAGCTTGAGGCATGCCCATCATCCACTGTTGACAGTTCACTTTGGCCTGCTCTGACTCCACTGCTCACCTTTTGGGGTGCTGTGCACGGGGCCCCCAGCTGGATTCCACTTGTCCTCATCATCTCCACCATCATCCTCACTGTCTGACGAGTGTGAAGAGGCGTAGGAACTACTGTGCTCATCCAGGGACAGTTCACTGTCAGAGTCAGAGTCAGGGCCTGCAGGTACAGTGTACAGTATGGAGCTCAGGCCCTGACTCCAGCCTAGCATCAGGCCACCAATGTGCTTTTGGGATGGGGAAAGCTGGTGGCCCCCACCCTTACAAAGCCCTGGAATCTAAGGCAGTCCAGTACCTCGGCGATGGGTCAAGAAAGGAGAAGGAGGAAAGAAAGCAGCAGGGGCTCTGTGGCCTGCAGGGGACGCCATACCATGAGGTTTCTTGGAGTTCCTAGGGATGAAAGTTGTATCTGGTTCTCCATGGTTACCACGTGCTGGGCCAGAGGACACACTGAGCTTCTGGACCCCTTCGTCCCTAGACAGGGTAGAAGTGAGGTAGGCTCAGCACTGAGTGATAGCAATGGGCGGTCAATCAATGTCACAGCAGTACTATGGAAGGCCACAGGAGGCTCTAAAGTTTCTCTAAAACCATCCCATTTGTGCTCTATCAACAGCAGTAACTGATACAACAGCCTTGCTAGTATTGGGGGTGGGGGTGGGTGGCAGGCAGACAGGGCATCTAGAACAACAGGGCTCGCAGCCAGGTTGTTGTTTACTCTGAGAAAAGAGTGCTGACCTGGTGGTACTGTCCAGAGAGGCTGTGGACTCGCCCAGGGCCGTACGGAGCATGTCTGGTCCTTCACTGTATGTGTTGTTGCAGTTGAGGGATCGCTAAGGGGAAGGGTGGGAGGGAGGCCATTGGTGAGCAGAGGCCACAGAGATTGGTACTTCCCTCAAGCAGCCCCCATGACAGCACTCTGACTGTCCCTGCCAGCATGGGGGGGGGGGGTGGAGAGGAAACTGGAACCTCCTGGTAAAGGGGAGAATATTCCCTGGCCCACACAGTGGGAACATCTCACGTCCTATGGACATTGTTCATTGCTTCTGGTTGTCTTATCGATATCTGTCCTGGCCATATCTTCCAAAGACTTTGCAAGTAGGGCTACAGTTGGACAGAGAAACTGCCAGGACAGTTCTGCCCTGTGGGGTGTGGACAGCTCCAGTATATGAAGCCTATAGACCAGAGCACAGTCTGTTTGGTCTTCACAGTTCCCAACCCTCCATAAACAGTGCCACCAGCTCCCAGGCCTGGAGAGGTCTCTGGCACCTCCTACCGTTAGCAGGGTGGCCCTTGTGGTGGCGGAGTCATCCAGGTGCAGCTTCTTTCCAGCAAGCCCTGCCCTTAGGTGCTTCCGCACCTCCCTGTGTGTCACACAGTGGAACAGGAGGACAAAGATGCCCTGGAGGAAGATGGACATCATGTCAGTGTGACTCTCAGGGTCCTGATGCTGCTGCATCAGGCATCTGGCACGGAGGAAAGCCTAGTTCACAGCAGCTTGGCCAACACGACCCAGAAGATGCCCCAAGGCCAACTAAGGCCTCCCCTCCAGGTGGAGCTACCACTTTCTTCACAGGGGAGCCTCAGCAGCTAAGATACCTGGACGGGACGACACAGTCCACAGCCTTATGAGACATCAGGGGCCCCCGACATTATGCTGCAAACTTACCAGGCAGTACTTGGTGTGAAACAAAGGGTTACCCCTATTTCCTGAGGACACAAGAGGCTTTGGGCCAGCCTGCAGCAGTGAGGTGGGAACAAACTTTGTCCTGGCCAAGCCATGGCAATGTCCTGATAGACTGAGGGCCCAGAGGCAGGGCAGGGAAAGGCTGGGGCAAGTAGAGAACACAGGCTCCCTCCTCTCTGAAAGTGCAAGTACTAAGGGCTTTCCAGTCTTCTCCTCACTGCAGCTGACCCAGAACAGAGGTCACAGAGTGGCCCCAGCGGGTAACTGCTCACACCTACCTGCAAGCAGCTGAAGGCAGCAAAGAGGTAGTGGAAACTCAGAGTGTCACTGTTTACAGCCAGCAGGCCCAGCAGCCAGGTGGCGC